TAACATTGAGGCAACCGTCCCCCGGTTAGCTCAATAGTCCTTTTTACAGTTGTGGGCTTAGTGGCCAAGCTTTTGAACAGGAGTGAGGCTAAGGGGTGACCTCGTTATGATACTGATATTGCTACTTTTCAAATGCAAATTTCTTTGTTATCATGCTAACAAGATACTGGTCTCTATCACAACAATATCACCCTTAGCCTCACTTCAAATCAAAGGCTTGGCAACTAAGTACACAACTGTAAAATGGTCTATTGGTTAGAGCGCCGGATTGTGTTGTGCGGGAGGTCGAGGGTTCGAACCCCAGCCGGACCAATACTCATGGTCTTTAAATAACTGAGGAGAATTTGCTACCTTTCTATAATATCAAGAAATAGATATTCTAGTCTTCTAGGATAAGGACGAATAAACCGTAGGCCCCATCTCCTGCAGGGTTAGGGGTAGGAGACGTTAATTTCCCACGATTACTGTGTGGTGGATGTCCTCCCCTGGGGTGGGATGGGTGGGTATGACAGGGCCCCATTTAAACCAGATATTAGCTGAAATGGGCTACCCTGTATCAATATTGGTAAATACATAGTATTAATAATCTACACAGCGTTCTCTTTAAATCTCCTGTGGACATGACAAGGGGAAGTTACTTTTTTGGCAATCAGGAGCTCTTTGAACTAGTGCATGATCAGTTCAATTCATTTGATTAAAGGGTGATACTTTATAAAGAGGTAATTCGCAGCCAGTCACTCTTAGGAGTCGAGGTTGTAGGTTGGTGATTGTTCATCATGATGAAGGTAAGACATACCTAATGATTGTTACCATTTGACAATAAGATTAAATTACCTTCTTTGATTTAGTTCTGAACGATTTGATATGAAGCTGACTTGCATTACTTACCCAAGTCATTCAGCAGGGCAACCACAGCCACAGGATCTGTGGCACTAACTATTGATCCAAATAGCAAGGCCTCTAACCAGGTCCAGTGATAATCAACGAACACCATCTTGGCCATTACACCTGACAAAGCTGTAGCAGCAGCTAAACCAAACACTGCAAGCAACACAACTTGCCAGAACATCTTGTAGAATATGTGGACATCCATTGCAAAAGCTGACTCAAATAGTAGAACGGGTAGAAAGGTGGTTAATATGAGGTGAGGGTTCTGACTTGACATAGACGTGTACCTTAAAAGACAAAATGCCTTTAAGTCTCTGACAATAAAGCGTAGCCAAGCAAAGAACAGCAATTTAGAGAAGCCAGACTTCAACCCCCTATTTACGGAAAGGCGAGAAGAGTTCGAGATGTTTTGCAATACGACTCAGCACGAAACGGATTCTGACCGTTCACGAACTGATAAAAAATAAGACTGGTAATACCGAAAAAGTGGGCTGCTATTTAACCACTGTTATTTTGAAAACATTTTGAAGAAATAAGGCTAAAAAAAAGTTACTTTAATTGTAAATAATAACAAACTTTAAGACTTTATCACTTTTCCAGCGGAGGTGAGAGGAAACCTATTGACTATGGGGCGCCAAGTGTACAAAAATTATTTGTATGAATTGTTTCTATTTTATATGGAAATTGTTTATATAATTCAAAATTGTTTAAAATAAATTCGCATTGGCCTGTATCATTATTTCAAACAATAACAATAAACTAAATGCTTTGAGTTTTCATTGTATGAAACAATTAGAAATGGTGGAAGTTGTGGTATAACACAATATATTTATTGTATCATTCAATGACATTTGTTATAGATAATTTTTTACAACAATGAAAGTCGCAGCAAATCATTGTTTGAAACAAGTTTTACAAAAAAAATTAATTGTATCTAAAAATTTGTCTGAAACAAATTTTTTCGCTCACAATAATTGTATTAAACCATTACTTTATTGGCCATGGCATGGTTTACAACAACAGCTTGTATGAAACCATGTAATGCCTGAATTGATTGTATGCGCATGGATTGGTTATTGTATGCGCAGTACTGTCGTCACGTCCGGTCACCATGACGTCACAAAGCGTGCGTAAATCGAGTCTTCCCTCTCTGTGAGTTCTGTGTGCGTTCGTGGCGTACTCTCTCTTTGACACACTTGATTGCCAATTATATTATGTCCGAAAACATGGCCCAAAACCTTTCTTCGGCAATAAGTAAAACAATCATGGATTGCATGTCTGGTTCCTCGACCACATCTCAGGCTCAAAGACCTTCTCTTGTCGGTGGTCTAAATGCCGTTCCTACAACTTCTTCGAATCAAGAGGCGAAGCCCAAGGTAAAAGCCGTAAAAAGTATTCTAAAACTTACTAATTGTTAAGCTAGTTCACAAAGCCAATTTCTGTAGAGTATTCAGTCTACTTCAGCGAAGTACTGTGTGTTTTGATCACGTCTGCTTTTTGGCGCGCCTTTTCTAAAAAGTTTTTTGCATGCTATTTTCTTGTAATTTACTAAACAATTAACAAATGAATTAGAAAAAAAATCATAATCTGTGGAAAAAACCCTGCAGATTCACTGACTACTTAGGTTTTGGATAGTTTGTTTGCAGGATGACAGTAAACAGTAGTCCCGAAGGTTCAAAGGTCGTCGATAATTTTCGCCATTGGATACGACTGGAATTGGATCAACGAGTTGCGAAAATGAAACATTTTTTCGATTTAGAGGTTTAAGATGAACTGAAATCACACTTTATAATCATGATCTGTTTTTGCTCAAACACACAGTACTTCGCTGAAGTAGACTGAATACTCTACAGAAATTGGCTTTGTGAACTAGCTTAACAATTAGTAAGTTTTAGAATACTTTTACGGCTTTTACCTTGGGCTTCGCCTCTTGATTCGAAGAAGTTGTAGGACCAGCATTTAGACCACTGACAAGACAAGGTCCTTGAGCCTGAGGTGTGGTCGAAGAATCAGACAAGCAATCCATGATTGTTTTACTTATTGCTGAAGAAAGGTTTTGGGCCATGTTTTCGGACATAATATAATTGGCAATCAAGTTTGTCAAAGAGAGAGTACACCACGAACGCACACAGAAGTCCCAGAGAGGGAAGACTCGATTTGCGCACGCCTTGTGACGTCATGGTGACCGGATGTGGCGACAGTACTGCGCATACAATAACCAAACCATGCGCATACAATCAATTCAGGCACTATATGGTTTCATACAAGCTATTGTTGCAAACCATGCCATGGCCAACAAAGTAATGGTTTAATACAATTATTGTGAGCGAAAAATATTGTTTCAGACAAATTTATGGTTAGATACAATTAATTGTTTTGTAAAACTTGTTTCAAACAATGATTTGCTGCGACATTCGTTGTTGTAAAAAATTATCTACAGCAAATGTCATTGAATAATATAATAAATATTTAACAATTATTCCATGAGCGCACGTCGGATATGAGATGATAGATAGCCAACGAGGCGCGTAGCACCGAGTTGGCTATAATCATCTCATATCCAACAAGCGCGAGTGGAATAATTGTTTTATCAAAAACGCCCCCAAGAAATTATTATTTTGTAAGAAGAAACCGGATTTTTTAGCTACCTTTTGATTTTAAGCTGACGCGTACGCTTAACATATTTGTACATTATGGTATATTGGCTCATATACCATAATGGCTTAGCCAATAAAAAGTCTTGAATTGCATTATCCAATGATCCCGTTTTTAATAAATTGTGTTATACCACAACTTCCACCATTTCTAATTGTTTCATACAATGAAAATTCAAAGTATTTATTTTATTGTTATTGTTTGAAATAATGATTCAGACCAATGTAAATTTGTTTTAAACAATTTTGAATTATATAAACAATTTCCATATAAAATAGAAACAATTCATACAAATAATTTTTGCCACTTGGGGCCCCATAATTGACTACCAAAAGCAATCCTAAACTTTATTCTCATCGTAACTCAGAGGGCATGAATTTCTTCAATATGCTATAATTGAGTGGTTTTGTACATATTCGATAAGAGTGCTCCCTCCAAGTAAACGCAAAATATAGAGATTGACTTACTTTTGTAGCGTTGGGACAGCACCTGATATCGCTCCAAAACAAAGTCCTAGAATAATCAAAACGACAGTGTATGGAATAGGCCATCCTTTCATCATTTGCCGAACAATAGCTGGCGAAGGAAAAACAATTAAGACATGCCTGAAAGCGATTCTGAATCTGGTACATTGGCAATGTCAAAGAACTAAAACAATTTGAAGCTTACCTCCGATAGTGCATGACATAAAAATAAACAAAATTGCATATGGGCTTTTGTCATGAACTTCGTGTTGCTCATGTGAAGTATATGTATAATTGATCGAACTTATCATTTTAGATTGCAACCCGTAATACCCTTGTCGCTTGTGCGATTCAATTGTACTCATCAACAACAGCGTCACAGTAGAATTCGATGGCTTTCAGGCAGAGCCACGACTCATGCTATTCATTGTTTTCCAAACCAAATGGAAACGGAACGTCTACAAAAATCGTAAAAAACCCTTTCCTTGAAGAAAACTGCGATCATTTTATGAAGAAGCAATCCATGAGAAAGTTGACGAAGCTCCCGCTAACGCGTCACTTTCGCGGGCTTTTTTGAATATCCGCTGACCATTTTTTCTGGAACTCCTTTTCAGAAAAAGGGTCGCGGGTCGACCCGTCCCGGTGGGTCTTATTTTGATCAAAATTGGCTTTTAACCACTAATTTGGAGAAATCTCTTTTTCTCATTAGCAGGCAATTGAAGGAAAGGCCAATAGTTTCAGACGCAAAGAAATTGATAGTTAATATCTCTAGTGTACTGTTTTCCTACTTTAGAATGACTCATGTGAACTCAAAATTCAGGTAAAAGTTTGATACGAATTGGCTTGAGCGAAAACTCTGATTTGTTCCAAATGCCCTCTGCAAAGTGGAGCATTCAGCGAGGATTATGATAAAAATGGACTTTGCGAATCGCTTCTTGTGATCGTATTTCAATGAGGTAGACTGGTTCGAGATCAGTCAAAGGAACACAAAAACAAAATGGCGGCGTGATCTCGCATCTTCCCTCACATTAGTGGTCAATTGTTTTGTGCAGGTAGGCTGCCGTTCTTTCACCCATCAAGGTATTATGGGGAAAGAACAAGACCTTCTGCAAGCTGCAAAAACTGGAAATGTCGCACATATCGAGAAGATTCTCGGTCACAAGACAAGAAAATCTGGAATTCAGAGGTATTTGGGAGCTGTCCTATAGATTGACAGGAAATGAAAGCTCAGTGATTTCTCTTTTGCTCGTTTATTGATTTTCACACTTTTGCAGTTTGATGAGCAGGACCGTCAACTCTAACCATCAAGACGAACTTGGATACACTCCTCTTCATTATGCAGCGTTGAACGGTCACAGGTAACGTAAATTTTTTTGTAACTACTGTAGCTTGGATCTGAAACGACACAAGGAAACTCGGATGTATTATTACACGCACCGTAAGATTACGCGCATAACTCGGTTGCTGTCTTTCATTGGTATTTTCGGTTAGCCTTTAATTCTTTTTTAGCCGGACATTCATTCCAAAATCGCGAAATTTGAACTTAATTCACGAATGTGTGTTCGATCATGAGTGGCCTTCCATTCCGATTTACATGTTTTTTCTCGATCTCTCTTGAGCCTCCCGATGCTGATGTTTTATAACTTTCGTTAACCTTAAGTTCATCACACTTAATGGGAGCGGGCAAAATTTTCCTCTTTTGTGATCTTACACAACACAGGCTAAACTGCAGAAGACCTGGCGACTCAGAAAACAGCATCTATTTGTGTTTAAACACAAATAATTTATAAGTATCCAAATTCTCCATGCTGTTCTCCATACATTTTCTTTGGTCTTGACAAGGAGAATTTGTATAACAATCGAAGCTTCGTAGTTGGCAATTATTTCCTTAATTCTCATGGTTTTAATGAATGATTCAGCTTTTTCTGAGAAATAACGTGCTGATTACTTTTGGAGTTTAAAAGGTTCAAGTGGTTGTAAATACTCACTTATTATCTTCATGGTAAAGAGTTGAGGGGGGAGGTAAATGCAAAGTAGGACTTCTCTGCTCTTAGTTATATCAGTGAGGTTCTGATAGGGTAAATTCTGACGGGTGACATGGCATTGAAACAGCAACATCAGGGAAATAAAAATGCAACTTCGAGCATGACATTGATGAAATTGCGACAGCAACATCAGAACCTTCTGAAATGGCGACATGACAAAGTTTGACATTCAGACGGGCGACATCTATACCCCCCTAACAGGGCCTCATCAGTGGGCTGTTTTGCATTTCTATTTTTACATATGATTTATTTAGAAGTTGCCCCTTCCTTGCAATGATAATAGGAAGTATTTCTCCTCCAACCATCCAGTACGTGTTGGTTGAAGACCACAACCTCCTCTTCCCATTAATTGAGTCTGTCTTCCCTCAATTGCCACTGCTACTCATTCTAGGTAACTATGATGTAGTTCTACAAATATTCTGTTCCTCTGACAACCAGCCAGTACGTTCAAGGTCATAGGAGGTAAAATTTAAGTGCCTTTTAGGTGCCTTCGCTCCGACAAAGGGCTAACGGTCGAAACGTCAGCTTTTATAATCGTAACGGTGGCCAATTTACCATTTCAACTTTGTTGATATATTCAAATTATTTCGTTACCCCCACCAATGCAGCCCCAAACAGTTTCTTTAGAAACTATCAGCCTTTTAGAGATACATGTACTTGCTCAGGTAGGTAAGGTAAAGTCTTTTTTCGAGCCTAGTGGCCCATTAGGCCGGTGCTTAACTCCGGTCTCTGTAGCATGAAGCGACTAGGAGTAGTTCTACTCCCCCCTGGATGGGATGCCAGTCCATCGCAGGGTTACCCCCAGTATTAAACTACCGGTACCCATTTGAACACCTGGGTGAAGAGAGGCACTGTGAGAGTAACACAACACAATGTCCCGGCCGGGGCTTGAACCTGGACCACTCGATCCGGAGTCGAGCGCACTAACCACGAGGCCACCGCACCTCCACACATGTACTTGCTCACGATAAAGTTTTTTTTTTCTTATTTTTTTGGCCATATTTACCTATTTTTGTTTTTGGTACTGTCTCAGGTCATCAGCTGAGCTTCTTTTAAAGTACGATGCCTCGACAAACATTCCAGATAATTCTGGTGAGTGTCCAAAGAATGATACCACATGTCTGCTGAAGTAACCAAACAGCCAAACCTTACACTTTGTATTGAAATAAATTTCATGCGACATGCGGATTGAAGTTCAAGTAAAGTAGGGATCTTTGTAGTTGAGCTGCAAATTCAGCGTGTAAGAAAAAGAGGTCTTACAGAAAATTTCAGGCTTGGACAGGATTTGAACCAGTGCTCCCAGGTACTAGTTTGGTACCGCTAACTGACTGAGCTTTGAAAACATGTGTTTGGAGGGAAGTAGAGAGTTCTTTGCTGTGGAGGAATCTGATGTAATTTGTAATGAGGATCTTGGTTTACTTGATTTTCAATTAGCCGGTCTGATGAAATTTGTTCCCTTAGTTATCCCATGCAAAAAATTTAATTTTAAAACAGGGAATGATTTTATATCTTTAGGAAACTTTCCCCTTCATTTGGCGGCATGGAATGGCCATGCTGATGTGGCTAGAGTGCTTATAAATACAGGACCATCAAGAGCGAATGTCAATGAACAGGTTTGTCACTGACATTTAGATTTTACATGGATTATTTTGTGACTTTATTTATTCTTAATCTGATTCTGAACAGAATGGTACAGAGGACACAGCTTTACATTCTGCGTCACAGTTTGGGCAAAGTCTCGTGGTAGCTGTTTTACTCGAGGTAAGGGACGAGGTGACTGATTCCGAGAACACCTTCTCGACGTGGAGAGGAATGACAAGGACACATCAAAACTAGTCGCTAGACATTTTAATTTACCTAATCATTCTAAGCAACATATGGCAATCTGCGGTCTTTCCTTACACTTAGGTAGCACGGAAAGCCGTAAAACTCTTGAGCAAAAGCTCATCTTTCAAACCGGCAGTGTAAATCCCACAGGTATCAACGAATGCTTTTCATTCCACTAATTTATTTGTGTTTTTCTCGTTGCCATGTTCCCACCAATAACGTAGCTCCATTTTCTGCCTTTAAAAGCACACACAACCCACAATTCCTTTATTTGCTCTGATGAAGGGCTAACGCTCAAAACGTCAGCTTTGATAATCGTAACGGTGGCCAATTTACCATTTCAACTTTGTTGATATATTGAAATTACTTGGTATGTTTATTACCTGATGTATGAAAGGTGCAAAAACTGAGGACAGATCAGGTTCCAGTTGTTTGAGAGGTTGTACAGTGCTATCTACTGGTTAAATCTCTATCTAGGGGATAGCACAGTTTGTTTTGTTAACACTTACAGTATTCAGTGGATGGTGAGTTATCCTTTGGATAGCATTATCTACCCTTTGAAAAACAGGCCCTGGCCCCAATTGTTCAAAGGGTAGATAAGTTACACCATCTACTGGATAAATTTCTATGCAGTGGATAATGCAGTACATTTTGGTAATGCTGATATCCATTGGATAGCAATTCATCCATCAGATAGTATTATCTGCTTTTTGAACATGAGGCCCTAAACAACTGAGTCAAATAGAAATGATTATGAAACATCAACAGAAGGCTCTCACTGATATTCATTTTATGAGATCTTGCATGATTGGATTTACTTTTCAAGCATTACTAAATGTATTATATAATATTAAGCTTTTGTCCCTAATGAGTAAGGCTTGTCTGGTTTTTTTATGAGTAACCTTTCCAGGCAAATTCAGATACATGTTCATTTATGTGCTTTGTTCTTTTTTTTGGTGATATTATATTTTTGTGACAGAATCATGCGGATCCCTATATTCGTAACAGTCGTCAGGAGTCACCTCTTGATTTAGCAGCGCAGTATGGTAGAATGGAAGCTGTAAGCGAAAAACGTTTTTCATACGAATTCATAGAAATTTTGTTCTGAGTCATTTGGTTGATTAAAGTAGACTGAATTTACACGTTCAAGTTTCCTAGTCAGAAAATGCAAACTTAAGATACTTTAGACTTGGGTGCTTGTGTCCTTTGCAATAATAATTTTTATGAGCCCTTATTTGTTTCCAGGATGAATTTTTGCAATTGCAGCCACTTTTGGCTTTCACTCCTATAATTCATTTTACCTTTCCCATTCACAGTCTAGTTTAATATCCAAAGAGCATAGATATATCTAATTAACCAAGTGCGAGGGCCATACCGGGAGAACATCGGTCTGAGGTCTTGACAGTACAGACCTCGCTGCGCTCGGTCTGTACAAAAAAGACTGAGGGCCGATATTCTTCCGGTACAGTCCCGAGAAAGCTTGGTTAATAAGAGATTTATTATATGACTGAAGTTCAAAGGGACATAAGTGCGGTATCATTCGGGACCATTCGCGACAGTGCCCGGTCCAGTACTGAGAGAATATTGACCGGCAATAGAGCATTTTGATTGGTTGATTTTAGTTATTGACCCTCTGACTACCCAAGTCATGTAATAATAAAGATTATCACGTGCAACTAAAATTAGATGTTTCTGTGATGGAAATCTTAGAACCTGGATTGATGTTTTGCCGCCAAAAAGATCTCAAGAGTCATTGATAAGTTGACAAATTGTAGTTTGCTTTTCACACTTTGATGGTCTAAAGAACTCAGTCCCAAACTGGGTTTGTGTGAAAAACTAGCATGCATTTCAATATTTTACAAANTTGGAGAAGGTTTAAGCATCTTGAAATTGCCTAAATTTCTAAGATCCATTTTTTTTCAACCTACATGTATACTATGGACAAATCATACTCATGTCAGAAGATACCTCAATATAAGCTTAATGAAAAGTCACAGAGAAGAGATAGACCCTCCTACATAAACCAAGGGCTGTTTTCAAAAACAATGTTTAGGCTTTTTTTAAACAAAAAATCCACTTTGTGTAAGGCAATAATTACACACCAATTCTTCTTCCTTTCAGCTAGTTTTAAGCACATCAGGGTTCCTAAATGGTTGTAGATCTCTCAATGAAAACTGCAATCAGGTATAAATATATATATATCTTATTAACCAAGCGCGAGGGCCGTACTGGGAGAATATCGGCCTGAGGTCTTGACAGTACGGACCGAGCGCTGCGAGCTCCGTACATAAAAGACCAAGGGCCGATATTCTTCCGGTACAGTCCCAAGCAAGCTTGGTTAATAAGAGATTTATTATATGACTGAAGTTCAAAGGGACATAAGTGCGGTATCATTCGGGACCATTCGCGACAGTGCCCGGTCCAATACTGAGAGAATATTGACCGGCAATAGAGCATTTTGATTGGTTGATTTTAGTTATTGACCCTCTGACTACCCAAGTCATGTAATAATAAAGATTATCACGTGCAACTAAAATTAGATGTTTCTGTGATGGAAATCTTAGAACCTGGATTGATGTTTTGCCGCCAAAAAGATCTCAAGAGTCATTGATAAGTTGACAAATTGTAGTTTGCTTTTCACACTTTGATGGTCTAAAGAACTCAGTCCCAAACTGGGTTTGTGTGAAAAACTAGCATGCATTTCAATATTTTACAAAAATGTTTCTTAGAAAATCTGGCTTTCTACCATATCTATAATAGCTTAAATGTTTGATTGATTGTGTTGTGGCTCAAGTTGATTAATAATCTCTGTGTTTAAAAGGTAATTCTCTGATTGTAGGTCAAGCAGTTGTTGAGCTACCATCCCAATCTCCTTGATGATGTGACTGTGGTTAGAACACACACTCCTCTTCACCTCGCTGCTAGAAATGGCCATATGAATGTGGTGTCATATTTCCTCAGTTGTGGAATGGATGTCAATACATCGGTAATACATGTACATCAGAAAATATATAATTATCTGTAATAAATCACCCCTTTTTTTTCTGGCCAATGAGAAAAGTTCACTTAAACACAACAAATGATCAGACTTCGAGGAATTGGTTTAAGTAACCAATTAAATGGTGGGAAAATAAAAGACAATACAAACCAGCCCAGTGCTGAATTCAGTGAAATGTTAGTGCAGACTAAAAAACCTGTGTTTGAGGGATTGAATTTTGCAATTTCAAAATGGATTGAACAATGTGATATTTGAACTTTGTCTCATGCAATTATGGTGCAAAAATGTAATTGTGATTTCAAATTAATTCACACTTGGAACTTGTTTGATGTTGAAATCATGCGTATGATTTCACACTAAATTGCACTTACCATATGATTATTAATTAGTAAACAGGTAGTAATTATATTAAAATTCTGATTAACTTAAAGTGATATTAGAACTCTTTTGTAGAGGGTCCCTTATACTTTTTAGGTGAAGTGTGATTGGGCAATTTTTTTCTCATGAATTATGATTTAAGATAAGATCTTTTCATGTCCACTTGAACGAATCTTTTTACTTGAATGTGACCCATGAATTAAGAACTGAAAAAAGGTGATTCATGAACCATTTTGTTGTGCTTGACAAATTTCCGGCTATTTTATTGTTATGAAAATGTACATATTGTTCTCGAACAGCTGTGGTTAGGGTTTTGACAGGAGATGGACTCCACGTGGATGAATAGAAGTCAGGAAATAGACCACTAATGGTTCTTGAACAAACAAGATGAGACATGACATCATCTTATGTCACATGAGACTGGTCAAGAGTGGAAAAAATTTATATTAATTTAATGTGATTGTCTCAAATTTCGCATGAACGTGAAAGAGTTTCGTATATTATTCATGATGCATGAAAAGGCCAAATATTTTTATGTGACTCAGTTTTACAAAGGGGTGGTTGGACCCTCTTTGTAAGGTGCTTTAGGAACAGCTCTTCACCAAGAAGCACCATATGATTATTTATTAGTAAACAGGGATTACATAGTTATTAAAATTCTGAACACTGTATTATGATAAATACCATTTATTAACTAAAGTGACATTATAACTCTTTTGTAGGGTGCTTCAGGAACAGCTCTTCACGAAGCAGCACTGTATGGTAAAGTGGATGTTGTTAATCTTCTGTTACAGTGTGGTAAGTTGATCAATTCAGCCTATGCTGATGATTGGTAAATTATAACTCTTGAGTTTAGAAAACTCTTGAGACTACTCTGGCCTTGCATTGCAGACTTTCGCATCGTGATTTTGAGCTCTTTGCTGACCAGTCCTGACCCTTGAACTCCCTGACCCAGATGTGATTAACATGTAACATCTTCCTGTGATTCCAATATATTATCTTGCAAATAAGTAACTTATAAGAACAGATAGGTTTATCAGCCAGAGGATGTCATCAAAATGTAACACCAAACTCTCCCCTCTAATTTACAAGGAAATCTATTTTAGTCAGAGGGAAGAATTGCAAATTGGATCTTGGGAGTTTAAGGGTGAATGTCCAAATTTGAAAGTTGTACAAAAATGAACAGTGTCTTTGCTGATTGAGTGTCGTCCTTTGTTTGTACAGTAATTCTGAGAATGAAACTGACTTGATGTTTCCATCAATATTGATTGGGTTATTCATGTAAGCAAAGATATTTAAAGTAAAAACTTTGGAATGAAGGCTGGTTTGGGTTTGTCTAGAAAATCCCTGACTATTGGCAGTTTTACAGTTTCCTGACAGTCTCAGATTTTGCTAATATGTATGCAAAGGTGAAACAGTTTGGTTTTTCATTGGTGTTTATATATTAAAAAATAGAATATTACATGGCTGCTTGGAGATACAAAATTTCTCTGGCAAACAAGTGAATTATTTTTCATATCTCTGTGCGGCCATGTAATATCCTCTCTGATCTTGTAAAGCATATTTAAGGCCTCTCTGTTAATCGCCATAGGAATTGATGTCACTGTCGTGGATAGCAGCAACAAAACAGTGTTGGACCTTTTAGTCTCACACCCTTCAGGAAGAACAAGGGAGATTAAAGAACTAATATACGGTGTGTTTAACTAAAACAACCTTTATTATTGTACCTTGATCTCATGGTTAAACACATATTCAAAGTGTGATTGTCACAATTACCTACAGCTTTTTTTTGAATGAAATTTTTGGAAAAAATGACATAGGTGCATGTGACACTCTCACAAGATTATTTGGGTATCTTATAATCAAGGAATTTTAAAAAAGCAGTGGCAATTCTAGGGGAGGGGGCCCTCCCCCTTATTTAGGGTAAAAAAATAAATGAATGTAGAAGGAAGAAAGCTGGCAGGTGTACACGCACAAAAACAGGAAAAAACCAAGTTCCCCCCTTAGCTCAAGGTCTGGATCTGCCGCTGATAATTCCCAATCATCATTCTCAGATTGCCCTAAAATCCTGATTATGAGGTCAAAGAACTGTGACCTGAAACTACCCACAATACCTTTTGGGATTGTTGCATGCACTTTAATGTCGTCTTTTTTTTTTTTTTTCTGACAACCTTTCTCAAAGCAGCTGTATATGGTTGGGGTCTTGTGTTAATAGACAGTGCAATCAAGATGCACTATACTTTGGTACAAAAAGTAGTTTAAAAAACAGCTGCCTCCCTCTCGGTGACCAAAAAGCAAATTCAACAAATTCTTTCTGTAGGTTAGAATGTCTTTCTGTGTAGCCCCTTGTTCAAATAGACCTAGGTGAGATAGAAAGAAAAGGTTTGAGAGCATATGGCACAAGAAATCGGCAAGAATACTTAAAAAATATCAGTGGTGGCATTTGTAGTCTGATTTTTGGTACGTGTCTGTGAAGACGGTTTTCAAAAGGTCAGGGTACTGTTTATAATCTCAAATTGCAGTAAGTGTCATATTCAATTACATTCTTCTTTATAATGGTAGTGATAACAACAATACTAATATATATTTGCCGGAGCATAGTTGTGCTTAAAGAGTAACCAGCACCAGCTATTTAATTCTGTAACTGTGGGAGGGCAAGGTGCAAGTTTCCTTAATCAACAGTTTACATAATGTTAACATTAATTTTTTGTGATGTGTCTTTGAATGATTTTCCATTTTCATTGTAAATACTTAGTGATACTCCAATTCTATCAATGCTGCTAATTTTCTACTTGAAATTGTTACTAACCAGCCTCCAGCCTCAAAGAGCCTGTATCTAAATTAAGACGGCAAAAGACTGGTGAGTTCAAAGAATTCTGCAACAATGGCTGACAAAAGTCAGACCATCGTTAGAGATTGTTCATTCAATACATGTGTCTCCAGCTGTTTTAACAGCTTAAAAGTACTTAACCTATTAACTCCCAGAAGTGATTAACCTGTAACTTCTCCCTATAATATCCATACATGATCCAACAAACAGCTAATGAGAATACTCAAACTTATCAGGTAGAAGTTGTTACCTTGATTGAACACCAAATTCTCGTAACCAATTTACAAGGAAATGTGTAGCAGCAGGAGGGGAGAATTCATAATTAGATCTTGGGAGTTAGAGGGTTAATGAATACTTAGAAGTATTCATTAACCCTCTACAGCCTAACATCAGTATGTATATTCTCCATACTTTTCTCTGTACATTTCCTAAGGTGCTGACACCTTAAAAGGAAAGTATGGTCTAGAAAAAGTTTATCTCAATCAGAAGACTTTTTCCTCAGGAGTTCGAAAATAACTGCCATTTCGTCCAGTTTTCTTTGTATCAGCGACAAGAGCGCTTTGAAGTTGCCCACTTTTAGAACTTTCGTGGTTAGAAAAACGCCATCTTGGATATTACGTCAGTTGTGACGTAGCAATAGTCAAACTTTGTTCGGCGCTTCGCCCTTATCATCCTCGGACTGTGAGTCGATTTCAAGTTTAAGGGCAGAAGAGCCCCTGGGGACATTGTCTTACAAGACTAGTTCCAAACGGTCGCAGTCGTTCTGTCATCTGATTGGTGCCAGAAAATCTTTGTTTTTTTCTGCCTAATCAGAGAGATGTGTGCTTTAGACTCCTTTCGTGTGTTTTAACACGCACATATACAAGAAGCTCAGTTGCTCGCTTTGGTTGCTTGGGCCATGCGACGGTGTGAAAAGTGCTCGCGGCGAAAAAGTGTCAGTCTCAGTACACAATGTAAGAGAAATCGATCAGATTGTCCGTAAAAATCTCCCCAGAAATCATACTAAATACTTTCGCAGGTATCACAAGAGAACGTGTCTAAAAGTTTGCGAGGTTCGTATAAAACACGATGGTTGCAGGCGTTGATATGTTGCTTTGGTATCCGGACAACTCGCCCCCTGGACAATTAGCCCCAGACAATTAGCCCCCAGTTTTTGGACAATTAGCCCCCAGTCTTTGGACGATTAGCCCCCAGTCTTTGGACGATTAGCCCTCTGTCTCTGTACTATTAGCCCCCAACCCACCATCCTTGAAATAAACTATGCTCTTGGTGTTTACTTTACGAACGTTTCCCTATCACGTAATTTGAAATAAACAATGTTCATGCTATTTGCTTCTTATGAACGTTTCTCTGCCACACGTATCGAATTATAACATATATTTTACAAAAGTAAAAGTTTGCTTATTTTAAACCCATGCGCAAGGTGCCAAATTTTATTCCTTGTTGTTTATTTCGAAGCCTCGCAAAATGCGCGAACTTTTACCAATTGTTGTTTCATTGTTTATTTCAAACCCATGCGCAATGTGCGAACTTATGTAAATTTGACGTGAGACATTTCATTCATCCCAATTCAGTGCTCATGGTTTTCTTAAATTAACGATTCCTCTAATCAAATGGCGTGTTTCGTTCGAAGTAAAACTCTTGATCCTTGGGATGTGTATAAAGGGGATCCTTCAATTGTGGATGCTCGTATTAGCTTATTCAGCAACAACTGATCACAGCTGCCCCTGTACATATCCTGATCCAGGTACTTCACTGGGAAGCTACATTGGTCAACACGCAGATCCGTCTGGTCTCAGACTAAAAGCTGAAGAGACATCAGTGGTCAACCTAACAAACAACGCAGAGAAGACTCTTCGACCTCTGGATTCAATATGAAGACAGCCAAAGGAATTCAAAAAAACTTCTGGAGGCCTGTGCTCACCTCGTGCAACCCATGTAAATTAAATTAAGTAAAAATTAAGTAAATTTTGATAATGATAACCATTCACAAAAAAAAACCTTCATTAGGAGCCACAAACTCATAAAAGTCAATGACCAAAAGATGAACATAAGTTCTCCTTTACATTAAGACTGGGGGCTAATCGTCCAAAGACTGGGGGCTAATTGTCCAGGGGGTGAGTTGTCTGTCATTCGTCGCTTTAAACGTTAAACGAGATGTAAGCTTAAATCTTTCTAGATTTTTTGTACAATTTGCTGTAACTGAAACTTTGCCAATCTCGTGAAGTTATTTCGTCGCACGGGCCACGCAGGTATGTCGAGCAACTGGCGCTTATGCTTACATAGCGGGAGATGACAAATGCGGAGCCCTACTCCATGGAGTACCCTATGGAGTACCTGGATGGAGTACCCCTGAAAGTCATNCAAGAGAACGTGTTTAAAAGTTTGCGAGGTTCGTATAAAACACGATTGCAGGCGTTGATATGTCGCTTTAAACGTTAAACGAGATGCGAAAATCTTTTAGATTTTTTGTACAATTTGCTGTAACTGAAACTTTGCCAATCTCGTGAAGTTATTTCGTCGCACGGGCCACGCAGGTATGTCGAGCAACTGGCGCTTATGCTTACATAGCGGGAGATGACAAATGCGGAGCCCTACTCCATGGAGTACCCTATGGAGTACCTGGATGGAGTACCCCTGAAAGTCATGTATTGGTCAAATAAATTACTTTATGAACATGATGAATCATTTAGATGTACATATCATGATATATATTGAGCTTGTTAGCTCTCTGATTGTCGCAGTTCGATTTAGTACACGAATTGACCGCCATCTTGAAATTAACATTAAACTGCTGACCACTTCCAACGGAAAACTTTAATGCTGCTAGCATCCATGAACGTTATCGTTAATAGGCCGACTACCATCTATTTTCATATGATCTTCAAGAGGCCAAAAGGAGGGACAACCTTCATTCTGCAATGGGTTTGACGTCTTCCAAAATACTTGTTTATGTGTGGCGTCTGTAAGAAGTGTGGTGCTCCATCTAGTAACACAGGGCCTCATAGGTTTCTCAAATCTGCGAAACGATGAGGATACAAGCTTAAATTTGTAGGTTGAGACTTAAAAAGGTAATCCCTATCTTTAAACTGAGCTTCTCCTCACCCATCTATTTGTAGCGCAATAAAATTGAGGTATGTAAACAAACCAAAAACAGTGACGGGTCGGCAAATAAATCCGACTGGGGTTGTTGATCCGGGAAATGCAGTAAGCTTAAATATTTTACATCGTGCAGAAATAGAAAAAGTGGGTTTTGTTCATCACATGGAGTTGTTTGTCTTCTCGTCAAAGGACTCATTACACAGTGGTAAAACCAAAATGGAGGAACCAGTAAGACTCATGAGAGCCCTAGTCAACTTTCCCTCAAAAAACTGGATTGTATCGAACTGTAACATTCAGAGAGCTGGTAAGCTCAATATATTTTAGGTTAGGTACATCTAAACGATTCACCATGTTCATAAAATATTTTATTTGACCAATACATGACTTATAGGGGTACTCCATTAAGGTACTCCAAAACGCAAAGCCCTACTCCATGGAGTACCCTATAGGGTACTCCATGGAGTAGGGCTCTGCATTTTGTCATCTCCCATACGTAGCTTTCTGTGCGCGCCAAAATCTAATCTTTGCTTTGTAGTAAAGTCTTTCACAATATGGCCAAAGTTGCAGAGAACGTTAAGTTGGTGGACGACCTCCAGCAAGCGCTTACAGAAAGCTTAGCTGTGTTTCCGGTTAGCTAATTGAAATCTTAACAAAAACTAATTATCGAGAACATCGTGGGAAGGAGAGATGTTTTCAAACAGTTACCGAAGGGGTTTGGAAAGAGTTTAATCTTTCAACTGCTGAAAACAAAGATTTTCTGGTACCAATCAGATGCCAGAACGACTGCAACTGTTTGGAACTAGTCTTGTAAGACAATGGGTGCTTACCATTTGTGAGAAAAATCCGATTGGTGTAACCATGGCATAAAGGTAAGGGAGTTTCCGAACTCATGGACCAACCGGATGAGATTGAGCTTACCATTTATCCATCAGGCATTTTGTCCCACCCCAACCCAAGGGGAAAGGCCTGGAAACGGAATTTTATGGCCTGCCGTTCCGAATGGAAAAAGAGGAGTACCTCTGAAGGTACTCCACAATTTCCGAAAGGAATTCCTGGAAGATTGCCTTACCATTTGACTTCAAACTGAAATTTCCGAATTTTTTGGCCAAATGGTAAGCACCTAATGTCCCCAGGGGCTCTTCTGCCCTTAACTTGAAATCAACTCACAGCCCCTGGGTCTCTGAGGATGCGCCCTCATTGACCAGTTTGACCTTTGTGAAAACAATTCCTGACACTCCTCATAGTTGAAATGAGGTGAAGTGTCGTATGGTATGGATGTCAAAACACACACTAAAATTCAAAAGGAAAAGGTGTAAGCCTCCACAAGCAACTGGGAAGTGAAATATTAAAGAAAAGTTGGCCGGCAAAACCCGGCGAGGACAGCTTGGAAAACCTTTCAAAACCTCAACTGCCAAAACAAAGACTTCCAGCGAGATATGCAGGCTTGTAAGTTTTCCTTGTTGACCCTCGCTTCGAACTGAAAGCCGATGCTTACCTTTTCCATATTCAACACAAATTTCAGTTATCTATACTATGAACCTTTTCAAACCATTTTGCCTTAAGCAAATAAATTGAAGCTCGAAATGGTGGTACACCGTGTGTGGTAAATTCTCAGTCATCACCCTTTAACAAAGCCGATTTTCAACATCATGCGCTTTTCCAAGCAGTGTATAAAMATATTTTGTCTTTTCTAAAACTGTTATGAGTCCACCGAGTAAATTTTCTTTAGCCCACCATTCACATTCTCCTGCGAAAAAAAAAAACTTAAACGATATATGATACATTCCCGGCAAATAATCAGACACGTTTGCGATAAATACAAATGATCCTTCGTTAGGTAGGCGCCCATATTTCACTATGTCATGTGGATTGGACACCATAAATGTAATATGAAAACATTAATTTTTATGTCTTCCAACCAACTACTTGACGTAATTATGCAGTACTTATGCTATCAAAAGAAATCGAAAAATTCATTTTAGTTTCAGTTAAATTTGAGGTATTTTCTAATGTAAACACTGTATGACAGAGGCGACTTTCTGGCGCGCGACGAGAATGACAAAGCTCTACTTTTCACGAGTCGCGACATTTGAAAAATTTTAGAATGAAAAATACTGCGTTGAAGGTATTTCTAAGCAATAAAGATAAAAAACACCATTGCAAATAAAGGTAAATGCTGAAACAAACAACATTCAAATCGTAACAATTAACTTCTGCCTTTTGTCAGCGTTAACTTTGGCAACTTAGTGTTTCTAATCAATTTGTCAATGTTTACGCATATGAAGAATGATCTTCAAGTCAATCATTTCTAACTTGTTGCATGCCAACTGGGGCTGTTCTTAGTTCCAAGCGACTCGTGTTCAATTATACACCGAAGCTGGGTTCCTGTAACTGCAAAGATAGTTCGTCTCATTCCAAGGTAGCAATGTAAAATGAATCTGACGCGGGCACTGGGGTCTTCTTTAGCAAAATAATTATCATTCCACAGCTTGGGATTTGTTTGAGAAAAAAACCTTTGCCTTTCAAATTGAGTCGGTGTCCTAGTACATTTAATTCTTAGGAGCATACATTCTCGTTTTCTGTAGGTTCTTCTTAGCAGTTGCCGCAATACCCTGGTCCCAGAGGTTCTCTTCTCTCTAAAAAAATAGGATAAATCTCTTCTCACTAAAAAATTTGGCGCCATGCGCCGACAACAAGTAGCAGGCAGTCGAGACAACCTCAAGTGGAGACCATTGAGAACCTCACTTTGGTGCATTCAGCTGTTTTGACAGCTGATCAAATCTATCACTTTTCAACAGCCAATAGGAAACGTCAGTATCAAACAAACAACAATAATAATAGTTTCGTCATAAAGATGGCAGATTTCAATTTGAAATTGCCGATTTTTGGAACGTAATTGTTCGCAACTAAAACGCTTTTAGCTAAAATGAATAGCCAGATAGGACGATGCAAGCAAGGAACTTTTGATATAAGTAAACTTTTTCTAGACCATATTTTCCCTTTAATAACAATCAAGAGCTTCATTAGTTTGTGATCATTTTCTTTATTCTCAGGACTGTAGTGTGTGATTCAGAGATGATATAGAGATTTTGCATGGCAGCCATGTTGTATGGCAGGAACGATGAAAATATTTTGCATAAGAAAGAAAGATTTTTCCCACGAGAAAAATAATCTATTGTTGCTGCCATGCAAAACCTCTATTGAAAGGAGAAATTAGATGTTAGTCACTTTCAGGGGTCAGAGAGAGGATTTAAAAATTTTGATGTACCACATATATGTAACATGTATGTGGTGAATCTTTTGTCGAGGGGGAATTGCATAGCTTCCCTATTCCAGTAATTATTAATTTATCCCAGTAGTCTGGGGGGATTACAAGTATGCGTAGTCTCTCTACTGTTCTTTTCATATTTCCTTTGGCACTGACAAAAAAAATTGTTCAACTATAAAAAGACCTTGTTTGGTAAGTTCTCATTTCCCTTATTCTCTTGACCCTAATGTTTGATTCAGATTAATCACTTTGACTATTTTAAGGATAAAAGGTTCTTCAACAAACTTTTTTGAACTTTCCTTAAATGTACCCTACCAATATGTCTGTTTCAAAAATACCATTGAAAAGGTGGGTCACCTGGTTTGTATAAGAGATACGATGGGCCAATCTTACCCCATTTATGCCTGTACTTGCACTGATCATGTGCATGGTTTCATTGGTTCACAGTACATTTTGCAGTAGCTGGAGGCAAGGGTTTTTTTAAAAAAACTTGATTGGTAGCAAGTCTCAAGCAGATGGAACAATTTGACTTAGAATTGGTGAAAAAATGACACAATTTTAAACAACAATGACTCAAAACGTTCCTTGAATCATTGATTTCAAGGTCATAATTTGCACCATTGAGTTATGGGCTTTGTGTACACTGAAGCTATATCTTTTTTTCCTTTGATGATTTTTTTTAATATCTCCAATTTAAAGGGGATAATTTGTACACCAAAATTATTCAATAAAAAATATAGGTCACCATGCTAGTTCAAGAACCTAAGACCATTGTCCCACTTTACTTGGTCCATTTCTTGAAAAACAATACTGTGTTCATAGAATGCATGCATGCTTATTTGGCTAATTCTCCAATTTTTATGCCCTGTACAAGATGCGCAGTGCAATACTGAGGTATTACGCCAAGTGCATCCCTGGTTTTCTGCAATCATTTTTTTATCAGCCAAGGTTTTTTCAATCCTGGGTTGAGAGAGACATCTTCTCTGTCTGGCTGTTCTGAGAATGTGTATTATCCAAATTAGCGGTTGGTTTGTTGTGAAAGATGTGTATGATTTTGACTTGTGTAATGTATACTGTACGTCCTTGTTACTAATTTTTTTTTTCTGTTGCCTTCTCAGAATACAAACCTGGTACAAGAAACTCAGCTAGGACATCAGGCACATTTCCTGTAAGTTCAAATCAATTGAAATCATGTGTACAAGAATTTTGTCTTCCCAATGAAAACCTGGCCATCAAGTAATTGAAGATGCATTGATGTACTAGATACATGTAGGTGTGTTAAAACTTTGCAAACTTGTTATCCCACCAGGGGCGTAGCCAGGATTTTTCAAAGGGGGGGGGTCACAGAGGCTACTCACCAGATTGTTAGGTCGACCTCCACGCCGTGCATGTTTTACTCAATGTTACAGTTTTGGAGTGAGCAGTGAGAGTATAGTGGGCAGGCCAAGATATTGTCATGGTGTTTTCACCACCTGAATATTGTAGGTTGTTAGCTCAAAAGAAGGCCTACCAAGGGGGGGTCACGGGCACCCCAGGACCCTTGCCCATAGAGGCATGTATTCTTGAAAATGATCTTGTTGACATTTGAGATTTTGTCAGTTTGGTGGATGACTGTGATAGGGAAAAAGATCACCTGATTTTTTTAGTGCAAATGCCAAGAAGGTCTACTAAAATTAGAGTCAGTGTAACAAAGAATTTACCATCTACAATGAGTTGCAATAGTTTTGGCATGTTTGACTACCTTTTTTAATTTTCTTTCAATAATTTTCCATTATCTCTAGGTCTCCCCCATTTCAATGTCGCCTGGTGTCAAAAAAATGATCACTAAATTCTTGCAAAATGTTTTCCAGGGGGAAAGAGGGGACTTTCAAGTAACCTATAAGAGATGAATGATTTGATTTCTGTTTATTATGTGGCATGAAGGGTTTTGTCGACCAGTTGCTATCAGAGGGAAGAGGAGCCAACTACTTTTGCCCCAAATTGTAACCATATTATGATCAGCCACTCAGGGTTCAAATGCAGAATAACTTAGCCATTAAAACTAGGCTTCTCTGTATCTCCAAGCTGTGATCAATTTGGTTGCCATGGTAAGCAAAGAAAGATTTTAGTGGCTAAATTTGCAGCATTGCCAATTTATGACTCATGTATGGTGGTTTGGGCGTAAGCTGTTGTGTTATTTTATAGTTCAGAATTGATGGTCAAGGGTTAAACAAAAATTAAGTCGCTTTAAGCATTGTTGATGCCCAGCCTGTATAAAAACTGTTCTTAAAAAATGCAATATTGGAATCCTTGATTTTAAATGTATAATGTTAGGGGTATCCTGAGCGTCCAAAGTCAATGGCCGTTCCCAGGAGACCAACCTATGATACTGTACCACGTCAGACAGGTTTGTTGTAAAATCAATCATTTTTTTTCATGTTTCTGACCTAATCTTATGTAATTGAACCATTTTTGTAATATTTGGTATTAGATCATGATTACAACTTCTACGTGATAAGTTTGAGTGTTCTCATTACCTGTTTACTAGATAATGTGTAGACATTTACTTCTGGGAGTTTTGAAATAATCCACTTTGCCTTCTGATCATTCTTTGTCTTCCTGTGAACGGTTGCAATTGAGGATTGCAGCGGTAACCGGCCAAGTCACCTGGGAGTCATCCGGCTCGAGGTCATTTCGCCCGAAACTTGAGACACTTAGCCCGAAATTTTAGTCATGTCGCCCGGAAAAATGTTAAGTCACCCGAAGAAGCAAGTACTTAAAAGATCAGACTCGGACTGTAAAACTGCGATACGTTAAGAAATCTCTAGCACCATTAATAGCGCTCTTTGTTTCCGACAACATCATGAAGATTCTAAAAGCGTTGTTCGTTTCTCGCAGCAAAATGAAGCGTTGTTTGTTTGGTATGTACTCGTTTCGTGCTCATGGAAATTTCTTAAGCTTGAGGAACTTAATCTTGGTTTATAGCATTACCATCGATCATGTCTCATTTTCATGACCTTTTGTCATTTGCAGTTGTTGATTCAAATTTCCTTCGAAGATCGGGGACTTACGATGCCGTGCCTACTCAGCGAACAAGACAGGAATCATTTGTAAGTGCCTTTTGATTGTTATCAGCGAGTAGCTGTGATAGAGTTTCTGCGATTGTTGACTATGAACAAAATTCAATTGAATTCAGCAAGAATTCAAGCTGATAGAGCTGGGGAAACTTGCTATTCAAAAGCCTGAGTGCTATGAGTTGCAGCTTTTGAGAGTGACGCTAATAGATTCAACAGTCGTTGGAGAATGTATGCCGGAGCAATCCACGCAATCTCCACTGTTTCTTCTTAGCGCTCGTGGGCGAGGCGAAGTGAATCCTGTATTCTGATTGGCTACCCGTGCGGACAAGATGGGCCCATCATTGCTCGCTTTGATCCCGCGCAAGAAAACAAATTACGTGGAGTGGACTTACAAAGGTCGTGATTTTTGCCGGAAAATTTAGTCGGTATTGGAGTTTCAGAAAGCGGCAGAGGAATCTCCTAACAAAGGAAACATGAACGAGTTTGTGCGTTAATTGTGCTTCAAAAACTGGAAAATATAAATATAATTATTACAACACAAAGTGATAGGAATGTTTGCAGCGCGCGCAAAAAAAAAAACCAAATCATTCTTGATTCCAATGAAAGCAAACTCTTTTTGCCTTATATTTCATCCTTTATTGAAAATGGCGGAATAATTATTAGCCTCGTTCTTGGTTTTTGAGTTTTTATGGACTTTGACTTCATCTCGGTGCATAAAAATGCTAAAGAGAACTCGGCCAATATCCAGCCATCTTGACCTTACCCTTGGTCCATTACGCAAACTGCACTGTTGGTAGAATTGTAAGTAGAAAACTTTTGTTTCCAGAAGCAGCCAAGTTACGATACTGTACCACCACCTAAAGGTGAGTTTTCAACACACACTCTATGTTTACATATTAACAACTGAACAACTTTAGCCCAGGGCATCCGAGGCTATTACCTATGGTTTGATTAAAGAACAAAAAGATCAGAGGTGTCACACTCGGCTGCGCCTCGTATACCACTTTTTTGTTTTTACCTCATTTTGACGTCATTCGTGACCTGTTTCTTAACAGACGCACAGTAGATAACTACATATTTAACGCCACAAAGCGAATGCACATTTCATTTATCTTCCAGATGGACTTCTATTTAAATGTAGAAACTCTTAGATGCGTGCTTGTGTGTGTGTGATTCGACTGAAAATAAATAATTAATACAAATAGCTAATGATAAAATAATTATAACAACAACAAGAACTATGACAAATGGAATAGAAACGAACACACAATTTGTAGCATAACCTGGTCCGGAAGTACAAAGTCTTAACGAAGAGCGACACAGCGCTAGCAAAAACTAACGGAGCGACTGACTTAGTTGAAATCAACTGGCGATGAAATTTTCTAACGAAAACAACGGCGCATACTGGCGAAAATATATAGCTACCGGCGTTACGTTATTCTTACATAACCTCACGTAAAAACGCAAACTTACGGAATAGAAACAGAACATTACAATAGTAGTACGGTAGAAAGAAAAACAATATAACAGTATTTCGCAGTTGCTTGACAATTAATAAAAATGCAAATCCTAGTCATTACACGGTAACATGGATTCTAGTTGTTAAATAAATGGGGAGTAACGAAGTCAATCGTATTGCAGCATTTGTGATCGAGCTAGTCGATTTATACTAATTCATGCTGTTGTTGATTCTTGAGTTGAGAATAGAAATGTATGCTAGTTAATTCAGAGGTTTTTTTTTTCGTCTTTTTTTTTTTTTTCATTTTTAGCTGCGTCTGAAAGACACACTCTTAACGAGACGCAATATGACAAAGTAGGGTCCAGGACTCCCAATAACAACAATTTTCCCCCTCTTGATGAAGGCTACTACTTGATGGGTGCCCCCGAGCAACCTTCCACAGAATTACCACCCGGTTACAGTCTTGTTGGAGTTCCAGGCTACCCTGGGGCAGTCACCAATGGGCGATGTCCACTGCGGCCAGGCAGTACCTATACTGAAGTACGAAAAGAAGGCGAGACCACTGTCTCACCTTGGAAAGGGCCTCCTTCTCAAATACGAGAGGGTAATTATTCCTATCTTGGATTCCCTGGGTCAGCTGGAGAAAAAGAACCTCTTACCGTGTCAGGTACGATAGTGTAGACATTGCGAACTTAGCCTCGTTATTTACAGTTTTTAAGTTCTTTCATTAGTACTGTATTTGACAAATGTTTTACTAAAATTCTGACGCTCGGTAATAGAGGCCGGGAAATGGAAATCTTTTAATAATAATAATAATAATAATAATAATAATAATAATAATAATAATAAAAGTCTTTATTAAGCACTCTAAACACCAAACGTGTTTAGTTACAATGATATGAACTTAAGCAAATATAAAACTAATTAACTAAATTGCTAACTGACTAACTAACAAGAGAACAAACATCTATTAACAAAAGTCCTCTTGAAACGTTCAGTTCTGACAAGCGGGAGAATATAATTATGGCGCCTCTTACTTAGCGTAACTATTGGTCGCTCAGGTGGGAAAAGGTCATCTAAAGCTGTTGTAAAATCGCTGTCGGTGATCTTGGCCCACAACTTCTTATCTTTTAGAGTAATAATATTTTCAATCAAAAAAAGCTCTTTGCTGTAACCAAGCTTAAGTGCTCTCTTGAACAGCCAGTCTATGCGACTCAAATACTTATGATAATACGTGTAGCCCCATACTTCTACAGCATATGTAAATATAGGTAGAATAAGACTGATAAAAAGAAGATGAAGATGATCCGACGGCAATCAATAGAATTTACTAACACGTAAGATGTACAGACGACTACTGGCTTTCGATATGATATTATCAAAATGTAGATCTGATTGAAAAGTTACACCCAACAACTTCAGACATGGTTTACGCTCTATAGAAGCCAGAGGAGCAGGTGAAGCCTTAGTGGATTTGCCTTTAAAAAGCATCTCCCACGTTTTCTTGAAGTTTAGTTGCATACGGTTAGCAGATGTCCATGCGACGATTGATCAGACCTCATCAGCTGCTGAGTTACCGTTGTTAGCCCCCGATTTTACTGGAATACAGCAAATTTCACAAGCAAATTCTGATTTGGTGGTCACGTATGGATTTATAACAGGTGTTTTCAACTTAGAGCAGAGAATATCATGAGGGACCGAATCAAAGCTTTGCTGAAATCAAAAGAAAAAATTCTAACACAATAGTTAGTATTTGTAACTTAATACTCGTTTGCTCTAAACACAGTATTTGAAATAGAAACCTAAGAACAGGTTAATAAGAAGGCCTTGGACAAGTGTACCTGTACGCTACGGATATTTTAGGGACTTTAACCTTCCAGGTTTCGTACAGGTCTTGGAAAACCTGGAAAGTCCTAGAATTTTATTTTAACATTTTCCAGGACTGGAAAGTCCTGGAAAAATACTATCAGGGTCCTTGAAAGTGGGCAGTTCGCTACCCCCCTCACCTCCCCAAACATTTTGTAACATTTTTATGACTGTTTACCGCTACTTCTTTAAACTTGCACATTTCGCTCGGGCGGGAGACAACGGCAGAAAGAGTACATTATGAGTGTTGTAAAACCAAACAATCACCACAGCCAGTCAGGAGAAAGCAAATATCACAGGGAGCCAATCAGAACTCAAAGTGAATACGAGCAAACTGCCTGAAGCGCGGGAAAACTAGGGTGACCAAATCGCGATTGGTTTTAGTTTTGAATCTGATTGGTTTAGAGGGTGGCACGAGATTTCTGGACCAATCAGATAATGCTGTAAGGTGAAACCAAAGGAATCCAGAATTACCTTCGACACCCAATCGAAAAATGTTGTAAAGAACCTCAGACTTGTTAATAGAACTCGCTTTTCTTGAGCTTTCTAAGTGGCCGTGCTGAATGATCTCCTCTTTTTCTTTAAAGGTATGGCTGGTAAAGACATTCCTGGGTATTGTTTGGTTGGTGAGACAACCCGTCCACTTGCACAGTTACAGAACCAGAGTGGAGGTACTTATGACCATGTCAATCTGCCATCACGACCAAATCCTGACGCTAATCAACATAACAGTGTCTATGAAGTACCCTTTTCATCGCTTAGGGGTAAAGGAAATGGCCAGGAGGCGAATGACACTCCCGTTCAAGTTCCCCCAAGAGTTTCAAGGGGTCAGTCGTTAGATGTGTACGAAAACACCAGTATTGGAAATCAGCCGGTCAAACAGCCAAGACAGCAAGCTACTAATTACGACTTTGTGTCCCTCCCGCCACGAAAAGCCACCATGGAACAGCCCTCTTACGACATAGTTCCCCCGCTGAGTCGAGCACCTGATGATCAGCGAGGTAGCCTAGAGGTGAGCTCATCAGCTACAGGTGGAAGGACTCCAACGGACCGACCCTGTCCCTTGGACGCACCAGGGTACGAAATTGTACAACCACGAAAGTTTGGCTCTTTCGCTGGCAACTCAGCGCCTGAAATGCAACCCTTTGCAGCTCTGCCTGGGTATGAAGCCATGGCCCCGCCACAGGATGAGGGATACGAAAAGCTGGCCCCTCCACCTGACATACCACAGCAGCTGAGCAGCCGTGGAGATTATGAAACCCTTGCTATGATAAGTCCTCAAAGAACAGGGTCTCAGACAGAACCACCACGTGTGACCCAGCAACGGACCAGTGCAGTGAACATTCCTGGGTCAACTTCTCTGTATGAGTTTCCCCCGCCAATGACTTCTCCCGTTTATGAAATTGCACCATCTCCACGGAACGCAACTCAGGTAAGTTATCAACATTATTTAAACACATCAGTTGTTGGTTTACTGCAGAGGTGTCAGTAATTTCTTCTACAAGCAGCAGCCGTCGGTGTAATGAGCGGCTGTGCCCAGAAAAGGGGCCAAAGGCGTAATTCAAACACGAGAGCCTGCTTGCGGGCTCAACAGATAGCGGTGAGACGTCTTATAGGCAGCGGTCGGTAACAGGCCTTTAGTAAAACTCCTGGTTAACTGATGTACCAGTGGCTTCAAAGGTGTTTCAAGTGTTTTGTTTTAGAGAGGAAAAGTTTGTTTTGCCTTGTTTGATTTTTTGTTTGAGAAGTATTTTGGTTGTGAAAGGGGAAGCCGGAAGAATTAGTTGGAAAGTGTGTGGCGCGAAACTTGAAATGTAACGGGTGAAGAGTGTGGTGTGTAGTACGAGGAGCATAAAAGCGTGAAGTGCGAAGCCTAATGCGTTGTAGCACGGATCCATTCGTCCGCCTCCCCGTCCTTTCTCCCGTGACTCTCTGCGGACTTGTTACTTTCCGCTTTGCACACAATTTCCCGGTCACGTCTCTCTTAAGTGATAGTACTTTGCTCATTTGATTATCGTTTTTACATTCTCACAGCTTCCTCCTCGACAAACACAGACTGCCCCTCCGCCTCAGGCCCCAGTTAATTATGGAGTACAGTGGATCGAGAAGGAACCAGAACAAGCTCAACCTAAGGTCCCTCCACGAAGAATGAATGACTATTGCGACTGGCAGTCTCTCAAGAAACAAAATCTTACGTCGGCTGCAAGCCCCCCTAAATCTGGACCCTACGAGAAAGTGCGCCTTGAGGGTCCATCAGAAGCAGGAATAGTAGACTTGGACAAAATGCGGTGGAGAGAAAGCCGTGGTTCTGGAGGAGATTATTGTACACTGTCACCTTCAGCTGTAAGACCTGGCGAAACTATAAACAGAGACAGCATTGCTTCCAGCGTGTCGTATGTGTCGGAACCTACAATGACACCGCCATTTTCTCCTCCGTCGCCAAACACTGCAGAAGCTTCAGTATTTGAAGTATTCGGATCCTTGCAACCCTCAGATATGACGACAATTCCAGAAGCCCCCGGAGATGTCCAAGATCAACCAAACCCCCCTCGACCCATTCCACGTAAAAGAACCAAACCGAAGCTTCTTCCCCGCGACGATAGCTTACACGATGAAGAATATGCAACCCAGCTGGGGGAAACCACGAGAGCTGAAAGCAGTAGTGCTTCTTTAGAAAGGAGTCAAGATCCGTTTAGTTTTCCACCTGCTATAGCTTCCGCCCAAAAGATGGACAGTCCGAAAAACAGTAATTTTGCCGAGTTACACAAGCGCTTTTCGCCGCATTCTTCGCGGGAGAACATATTTTCTGATGTGAACGCTTCACCCGGTGGAGAACGGCAAGAACCCGACGGAGCCGAATCTCAAAATGATGTGAGGCCTTCGCCGTTGGTTTATGAAAATGTGTTGTTCAGACGAAGCGATGAAGTAAACAAGACCGAGGCGAGTGATACCCTCGAGAACGGAACTGTTGTGAAGAGAGATGATTCTGTTGGGAGGCCTGGATCATATAGGTTAAGCACACTGTCAGCGGAAAGCCCCATGGATGAGAGAGAAGAATGGGAAAAGGTAACGTTATGATTCCTTCGAGCAATCTTCTTTCAACTTCAAATAAGATTTTCGTTCTGTTGGGGACTTTTTCCCGCTAATTTAACCTTTTGAAATCAAGCCCTTGGTATGGACAGGATTTTTGTTAAAGTTATTGTTAAAGCAGTTCTTAACTGATTAACGAAATAACAAAACCAAGTGAATCAGAGCAACCAATCAGAACAAAGCTTGACATCATCATTAACCAATGAGAAATCGGGGTAAAACAGGTTAATTGCTTGAAGCGCGGCCAAACGCGGGACCAAGGAAAGCGCGGGAAAGCAGGGGAAAGCGCGGGTGACCAAGTCACAATTTTGTATCTGATTGGTTGAGATGGTGGCGCGAGTTCTCTAAACCAATCAAAGATCACAGGAAAGAAAAACCAGCGCAGTCTCAGATTATTTTTCGACACAGTTCAACATTGCCCTGATCCTTAAGAAAGGGGAGCCTTGTAAAGAGAGACTACTGTAGGAATATATTCGACAGTGATGGGAAATCGGTCTCTAAACTTAATGCTCTCCTCGCATTGGGTGGCAAAAGAGTAGACAATGGTACCTCCGCGAAAAAACCACAACAGCAACAACAGGTCATTGATGAACAGGCAAACATACATATAAGTTGGTAAAGGCTGATAGTTTCTAAAGAAACTGTTTGGGGCTGCGTCGGTGGGGGTAACGAAATAGTTTGAATATATCAACAAAGTTGAAATGGTAAATTGGCCACCGTTACGATTATAAAAGCTGACGTTTCGAGCGTTAGCCCTTCGTTAGAGTGAATGGAGGAGTAGTAGGTTATACGCGTGTTTATACGCGTGTTTATAAGCAGAAAATGGAGCTACGCTATTAGTGGGAACATGGTAACGAGAAAAACAAGAATGAATTAGTTGAATGAAAAGCGTTTGTTGATACCATGGGAATTAAGAGTACCGATTTGAAAGTTAGACTGTTGTTTTAGAATTTTGCAGCTTTCTGAACTGCCTAGATGTCGCTGGGAAATACCGCAGACTGTCATATGCTGCTCAGAATGATTAGGGAGATTAAAGTGTCTAGCGACTGGTTTGGATACGTCCTTGTCATTCCTTCCTTCGTCGCGAAGGTATCCTCGGAATCGCTCACCTAGTCGTCTTCCTGTTCGCCAATGTATATCTCTTCGCAATATGCGCAAGTTATGGTATAGATTACATTGGTGGCGATGCACGTGAAGTGGTCGAGTTTTTCCGAGTTAATCAGACCACTTCTTTCCCTTGCAGATTATGGTCAGTAATCACGACATCAGAAACATATCGTACATCACACAGGATCCAGAAGACAAAAGAGTGTTTGCTTATATCGCTAAAGATGCTAAAACAAACAACCATTACTGTCACGTGTTTAGAATGGATACTATGGTGAGTTAGTTATTGGAACTGCTTTTTGGAAAGTAGCCATGCCTTTAAACTGTGTATAAGTTTACACTTCTAAGTTTTCTTCAGTAGCTTTTTCTCCGCAGTGAAAATTATAGCAACATTATTTTCTTTGCAAGTTCACCAGGTCCACTTGTTTAGAACCTATCGTGTCTGTTACCGAACAAGTGAACTTCCTAAGGCCGTGACGTGCTGATGAAGATGAGTGTGAAAGCACATATGCTATGGAATTTTCAAAGTGTACGATGAGAGTGTACTCCAGGGGCCCGTTTCTCGGAAGTCCCGGAACTTAACGGGTCCGCTCTTCTGTTTCAATCATGATGGGTGTCTCAAAAGTTTTGAAAAGAAAACAATAAGACTATACGCTTAGGAAACAAAATGAACTGGTCAGGGTGCCAGAACCTGCCTCTTTTTTCTTTACCTGCCTTTAGAATACGACTTCGGGCCCGTTAAAACGTAAACGGACCCCGGGCAGGGCCCAGTGGTTTAAAGCACGGGTGATGCTATCTAGCAGATAAATCGCTATCCAGCGGACAAGGGTAAACAAAACGCATTGTGCTATCCGTCGGATAGCGATTTATGTAGCGGATAGCGTTATACCCCTTGAAGAACCGAGGCCTGAGTACTTTTAATAGAGAAGTTTTCTCTGCTTTTTTTTTTTTTTTTTTTTTTTTTTTTTGAGATAACTTCGCTTATCACTATGATTATCAACTATAAGTTAATTTCTTGAGCTAGAAAAAAGATGTCACTTTCCTTCTCTAGTAAACTCTTATAATAAGTTACCAATAGCCCATTTCCGAATTTCCCTTGGCCTCATTTTCAAAACGAGTCCTTGTGCTCATCCTTTCATGCGTTAGCCCTTCGTCATTCGCTTCGACGAAGGGCTAACGCTCGAAACGTCAGCTTTTATAATCGTAACGGTGGCCAATTTACCATTTCAACTTTGTTGATATATTCAAATTATTACATATAAGTTACATTTTTCCCTGCGCATGTCAAAAATGGGACTCTGTATAACAGACCCTGACGTATCGTTGGTTTATTGCGCTGTAATTACGTTATCAGTTCATTTTCTTGTGTTTTGTTCCTTTAGATCGAAGCCTTCCTCTCTTCCATCTCTCAGATTGATGTTCCTCACACTTTAGAGCAACAGATCGCTGATGCAGGTATCTTTTGGTTGCTCTTAAAATTTTTCCCTCTCGCAGCGTGTCCGTATCAGAGTTAAAAACAGATCAAAACAAAACAAAACTAACCAAAATAAAAAGAGCAAAGGGTTAACAGACAGCCGGTATTAATTGTTTAATTTGGGGCAATCTGGAATGCAAGAAATATTAAATCAATATACACAGTTGATGCTCACAATTGAATGAAATAAAACATATGTTGACCTGCAGATAAAAATTAAGTAAAGAAATTATCCTCGTTGTTGAGCTACAATTGAAGATATTCTAGAAAAGAAGCTTGCAAAGATTCAGGCTTCGTTCCCGCAAAGGAATCTTATCACAATGAAATTAAATAAATGATAATTATGTTGACCTTCAGTTTAATTCTAAATAAAGAAATGATCCTCGTAGGAGAGCTGCTGTGAAAGAAAACAATGACCCCACTTTCATTTGCGTCGCTCCCAACACATGGCTTCGTAGCTCTATTCGTAGGAGAGTTCAACTAGTATCTGGGAGACAAACGTTCGAATCAAGTCGAAGCCTGGATACTTTCGGGCCTTTTCATCAGCAATTTCTTTAATTGCGACTCACCTACTAGAATCATTTCTTCACTTACGCTGTTGTATGTACATTACAGGCAAGGCTGGTACTATAGCGGGCTGGCTGAAGGCACTGGATCTTGGTCAGTACGAATCATGTCTGGTGGCCAATGGATTTGACAACATCATGTTCTTGGTACGTTCCGGTTTTGTTGTTCTTGTTGTAAATGTTAATGTTAGTGTACATTTTTGCTTTCAAAACAGTAAAATTTAAAAGGCTAAGGCGCGGTTTATCCTCCTTCAGAAAATTTTGCTCAAATGATAACGAAATGTTGTACAATCGATTTATTTTTTTTTTACCAACGTGGCATTTATACAGAATGGGGTTCTCGAGGATGACGATCTTATGGTGATAGGAATTGTGGACTTTAACCATAGAAGGTACGGAAGAAAAAAACTCAATCATTTATTGTTTAAAAAAAGTTTAGTCTTTTTGGGTCAGTTTGACCTAGCGTATTGAGGTGATTGTGAATTTTGTGTGTCGTACACCAAAGATGAGATATGGCGGGCGAGTGAGCGAATTGACCATTTAATTAAGCGAGTTGACGGTGGAAGTTGGTGAATTTACTGGGAGGCATTGACTTCTGGGATATGTAATTGAGCAAGCGACGGCTGGTGTTAAGTTTGCATCTGATTGGTCGAGAGGATGGTGCAACTTTTTTAGACCAATCCCAAAGCGCAGGGAAACAAAGCCAATCACTACAGACATCCAATTGAAAATTGCTTAATGGGACTAACCCTGTTTTAATTTCAACAGAACCATCATGGAAGCGGTGAAGACCTTAAAACCCTGTCCCCGGCTTAGCGACCCGGTGTCAACAAAGCCTGAGAGTTTGGAGGACTGGTTAGAGCTTCTGAGTCTCTCCGAGTACTTTGTTGTGTTTCAGCACAATGATATTACCTCCATGAAGAGAATACGCATGCTATGGGAAGTGGAGCTAACGTCGGTTAGTGACGTTGACCTATGTATAAAAGGACATCCGATTGGAATTTTTAGCACTAATTCTTGCGCAATGATACGGGTATTCTTTCCAGAATTGTGTGGGTCGAAAAACAGTTTTAACCCACCTTGCTGCAGCGTGCGCGCAAGAACGAAATCCGCTAACAGGGCCAAAAATATACTTGTGTGCTTTAGCCGGTGGATTTATGGCCTGCGAGCATGTACTGCAGGTAGCTTATTTCTACGCCCGCGGCAAGATGTGAGACGAGTCGGGGAGAGTTTTGCCGGGGGTCTGGCACCAATAATGAGCAGTCCCAGACCCCTTCCAGACCTCATACTTTCCCGCGGGCGAAGACACGCTCGTCCCGAAGCGCTGAGAATAAGGACTTGCTCGCATGTTAAGGACTAATAAGCGTTGTTTCGAATCTCTCTGTTTCGACTACCTGATATACGAAACCAAAGATTGCAAGAATAAACGTTGTCAAGGTGTACCATTAAAAGCTTACGCGTTATTAAATTCCAACGGAGGTGCAGATTTGTGATGAAGCTGTGCGCTTAATGTTGGTTTCTTTTTCGGGCTCTTAGGTCCTGGAAATAAACTCACTTGGTCATCGGAAACGAATAATGGCTTCACTTAAAGAGGAGGTGAAGAATATAGAAAGAGAGGAACCATCAGAAGTAAGTCAAGACCACTTGAATCCGAGTGGCGGCTAGACTGACGGACTCAGTGGCCTTCTTGAATGGCTGATTTACTTACTCACTGGCTGGCTTGCCTACTGACTGGCTAGCTGGTTAATGGACTGATCGACTGAATGAATGTCTGGCTGGTTAGCTGAATGACTTACTGGCTGGCTGAATGGCTAGTTCGCGAGCTGGCTGGCTGGCTGGCTGGCTGACTGGCTAGCTGGTAGAATGACTGATCAATTAACTAAATGGTTGGTTGGCTGGCTGGCTGGCTGGCTGACTGACTGATCGGCTTACTAAATGGCTGGCTGGTAGTCTGATGTACTGATTGACTAATTGACTGATGAACTGACTGGATGGGTGAATAGCTAGTTAGCAGTGTTGGCTGACTTACCGACCGGCTGCGTAACTTACTGGCTGACTTTCTGGCTGGTTGAATGTTACATAGTAGTGCTAAGTGACTGGCCGACCGGCTGACTGACTTCCTAATTGACCAAATGAACAGCTGGCTGGTTGGCTGACTGGCTAACTGGTTGACTGGCTAACTGACTAACTGGCTGGCTAGTTGACCGGATGATTGACTGACAAGCTAGCTGGCCAGCTATTTATTTGTTTGTTAAAATGTCTATTCTCTTTTCATTTATTTAAGCATATTTATTTGTCTAATTTATTGCATATTCATTAACTTTTCAGAACACAGAGCTTGAAGACAGTAGTGCTGCTCTCGAAGTACAGTTAGCGGAGCTCAAGATGTACTGTCCAGATGAGAAACCGCTGGCCATAACAACCACCGTGGCGACAAGGGAAGGTGATCTGTTGGCGGCTGCCGAAGAGATGACGGATGGTCCTAAAAAGGTATGACGTCCTGTAAGCCTCGGTTTGAAACCGAGTCATTTCAATCTCGGTTGTTGGGCCGAGAGAATCAGATTGGATTTTCTTTTGCAGGCGAATAAAAGGAAGTCCAAAGAACATGGGTCTATGAGGTGGAAACACGAACCTTCAATGTTGTTAAATGGAAGTGTTAATTATGGTACTCTGGTGAGTGGAAAACTAGTCAAATAGAAGTTTTGAGACAGTTTTGAACACTGCGTTGGTCAAGCATGTCACCTTCTGTCATGATTATATTTTAGTATACACTAAAACAGTGGAAAGCGTTGTAGGCGTGCTCTGATTGGTTACTCAAACTCCGAATATCCTTTTTTATTCACTTCCGAGCGACGCGCACCAGATTTGCGCCAGAAAATATCGTAATCGTTGTAGGAATAAATGTTTAATAAATCATTTTTCTTTGTTATTTTATCTCAATTTTTTAGTATATACTAAAACAACGTATCCCCTCAGTGTCGTTGGCTAGCGGTGCTGAGATATTTAACTTGCCGCTACGTGGCTCGGTACCTATCCGCCATTAGCCACCTCCATGTCGATGAATAGTTGTTAATTATAACCAGTCCCTGAAATTCCTTTTGTTTCATACTAATGATATATATTATTTTGGTTTCTGCCTTTCTTTTCCAGTATCTTGGGTCGCATGCAGTCAAGACAATCACAGGGTTGCAGTCTACCGTTGAAGCATCCCGTAAAATCAGGGTAAGACAAGTTGTTTTACCTACTGGCGTGAAGTTTGATTGAGAGTCTTAAACCGAAACCAAAGTGATCACAACAGCTAATCAGAGTAAAGGAAATTATTACAAGTAGCCAATGAGAACTCAAAGAAAAAAATGTGCAAACTGCTTGAAGCGCGGGAAAACGTGAGTGACCAGGGCCCAAGTGGTTTTCGTTTTGAATCTGATTGGTTGAGAAAGTGGCGTGAGGTTTTTTTTTACCAATCACAGAGCAAGGTAAAGCTAAACCACGATAATTGCTGGTTTATTTCGACACAATTAAAAACTGCTCTTACTGTTCGTGAACCAAAGATCTGATAAAAAAAATTCTTCAGGGAATGTAAATGTTTTACAACGAACCTTTGGAGAGGCTTCTTCTATACTTAACCCATATTTTTTGTTTTTCTGTTTGTTACTTTAAGCTGTCTACAGCCAAGCTTCAGAAAATTCCCTCAGTGATGTTATCAGTGTCCGTGAAAGGAATTAAATTCATTGATGCGAGGTCAAAGGTAATGGTTTCTTCATTGTAATCAGTACTCACTAGAAAAAGCTATGGAATTACACGAGGTGGCAAAAGTGGCAGTAGGTTATGGCGTATTTTTCAATGGCAACAGCGAAACGTATTGCTTTTGATTCTGACTTTGTGGACAAAGATAAAGAGATAACTTTTTTAGGTCTTTAAAAATGTTAGGACAGTTTTAATTGACTACAAGGGTAACCTCAACGGTTTGAGATAATGATGAATCATCGACTGACTTTAGAAAGCTGGTTTAATGGCACCCACTCTCATCTCGACAGATGCTGATGAATGACTACATGTACCATTCAAATGACTTATTCATGACACTACGTAACCAACGCACTGAAGAGAACGATCTCACAGGCAGATCGAACCTGACCAATTAAACTGACTTTTGCTACTTGAATCTTGCAGCCACTTCTATCACAGCAAAACCTTCCAATCAGTTTGACTTATCAGACTTCTATCACTTGACAAACAAACAACTCCTGACTTGAAAGTGATGATGAGTTTTGCACAGTTTGTCGAAATCCCACTCTTTGTCACCGATAACAATCCTTTTCAGGACTTTCCATACCCAGAAAATCATGCGCACAACCAATTGTTACTCTTGGATCGAACCAATTACTGTCGAAATGATAGATGATGCTTTTCGATTCAGTGTCGTAAAACCAAAACCAAAGTAATTTCAACGGCTAATCAGACAAGGGTTAGGTATGACAAGGAGCCAATAAGAGCTTAAAGTAAAATAACAAACAAACAATTTGATTGAAGAGCTGGAAAATGCAAGTCACCAAAACGCGTTTAGTTTTAAATAGAATCTGATTGGTTGAGGAAGTGGTGCGAGTTTCTGGACCAATCACATGTCGAGAATAAGTAAAGCAGAATACTTTCGACTCTCAACTGAAAATTGCTTTAACGATAATAGCTATGATACCATGACTTCTATGACGATGGAAGTGTCTCTAAATAGCGTTTATTTGATGCTTTTTGGGTCTTTTTGCACTACTGAATAAAGGAAGTCATTTTCTCAAGAAACTGTCGTGCTGTATATGAGGGGAAATATACCAAGATGATTTGGTTTGATCAACTGATAATATAAATTGGCCACCGTAAAGAGTTTCTTAGCTGACGTTTCGAGCGTTAGCCCTTCGTTAGAGTGAATGGAGGAGTAGTAGGTTATACGCGTGTTTATACGCGTGTTTATAAGCAGAAAATGGAGCTACGCTATTAGTGGGAACATGGTAACGAGAAAAACAAGAATGAATTAGTTGAATGAAAAGCGTTTGTTGATACCATGGGAATTAAGAGTACCGATTTGAAAGTTAGACTGTTGTTTTAGAATTTTGCAGCTTTCTGAACTGCCTAGATGTCGCTGGGAAATACCGCAGACTGTCATATGCTGCTCAGAATGATTAGGGAGATTAAAGTGTCTAGCGACTGGTTTGGATACGTCCTTGTCATTCCTTCCTTCGTCGCGAAGGTATCCTCGGAATCGCTCACCTAGTCGTCTTCCTGTTCGCCAATGTATATCTCTTCGCAATATGCGCAAGTTATGGTATAGATTACATTGGTGGCGATGCACGTGAAGTGGTCGAGTTTTTCCGAGTTAATCAGACCACTTCTTTCCCTTGCAGATTATGGTCAGTAATCACGACATCAGAAACATATCGTACATCACACAGGATCCAGAAGACAAAAGAGTGTTTGCTTATATCGCTAAAGATGCTAAAACAAACAACCATTACTGTCACGTGTTTAGAATGGATACTATGGTGAGTTAGTTATTGGAACTGCTTTTTGGAAAGTAGCCATGCCTTTAAACTGTGTATAAGTTTACACTTCTAAGTTTTCTTCAGTAGCTTTTTCTCCGCAGTGAAAATTATAGCAACATTATTTTCTTTGCAAGTTCACCAGGTCCACTTGTTTAGAACCTATCGTGTCTGTTACCGAACAAGTGAACTTCCTAAGGCCGTGACGTGCTGATGAAGATGAGTGTGAAAGCACATATGCTATGGAATTTTCAAAGTGTACGAGGAGAGTGTACTCCAGGGGCCCGTTTCTCGGAAGTCCCGGAACTTAACGGGTCCGCTCTTCTGTTTCAATCATGATGGGTGTCTCAAAAGTTTTGAAAAGAAAACAATAAGACTATACGCTTAGGAAACAAAATGAACTGGTCAGGGTGCCAGAACCTGCCTCTTTTTTCTTTACCTGCCTTTAGAATACGACTTCGGGCCCGTTAAAACGTAAACGGACCCCGGGCAGGGCCCAGTGGTTTAAAGCACGGGTGATGCTATCTAGCAGATAAATCGCTATCCAGCGGACAAGGGTAAACAAAACGCATTGTGCTATCCGTCGGATAGCGATTTATGTAGCGGATAGCGTTATACCCCTTGAAGAACCGAGGCCTGAGTACTTTTAATAGAGAAGTTTTCTCTGCTTTTTTTTTTTTTTTTTTTTTTTTTTTTTGAGATAACTTCGCTTATCACTATGATTATCAACTATAAGTTAATTTCTTGAGCTAGAAAAAAGATGTCACTTTCCTTCTCTAGTAAACTCTTATAATAAGTTACCAATAGCCCATTTCCGAATTTCCCTTGGCCTCATTTTCAAAACGAGTCCTTGTGCTCATCCTTTCATTCACATGCAGATTAAACTCATTTTCACAAGAATGGTTGAGCACCAGGCCTCGTTTTAAAAAAGAGGCCAAGGGTAATTCGAAAATGAGCTATTCAATTCCGAATTTGCTTTTGTAAGATTGTAATTTTTTTTTTCTTTTGAACAGACTTTGTCAGATGAGATTACCATGACGATAGGGCAAGCTTTCGAGGTAATATTATGTGTGATATTGGATAAGTGTCAGTATCTGAGCACTTGCGCATGCGCACCTTCCCCTCCCTAACCCAACATTAACCCTTACTTGTTCTCAGTTGACTTTTGTTGGGTCAGGGGAGGGGTAGGTGTGCAATTGTTCGGATACAGACTCAAATCTGAAATAACAAAAGTGTAAAGATCGATTTGATCAATGGCCGCCACAAGCGTTAAATAGTAATTGTCTTATATTTAAACAATCTCGTTTCCAGGCTCTCTCTTCTTCCCGACTCCGGGACTCTAAGAGAGAGTCTGGGTTGGAGATCAAGTAGTTACATTTGTCGTCTTTCAATCTCAAATACAGCTTGCCTTCAGTCACTTCAAGTAGTCTTAGAAACGCCAACTGGAGCAGTGACAAGACGGATGCTCGGTCAAAACAGCTCATAAAACAGATCATCAAGCCGAGAGGAGTAGATTCATTTATTCACCTTGCAGTATTAAAATTCAAGTGTCGTACATGGAAGAGAAAAGAGCAATTTTCGAAAAAGGTCCCTGTCAGCTTCTTTAACTGAGAAGCTATTTCATAACACAGTTCTTGCGTGACGTGGCGTGACAAGCATTACGTGACAAGATGCTTCATTGCCGCCAAAGTTTTTAAGCGTTCACACAGATAATGGTTGCAATCGAGGAAATGTTAGCGTGCCTAAAAGCTGTTTCTTTTAATGAATACGAAGTGTTTGCATGAAAAAGTTCAACGTTCTCATTCAAATGACTTAGTAGACGAGTCGAGCATGCCCTATGTATTCGCTTCATTTGAGCGAATTTACTTCTAAGCTCTGTGATTGCCTGGGACTGAAGGAAATCAATACTAAAGGATAAATGTATACAACAGATTGTTTCAATTGTCGCGGCTTAGAGACGATCTTTAGCGTTTTATACTGCCTAATTTGAGAATGATCCTTTTGTGATCCATGTACTGATCAAACAAATTTATCTATTGTTTAGTTGAAGTTTAAATGAACTTGCCACAACGGGTACATACCCCTGTAATTGAGGCGTTACCCTCTTTTATATCGCTGCTATGAACAGTCACGTTAATGTGGCTCATGGTATAATTTTATTGTCTTGTTGGTGTGGCTCAATACTATTTCAGGTGGAATGCTATTAATATGTTTTCCAGAAAAGTTCCAATTTATATTTTTGTGCCAGAATGTTTTTCCAAAAATTATACTTTTTTTATAGATGGTTTATTTTTTTAACTCACGCAGAGAGAGATAAAATCAGTGAAAAACCCAGGTGTGATTTAGAAAAGGGAAAAATTATGAAAATTTGGTCAGGCGTTGTTCAGCGTAGCAGGACGACGATCCTGACGAGGCGATTTTGAAAAATAAAATTATTTTGTACAGAATACTTAATAAATGTGACTTATGTGTTTTCTCTGTCTTTCTCCATTGTTGCAAGTGTTCATATTGCTATCAATGATAATTGTGTTCAATTCTTTTAGACTTTTGCCGATTTGTAAGCAGGGGAAAGTTGACACGAATCTCTGATTCCGAACGAAGCCTCCGTCCGATTCCGAACGCTTCCGTCTGATTGCGGACATTCCCGCCTGCTTCCGAACGCTTTCGTCTGATCCAGGCGCATCAATCCGAATCCGAACGAATCTCTCCAAGTATGGACAGCTCCGTCTGATTTCAAACGCTTCCTTCGATTCCAACTCTGGACGCCTCCGCCCCTCCTGGACCCCTCCGTCCGATTCCAACACTTCCATAAGAATTTTTTTTTTTTTTTTTGATCTGATATGATGAATACCGAGAAGTATTCTCTTGTGAACAATTGAGCCGTTAAACCTCGTAGACTTCTTTACCTTCAAGGTGTAAAAAGGAATGAGCAGGAAATTCGAATTTGTTCAAACTTCTAAGGCAGCGCGCAGGTCCTCATTACAGTTAACGTTGCAGGATGGACCCCTTTTGCTCAGCAAGAATAATTGAGACGAGTCGGGGAGAGGTTTGCTTGGGATCTGGCACTAACAATCAGACCGCTTGCAGATGTCTCGCCGGCTCGCATTGCTCAAGGCCTCGATCGTACTCCCGCGGGCAAGGGGTGTCTAGTATCAATGAATGCTGATTATTAGTGCTTCACCGGTTTTTCTTTTATTATTTACTTTCTTTTAAAAACAAGCCAATAATAATCCTTTTCCTCTCACCACGTGTCGATTAAACGCTGAACAACAACATTTAGATCACAGTTCAAGCAAGTCGATTGGCTTCCATAAATTCGCATAATTCGATCACATCATTTACAAACCTTATTTAACGTTCACACTTAAGCAATTGAAAATTTCAAACCTACTTTATAAACGAAAAAAAAAAACATTGAATGTATCTAAAGGACTGATCAAAGGATGTAATAAGTTAACCTTTCTCCTCGTTTGTCGAAGAGCTTCATCTTACCGACTGTGTGCTTCCAGTAGGCCCTAAACGTGAAGTACCCGAAAGCCAAACGTGGCGTTCAATATCCTCAATACTTAATCGCAATCTAAAATCTAAGGTGAGCATGCCACATATGAGATCTCTGCAGTCTTCTGTGATCTGCTGTTTCGGTCTATGAAAACTTGGCCCGCGTTTGATCTGCGCCAATAGCATCTTCATGTCAGAGTCATCAAATGGCATTCGACCCGTTACCATTGTGTACAAGACCACGCCCATACTCCACACATCAGCTTTCTCACCGTCATAAGGAATACCTTAAGGGTATAAACTAAAATTAATTTTTCTAGGTGTAATTGCAGAGCTAATAGCGTATGAATACGTCTTCAGTGTAGGACCTAACTCCTTCATTTCAAGAAAAGAGAGATATATAGTAAAAAAACAAATGCAGCTTAGTACCCTGGATGACGCTTTTGGTAGTACAGTCCCCTCACCCCAACTCCTGGCTCTTCTGAAAATCCTACGTAGGAAGCGCCGCATGTGTAACGAGAAGCACTTTTCAAAAAAGACCGAAAGACAAACTCAATCGCTGTTTGTTTTCAGACCAAAAAATCTCTGAGGGAAGTTAAATTGCTGAAGCGAGCTGTTCTGTTGACTTAAACCTTTATGTAATTTAATAATGAAAGATAAGCGATTGCAAATCTTTCAGTCGTCATTGAAAAATAAGACCCTTTCAGGGTTTTTTCAGCGACAAATTCCTGACACAGCCTATGTGGGGAGTGCGCCTTAGAATCATCGAGGTTCCAAGAATTAGGGAGAGGTCTGTTAAGGACTAACGAAGTTTTGTTAGCGCAACAAAGTCACTAGAATTTACCAACATAACAAGAGCACAAATTTTCCCTATACAAGTGTTCTTAAAATATAGCGAAAAAAATGCATGTATGCGGCGCCAACAACTCTTGTGAGACTGGTTTGTTCCAACAGTGAAGAATATGAAAAGTACTCGTGAAATCTTAACATGAAGTACACTTGCCTTTTAGAATCTCGTACGCTGCATAGGCAGCCGATCCACAGAAAGTCTTGCAAAATTCTGATCTTTCAAATGGTCTGGAGAAACCAAAGTCGGTGAGTTTCACGTTGATCCCGTCGTCCAAGAGGATGTTTTCGCATTTCAAGTCACGATGCAAAACGCCGTGTTTATGACAATGTTTGACTGCTTGTAACATTTGTAAGAAGATTTTCCTGCTCAGATTTTCTTTCATGCATCCTTTTTTCTTAATGTAATCCAATAAATCTCCTCCGGGGGCAAGATCCATAACAACAAATACTTTGTCTCCAATGTCCAGTACCTCGTACACTCGAATGATATGAGGATGATCAAGGTTTTGAATAATGCTCAATTCTCGGGGAAGAAATTTATCCAAAAAATCCTCAGGAGCCTTTTTACGATCTATTATTTTAACAGCAACGTGAAGTTTCATTCTTTTTGAGTAAGCCTTACGGACTTTGGCGTAGGAGCCTTCCCCAAGCGGCGAATCATCGAGAAGCTCGTAGCCATGTTGCCTTAAAAATCTTAAGTTGAAAGATTGCTTGGACACAACATGGGAGAAGAAACGTGTTATTGCAGACATTGGAGATCTGAAGACCTAGCCTTGCCAGTGCGACCAACTTTGGGATGATTGTGGTGATGCAAGTCCTGTTGCAATTATGACGCCACAGAGTAGTTTTTGCGCGCGTTCCGTTCTCCGCAATGCGCACGTCAGAGCTCGAGATCATTTTCTTTCTTGCCCCAGTCGTGAACGTTCAGTTATCATCGGTGTTTGAGTTATTTAACGGAAATGTTTTAAAATAATTTCGATATCAAACATTGAAACTGCATGATAAATGATTATGTTCCTTTGCAATGATAGTGATAATGATAACAACGAATAATAAAGATAACAGCAACGATGACTGAAAGGTGTTACGACGCTGACTACTATAAAAAAAAAAAAGAAGAAAAAAAAGAAAAAAAAAAAAAGATGACCGATGCTACTGGTGCATTCACAAATATAATTCTTTTGTTTATTTTATTTATTATTTGATTTATCACTCAGGGCCGCGTTCTTCGAGACACGTTGGTTCATCCGCTATCATAACTGTTGAGCTTATGTCTAACCCCTTGGCACAGAACTACTGGTCAGATAATTCAACTTTTTCGTTTCATCTCTTTCAGCGACGAAGATTTAGACGAATTCTCTCGAAAAGATATTTTCCCTGACGAAGGGCTGGAAACGTCAGCTTTGGAAACCCTTTACCGGTGGCTAATTTACGGCATTATCAACTCAGTTGATAAAACCGAATTATTTTGTGATACTCCTACATCGACCTAGCACCATTAGTTCTTTAGAATTTTACCAATTGAAAAATAGGCCGATTTCTAGTAAAGGCTACTCTGGGGTTATTGATTGAGCTGACAATAAACAAATGGTAAACACCACAGCGTGCACTATTTAACAAATGGTAAACACCACAGCGTACACTATTGAGTTATGGATGCACGCGGGAGGTTGCTAAGCACGAAAGAAGCGTAAGAGTCGCTCGAGGCGATAGCCGAGAGCGACTCTAGCTTCTTGAGTGCTTAGCAACCTCTCAAGTGCATCCATAACTCAATAGTGTACGCTGTGGTGTTTACCATTTGTTTTATAACATAACATTGATACATTGTAGCTAAAGAGTTCCCTTTTATTTAACAAATCTTACGTGACCAGAAAAAAGGCGCGCGCGGAAAAATAGTCTTTGCATTTGCTCACGTCAGCAGCGTACACCCATGGGCAAATGGTGGACGCTAAATTGACCAATCAGAGCGCGCGCTTTACTTTGGTTATGTTATAATTAGGTTTTTTAACAAAGTGTTATGTTGCTATTGAACAGCATGGTATCCTTGTCACGCAAACCTTCCACGTTGCACTTTCCTTAGAGGTTTTCCCCCGTCCCACATTCCAACAGTTAGGCGATCCTCCCTTGCCAGCGTGGCAGAAATAATCCAATGAAAATGCAGATAATTACTGACTTGATTCCTATCAGCCAATCAAATGATACCACATTGTCGCCATGGCTGTTACATTTGCAGCCGACAGCCAGTCCCAGGAATCTTGTGTTGTCAAACACATCTGGTGCAAGCATATTACCTGCAGGACAAATCTGACATTATTATTTTAGCATAATGGCAAGAATTTTATCTACAGTTTGCCTCTGTTTGTGTTTGTTAGTAATTGATGCACGACCTCCAGAAGCGAAGGGCCAAGGAAAGGATCGTGTCTACGATCAGGACTTGTCGGAAGAAGAACATTTTAAAGAAGGAGAAGAACACAACGCTGAATATGATCACGACGCTTTCCTTGGAAAGGAGAAGAAGAAATTTGATGAGTTGACGCCTGAGGAATCAAAAGAGAGACTAGGGTATGTGAGAAGTTACAGGAAATTGCGGATTCTCTCGCTTTGAGTTGTATATGCATGAACATGAAATCGCTATTCGCTGCTCCAGCAGAAAGTTAAATCGATGAATTAATTCGAAGTCACTTGATGCATAAAATTATATGATGATTCGTGGGCAACATGAAGTTTGGCTCTATGGAAATATTTTGAACTGCGTTTGACAAGGCGAGAATTATTCATTATGCAAAATTAAGACTTCAACAAACAGCTAGAAGAACGTTTGCTTCGATCCGTTCATCGATAATAATTTTTATCTCCTTCAGCTTTGCCACGTCGTCAATATTGACCAAAATTTAACACCAGCTGTAATATAGGACGTTTGTGTATGATTGTTCATCGTGTTACCGCTTTGTCCATTTTCTAGCCTAAGAGCAATTTTTTGGCGCATACTATGAAGTATGAATTTCCATAAGGAAATATCTTAGCGACAATCATGCATAACGTTACAGCATGTAGTAAGCATGTTTACCAGTTTGACAATTATGGATTTTTGTGATTTTGTTGTTCCCACGGGTTTGCCGGTCATGCAACAATCTTTTCACAATGAAGGCACAAAATTATATTAATCGTCGAATTCTTGAATTAGCAGTATAGGAATGATCGTGCATCATACGTACCAATATAGGAATGGTCGTTGTTGTACAGTGTTAGATATTTCACGTAAATCTTCATTTCTGAAGGGTGCCACGTAGCACAAAAACGAATTTTGTGTGGGAATGGGCAGATTTCATTATGAAAATGAATGACATGCTCAAAAACATTGTGCATAAGCTGGGCAAGTAACACAGTTTTTACATCAAAGTTCAAAAAAGGAATTTACTTCATGAAGAATTTTGTCATTTATAATAATTATAGTAATAACAACGAAAAGGAGGGAAAAGCCACTCGTAATTTTGACCTTCCAGACAATCTGAACTGCACTCCGTCACCTATCTTAGCAACCTTCCTTCAGGCAGTAGTGAGCATATTTACCAGTTTGACAATGATTAGATCAGTGTGATTTCATTGTTTTCAGGTGTTTGTTGGAAATAGATTATAAATCAATTTTTTCTAACACTGGTATAATTATCAGCTGGACAGAATTTTAAATCCTTGAATCTGATTGGCTAGTCATGATCATTCTTGTAACTGCCATCCAGCTTTCTTACAACATGGGCCTAAGTCAGGAAATTCTTTTCACACCATTTTCATCAAAGTGGAAAAAGAAAAAGTGCACATAAAAAAAATATGTATGGTTGAGGTCTAGATTAGTGCATACAGGGAAAAAAAAACTATGCCATTGACCATGAGTAGAAAATCATGCTCTCACAACTGGTACAGCTTTTAGAAAATAGGACCATGGTCAGGAGAGTTTTCCATGCTAATTGTGGCAAAGCTAAAAAAAAAAGTTGTTTACCAGTCTAAGTTGATTTGTATGGGGAAAAAACTGTGGTCTTGGTCTTGTGTCTTGTGTAGAAAATGAAGAGAAGATGATATTGTATAGAAAATGAATAGGGGATGATGAGTAGAATTGACTTTGGCATCTTGGGAGTGAAAAGGTTAATAAATAATTCACTGAGCCCAAAATGATACCTAGTAACTTTATCATTCAAAAATTTTTCTATTGTTGTGCTTGTACAAAAGATCAACACTTTTAGCTAGAGAGACTGTCCAACATATGAGGTTTCATAAAAAATAGGTGCCTTGTGTTTTCAGATGAGATTTGTGTTTGCATGTCTCAAATATGTACATGCAGAACTTCAGATAAAATCGCATTTTGACATCCATTTGGTTTCCATCTTTCCGAAAAAGAAGTCAGAGTCTTTTTCTTTTTTTTTTCTCGAGACATCTGATCATTTTGGGAAATTCTTTTTTGGGGATGTAGATAATAGCCGGAAGCCGGGAAGATTACCCGGCTGTGAACGCGATTTTTCTGGCTGTAAAGTACTACTTCTTTCTCCAAAATGTTTTTAAATGTTGTCAGAACATAGTTATTTATTTAATTCGTTTTTTACACCTTCATTGCTGTCTTAACAAAACTGAAGGACTGAAAGGATTGTAAACACTCCATTTAGTGCGAGGATCGCATCATTCATATTACATTGTCCATTTTGCAGGCTCGATGGCGAGTGGTATTTGTAACTCATGTATGCGAAATAATGAATGCCAAAGGCACGCTAAAGTGGGCCTTCGGCCCAAATACAATACCCACCTATCATTGCTAGATTCCCGCCTGTTAAAAACTTTAGCTACATCCCTGCTTTTGCAACGAGAGTGGTAAGAGTTTACACACCATCTCATGAAAAAAAAAAAAAGGAGGAAAAAAAACTATTTTACAAGATTGTAATAAAATTTATGAAATATGGCACTTGATTTTTCTTTGAAGTTGTTTGAATAGTATTTGTTCTGTGTGGAAATTACTGGACAGTGTACTCTTTCTCGTCCATCTCCTCAATGATGATAAACCTGACCCAGTAAGATTTTGACCAAATGACCTCCTCATCTTGATTTGTTTTTCAGAAAAATTGTGGACAGAATTGATAAAGATAATGATGGAAAGATCACACGGAAAGAACTAGAGGACTGGATCAAATTTACATCCAAGCGTTATGTCTTTGAAGATGTTGACAGACAGTGGGAACAGCTGAAAAAAATTGAAAGGTCTCATATGACTCTTGAAGAGCGTTATGTTGACAAAAAGGAAATAGATCCTAATGGAGCAATTGGCTGGGAGCTGTACAAAAACATGACTTATGGGTATATTCCAGGTAATTTCTACCCTTAACACTTTAACTCCCATGATCTGATTGTTAATTCTCCCCCCCCCCAGTTGTTACAAATTTTTTTGTGAACCAGTTATGAGAATTTGGTGTTAGATCAACATAACAACCTCTACCTGATAAGTTAAGAGTATTGTCATTACCTGTTTGCTGAATAATTAAGGGATATGATAGGGAGAAGTTACATGTCAATCACTTCTAGGACAGAATTTCTCCCCATAATATCGATACAATGTTTAAACAGACAAGTGATTAGCATGAAGAAAAATATCAATTAGGGGATTATTATTAAATCTATTAACAAATTCATGGCACTTACATTCTGGTTAGCTCAATTGGTTAGAGCGCTGGATTGTGTTGTATGGGAGGTCGAGGGTTCGAGCCCCTGCCGGACCAATACTCATGGTCTTAAAATAACTGAGGAGAATTTGCTACCTTTCTATAACATCAATGAAATGGATAGATATTCTAGTCTTCTCGAATAAGGACGAATAAATGGAGGTCCCATCTCCTGCAGGGTGGGGGGAAGGAGATGTCAATTTCCCACACACGAGATTACTGTGTGATGGATGTCCTCCGCTGGGGTGGGATGTGTGGGGGAAAAGGTGAGGTCATTACATGGACTAAAGCGGCTGCCAGAGGCACCTGATAATGCTGACGTCCAATCTCAACCTTAGTAACACTGTAGACCTTCGCAATTCAACCTATGCTGCTATTAAGGTATCAAATCATTCACTGTAGTAGACAGTAAGGAGAATTCGTCATGAGAATTTTGGAGTGAAGGGGTAACATTCATAGAATTCTCCCAGTTTACAGTATGTTTGTTCCTCGAACAAAACAAAGTACTGTAAAAACCAGAAGATAAGCTGCACCCACAGATAAGCTGCACCCTGAATTTAGCAGCTCAAATTTTGGAAAAAGAAGTTTTTTTTAAAGAAATCAAATGAAATCCAAAGTTGAGTCTGGAAAAGTCTTCTTCATCCACTGTTCATCAAACGTAAACTCACTGTTCACATTGAAACAGAAAATACTTCAACGTCTTACCCACAATTTTAGCACTTAAATAGAATGAACATCATTTCTACCAATTTTGACACATGATTGATATTTCAGTTTCTGGTATTTGTTGACAGGAATTTCTTCACTCGACAGTTTTTCCATAGATTTTTGCATTACAACAGAAATGTGAGCTGAACATTTGAAGCTTAGTAATCAGGCATTAGGTTGGATGCAAAAATGGACATTCACAACACCTTTTCCAAATGTTCCCACTGATAAGCCACACCCCCAATTTCTAGTAACAATTTTAGGAAATAAAAGGGTGGCTTATCTGCAGGTTTTTACAGTATTATTTTGTAGAAAGACAGCACACCTATCACTGAAGCCCTCAATCAATCCCAGATGTGGAGTTGTTGTGGGACTTGAAGAGTACAGTTTGTTGACTCACTGGTTTTTGGGGAAGGAGTGTATTGAGTTCCCTCTGCATCAAAAGTTTGGATGCTAGCATCAAAATTTTGAAAAATGCATGTGCACTATTTACAGTCTCATGCTTGTAAAAAAGTAGAAAGAACTGTATGTTAGTTACCAATCATGGCACTCATATTCCTCTGAACATTTTTCAAATTGATTATTTTTTTCAGAGGAAGATGACTATGAGTACAAGGATATGTTAAAACGGGACAAACGGCGCTGGGAAATGGCCGATATTGATAAAGACAATAAAATATCAAAGGAGGAGTATACTGCGATGCTTCATCCCGAAGAGTATGATCATATGAAAGATGTTGTTGTGGATGAGACATTAGAAGATATTGATAAAGATGGCGATGGAGTTGTCTCTATTGATGAATATCTAGGTATTGCAAGCTTTTATTGTTAGTAGTAAAAAGATTGGAGAGTTGATATGTCATATTCTAATAAGCAAACAGCAATTTTTCTTTTTTTTTGAGTGTGGAAAATAATCTGGGTATTGGTGGATATTGACAAAGCATGATGAAAACCAGACGACATTTCAGGGTAACATGAAATAAACTATTACCTTGTCCAAGGGAATGTCAATATTTACCCTCTCCAGTTTCATGCAGTGGAAAGAAGGATAAGTTTTAGCAAATTTGGCCAGTTGACCCATTAAGTCCCATGAGTGACCAAGACTAAACTTCTCTTCACACTATCAATACAATGTCAAGCCAACAAGTAAGGAGAATAGAAAAACATATCAAAGAGGGGATTATTAGTTGATCCAATACAAAATTTTCTGAACTAACATCAAAAGAATAGTATGGCAGACAGTTAGGAGAACTACTCATGCATACCTGCCAACCCCGCCCGCAGAGCACAAAAGTCTGAAAACATCTCAATTTGACCGATGTAAATGGCTCGCTACAACCTGAACTGTGCCAAATTTCTATCATCTATTGTGCAGTTTGATGGGTTGATTTCTGACCAGTTATATGATACTCGTTGAATGTATATCAATTTGATTGCTCTGTTTTACTTTTTCTAATGGAGAACAGCTTAAATAAGAGCACTAAATCCTTGTTTACATCTCAAAAACAACTAAATATTGAAAAAACCCACAGTAGGCCTTTCCCAGGAGATTTGGTGCTCTAACCGGGAGACTGGGAGATTTGATGAAAAACTTGGAGACTCCAGCAAAAACTGGGAGAGTTGGCAGGTATGCTCATCATAGAGGTCTTGGGAGTGTAAAGGCTTTAATAAAATTTGGTTATGTGGGTTCGTAGTTTATCAATTTCAATGGTATGGCACTAATTTCTTAATTTTTGGGTACAGTGCTCCAGGGAAAATTTTGTTTTATCTGTTCTGGCTTTTATGTAACGTTCTTTTCAAGAGAAAACAAGTTAGATGTAACAATGGACAATGCCTGTGGAAAATTGTGTTTTTTCTGTCCTGGTCATCGTACAACTTACTTTTAAAAAAAAAAAAACAAGTTACGTGTAACATTGGACAATACTTTTTCTCAATTCAGGTGACTTGTATCCAGAGAGTGAAAAAGAAAAGGACAAAGAAGAACCAGAATGGGTGAAGACCGAAAGAGAACACTTCAGAGACTTCCGTGACAAAAATAAAGATGGAAAAATGGACAGGGTATGTTCTTTTATGTGTCATAACTTAGATGATGACGTATGTTGTTAATCTGAGCTCATTCTAACCTACTTCAAAGTGAAACAGGAGAACGCTATACTCAAGGTTTCCCTTTCTTTTTCTACTTGGTTGCTATGAAAATTTGATGTTAACATTCAACAATAACTTATCCATCTTTATAAAATTTTCTTCGTTTTAAGTTTACATGTGGTTACCTTTTACTTGTGATTACTCTTCAGGTGACTTAAAAATTAATATTTGTTCCAAGTAAGAATTCAGTAGTCTTGAATGTTGATGTTTACCATGTTTTTGAAAAATTTTGATATGATAGGATGAAGTAAAAGATTGGATCATTCCACCTGATTATGACCATGTTGAAGCAGAGGCCAGGCATCTTATTCGTGAAGCAGACAAAGATGAGGTCAGAGTTACAAAACTGAAAGAAATTTAAAGTATTCATACCCAAAAATATTAAGATATTGCCGGAACTCAATCTACAAAAATTTATGTAAAAAGTGAAAAAATTAATTGCCTCCCTTCCCTAAAAAATTAAAATGGCAAATTTCACCTAAGAGTTAAATCCTGTACATACATTGTAAGATCAACAATCTTTTGTTACAAATTAGAACATCCATCCTATTATTTTCCAAGGAATTAGACTAGAAAATTATTTAAGCACAATTTAAATGGAACAAATGTCAATATTAGTTTTTTGGAGACACTGTAAAGCCACTTTGACTGTAAGAGTCAGGGAGAGAGATACCCCAAAGTGAATGTCACTGCTGTAGGAGTTTGAAAAAGGAAATGAACTTATATTAAAAAGGGGAACATTTTGAACATCAACCATGGATCAGAGCACCTTGTTAAATTTATCAACCAAGTGCAAAAACATTATGTTTCAACATCAGGTATCTATTTCTCTGAAATTCTTATGCTTTGGTATCAGTGGCCTGGAAAATCATCAGAATTAAAATCATATTTAGTCATTGTAAAGTGAAACCTCCACAAAAGTAAAGTCATCGAGAGAATTCTATGGGAGTTAATCCTTACCATACATAATCTCTATACATTTCATTCACAGTGATATAAGCCAGCTTTAAAATAGTAGTTTTTGTTTTTAAGGGCCATCAAATTCAGTGTGGCAAATATTGTCTCCTTGTTAGACGGGTGGAAGATCTGGGAAGAGTGACAAAGCAAGGGGGAGGGGAGAAAAGAGATTTTTTTTTCCTCTTCCCCCTCCCCCTCACTTTGTAACTCATCCCAAATCTACCCCCTGTCCAATGTGGATTCTGAATATTCACTTGGCTGAATTTCAGGCTTGAAAACACAAACTTCTGCCAGCAAGTAGGCTATGAATATTATATAACTCTTACTAGTGGAATTTGAGGTCTGTACTGTAAGTTATGGACAGAGCTTGAAAACAAAGTTTCTTGGTCCAAAGTGCTGACCAAGAAAACAAGGTTATTGCGTTATCTGAAAGACTTCAATTCAAACAAACTTTTGAATTTAGCTGGCGGTACAGTGAAATATAGCCTGCTAAATTGACCAATCATCACTAACCTACTAATGGGGAGATAAAATCAAATGTGTAAATTTTTATGTTTTTATTTTTCAGGATGATATGCTAACAAAGGAGGAAATTCTAGATAAACACGATGTCTTTGTTGGGAGTCAAGCTACAGACTTTGGAGAAGCTCTGACAAGACATGACGAGTTTTAGACCATCTTTAAGATTTAAGTTACTTATTGAAGTTTCTAAAGAATTATAGCTATTAAAGATATATTTTTTTACGTTATACAATTACATGCCACACCTCAGTATTTTATAGAAATACAACAACAACAACAACAACAAAAAAAACAAAATGGTTCGTGTTAAGGGAACAAAAAAGAGAAAAAGTTATAATGTTCTTTACTATTTACAGTTGTTTATCAAATGTCCATGATGGATAGGTAAATGGTTTGGATCAGGTTCACCCAAAAAGTGCAGTATGATGTGAAACTTTATGCAGTGTCGCCTGGAAATGTTTGAAGCAGTTCCTATCAACGTAAAACTCAGAAACCCACGAAAATCGGAAATTTTTTTTTTATGGAATCTCTTTGTTTTCCAAGGGAAAAGGCAGTCTTCCACAAGGAAACTAAACTGCCCTAGCAGTTGTAATGAGGTTGTGGCTTTGAGGGATCCTTAACCCTTCAACTCCAACAAGAAATCAAAATGTAACTTCCCCTTATAATATCTATACATTATCCAGCAAACAGGTAATGAGAATTTTAAAACTTATCTGGTGAAAGCTAAGTTGCCATCTTGATCTCGCACAATTCTCTCATAATAACTAATTTTCACGTGTGTAGCAACTAGAGGGGATAGTTAGAGATCAGATCTTGGGAATTAGAGGGAAAAGATTCCTGAACTTTCTTGGAATTTCTCCACGCACAATTTGCCTGCCAGTTTTATTTTTCAAAGTGTGTATGGTATTCTGGGTCTTAAAGTGAAATCCTTTGCTACCAATGCGAGAGAGTGTTTTCATGCAAACTTTTCTTACAAGTCAAGTACATTTGGCTGTCAAACGGACAGGTAATCAGAAGTTAGGAAATTATAAAGTAGGTGTCATTTGTCTGGATATAATCCCAAATTCTCATGACTTGTGGAGTTGTTCATGGCTGTGGCGTGGATTGAGGGAGGGGTTTGTGGGTGCTCGTAACAACCCCTTGGTGAAAATATTTTATTTTTGGTTGATAGCATGAGTTTACAAAAATGAGAGAATCTGAAGAATTTTTAGTGCAGAGTTGCACTTACTGAGGTCCTTCTTGGTGCGTGAGTACCTCATCAAGGGCCATGGACAAGGAAGAAGAACGGTGTGAGTCACTCCACTCATGAGGCGCGTGGAAATGTTTTGTTTTTGACCTTCTGCAAAACATTCTAGGTACATTAACCAACCGATCTTTGGAATTAAAGGATTTACTTTGAAATTCATATATCACTCCAAGTGCCCATGTTATGAAAAATGTTGCGTTCTCGTTTGGTTCCAATGTAGATCCCTTCCTTCTAAGCTTCTTGAGCTGGATGCCTCCTTTGAGTTGATCATCGTGTACAGTTAATAAGCTTTTTTTTCAATAACTAGGGAAAATATTTAATTTCTGACTTTTTAAATTATATATACACAATACCAAGCTAGGGGACATAGGTCGTTTTTTTTTTTTACTTTTGTCATGTCTTTTCAAATCAAGGATGCTCTTTAAGCTTTTCCAATGGTACATTAATTTATCAAATTATGTAGTAAAAACAAAGTTCCAATTTGACCTGGTCTTGGTTAATGATTTTAGTGAAGAAGTAACCCTTATATTTTTACTTTTTTTCCCTCAAATTCTAAAAGCTTCGAAATTTTTTGAAACAAAAAAAATTTACCCCCTAGACTTGTTTCTCTTCAATCTTTTGGAGAGACGACTGAGCTACCACCATTATGCGGGAAAAAGTTGTCGACAAAATTGGCGTTTCAGGTGAAACAGGGCGTGTTGCCCCCTTAAATGGCTCGAGTAACAAAGGAACGCCCAACTGCAACGTGTAATGCGGTTATTGTACGAGAAGTAAGTTGGAAAACAATAACGCATTTTCCAATTTCAATTTTCTTTCTCAGAAAAAAAAAGATACATCTCATAACCTGAAATCCTCTGAATTAAAACGTGCGTCTCCCCTTACCACTCTTCTCCCCTTTTCCCACTGTTACTGACACTCAGCCACAGTTTGAATGCGTTCTTTTTAATCTCGACGATTCACTTGTACATAACACACAAAAAAAATACAAAATTAACAATGCGAACTTAAACTTGAGGAAACTGAAATACCTCGAAATGAATACGAAAAAACACAGGAAAATACAAACGAAAGCGTAACTACTTACAAGATCTGTACGGCACTCCGGAATAACCACGACTGAAAGAAATTTACAAACAAAAGTTTATATAACGGATAAAGATTGAAACAACAGACTAAACAAGGTTACACAATACTCAAAAGCGATTACATAAAACAACGCTGACAAACTTAATTTACATTTTGACAGCACGAAAAAATACAAACTAATAAATACAGAACTGAACTATGGAGACGAGAACTATTTACACTAATTACAAATAACAACGACGAACGACAGAACTGATAAAAAATCACTGTACGTCGTGGCTACACCCACTTTCCCTTCTCCCATCCCCCATCTCCACATCCCTCTTCTCCACTTTCCCATCTCACTTGTCTCCTCTCCTTACCTAATGCTTATGGAAGTAACTGCTCATGGAAGTAACAGTAAACACAAAATAATTTAGGATCTCCAATTATACTTGAGAAGTAGTAAGACATCATTTAACCCTGTGTGCCAACAACGAGTACGGAACCACCAGACGAAAATCTGACATTGATACAAATTCGAGAAACGAGAGTGCAAGGTACTTGCAAGGAGTGCGGAATGCGGCCCAAAAAGCATCGACTGTCTTTAAGTTAAAAGAAGTTCTTTTTCTCCCTTCATAAGGTTATTTCTTACTGTCATTTTTCACCGTTTTGATAAGCGTTGCTTTAGCGCGCTAAGACGCAAAAGAGTCTCACCTTGCTGAAGAATTCGCAGAATTTGCTTTGCGTGACGGACGGGGGCAGTCGCTTCTGTTGTGAATGGCTCTTTTATCTTTGTGAATGAAACTTTTTATTTCTTAGCTCTCTGAATGCTCATTGACATGTCACTTATGCCAACGTGGCGAAAATTGCGATGCAGTCTGCACCACATGACCACGAAGTATCCAATGAGAATATACCAACAGTCACCATAGCAAGGCGTGTCTGCTACTATAAACTACAGCGAGTGGGAAAACCCCGTCAAATAGATCTGTCAGTTACCGAGGACGATTCAGTTGTATTTGATCAGCTAATAGCTACATTTTGATTCATCATTCCAGAGAAATGGCCAAATTTTTCTACGCGCTGCATATTTCGTTGTTCTTTGCAGCGGTATTTGCCAAATCCGTCGAAGATGGAAACAAATCTCGTGGAAAACTTTCGGAGCAGGAACATTACGACAAGGAAGGTCAGCACAACTCGGAATACGATCACGAAGCTTTCCTTGGAAAACAGAAGAAAACTTTCGATCAGCTTACCCTCGAAGAGTCCAAAGAAAGACTTGGGTGAGTTCAGTCAGTCTTTGCTTTCACTGATCATTGAATGACATTTTGTTTTGAAGGCAAACTCGAAGTCGATCCAAGTTGCGGCTTCTCAATTGTTTAGATGTGTTCGATGTTCAGCTCAAGAGGCAAAGTTTTAGCTACATAATGTTATTACGAAGCTGCCAATACAGTAAGTGTTGTTCCTTCATGAGTTAAAGTTGAAAAAGGAGGTAATGTAGACCGCTAATGGAGTGATATAAACTATTAGTTTGCGCTTTGAGTACATGCGTGCGCTATCCGAACTAATCCAGGGAAGTTTATTGATCCGTACCATGAGGAACTTCCAGGTTTCTTTCAGTTTGCGATATAAGATCGGAGGATAGCAAAGCTGTTTATTCCACCTTCAGTTTTTTTTCCTCAGATTTATTTTAGGTAAATTTCTGATTTCTCAAAGAACTGTAGAAATGTGTAGTGAAATATGATACACCCGCCGACTGCCACGTGTAACAGTACAGTTATGTTGCGTGATGTTGCGTGACACAACACTGTGTTATGGTCTGGTAGCGTTATTCTTCAATTCAGAGTTGACCAACTGTTGCAGATATGGCCATGACATTTTACTGGCCCTTAAACCTTGCTTAGTATTTTAAAGTGCCTATTTTGATTGGCACTTAAATGAAGCTTTAGTAGCCTTGTGGCTAATTTTCAATGAAATTTTTAGAGGTTTTAACATATTAAAGTATGTGACGGTCAAGTGTGCCCCAATCTCATTGAAGATTTACCCAAAATTGTACTGAAAAAATTGTTTTGTTACTCACAGAACCTTGATTTATTCTTTGGTTATTTAGGGCTTGTGCCTCTGTGCTCAAACTGCATCCTACTGGATTATGACTAAGAGATGAATGATATAGAGTCCTTCCAGCATGCACATGTGGGCAGAAGTGGTGTAACCCTTGTGCACAGAAATGGTGTAATCCTCCCTTAAAATATAATAGAAATTCATCTGCTTTTAAAGCTCTCACTTAAAAAATGCACTGATATTAGCTGTTTGTCTTAGAGTGATTCTTTAAGGATCGAAATTACCCAAGGAAAACAATTTTTTTTTAAGCACTTTAAGTAAAAATACTTATCTTTATATCTACAAGCTCTAACACATGCAATGATCCATTTTGTAGGAAAATTGTTGATAAAATAGACAAAGACAAAGATGCGAAAGTTACAAAAGAAGAACTTGGAGAATGGATTAAATTCACCAGGGATCAATACAATGAGGAAACTATCGATAAAAAGTGGAAAGATGTCATAGCAAGATTACAGAAAGTAATGTCTCGAAAGGATGCTTCATCTGCTAGAACGGTTGATCCTGATGGAGCTATCTCGTGGGAGGATTACAATGAAGTCAGCTATGGAGGACAGTCAGGTAGTGTGTGAAAAATGCTCTCTATCTCTAACAAGTTTGGAGGAGCAGCACGAATAGTAATTATTTTACAAACTTACAGAAAAGTCTGTTTATGAGCCAAGTGGCCCATCAGGCTGGAGCTTAACTCCAGTTTCTGTAGCAAGAAGTAACTAGGAGTATTTTTCTACCCCCCTCCCCCCTCCCACTAGATGGGATGCTAGTCCATTGCAGGGTAATACCCTTAGTATTAAATTCACTGGTACCCATTTAAGCACCTGGGTGAAGAGGGGCACCGTGAGAGTGAAGCATCTCGCACAAGAATACAAAACAATGTTCCTGGCCAGGACTCAAACCTGTATCACTCGATTTGGGTCAAGGGTACTAACCATATTTTCCATGTCTAAATGAGAAATAGCTCCTGTCATTGAGATTTTAACAGAGAACTCCAACCATTACAGCTGGAGAATTCTGTGTTCTCCAATGCTTCATGAAAACTGTGCACTCCCAAAATCTGATTACTCCTTGTTCTTAATCAGCCACAACAAATTTCTTTCTAAATAATTTATTTTAATGGTGTTGCATTAAGATAACAGAGAAAGGGTATGTCTATTCTTCGTACCTGTTAGTTGGACAAAAATACTGAAATTTTTAGCAGATGTTCCATGTTTAGAAGAGTTTGGGGTTCAAGAGCAAGAACTTAATGAATCTAGCCATTATAAATGTCACAGTTGTCTGGGGCATAGCCAACATTTTGACTCACTGTAGGCCTTTTCCATGAGAAAGTTCCTTTTTTGTTTTAACATTTGCACAAATAATATTAAACATGAAACAAGGTTCAAATGGGTTGTACCTTCGGAGTACAACTCTCAGAAGCTGTATTGAAATTTTGACGCTTATCTTTTAATTTCCCTTACCTGTAATTTTTGAAGTGCTAGTTAAAAATTATCCGTTTCATCATGTGGAATAAGTTTGGTGTATGTTACTTCCCTTTAGAAGAGGAAATAGATGACACTTACAAGGGACAAGTGAAGCGAGAAAAACGAAGGTGGAAGATGGCAGATCTTGACCAAGATGGTAAACTATCCAGAGAAGAGTTCAGTGCCTTTTATCATCCATGGGATCATGAACAAACACATGATGCCGTTGTACAGGAAACCATCGAGGACATGGACAAAGATAAAGATGGAGTCATATCACTCAGGGAGTACCTAAGTATGAATAAGGAAATAGAAGAGTAATCAAAGGCTGAAGGCAGTAACAATTCATATATCTTATTAACCAAGCGCGAGGGCCATACTGGGAGAATATCAGCCCGAGGTCTTGACAGTACGGACCGAGTGCAGCAAGGTCCGTACAAAAAAGACCGAGAACCAATATTCTTCCAGTACTGTCCCGAGCAAGCTTGGTTAATGAGAGATTAATTTTTATTATATGACTGAAGTTCAAAGGGACACAAGTGCGATATCATTCGGGACCATTCGGGACAGTGCCCAGTCCAATACTGAGAGAATATTGACCAGCAATAGAGCATTTTGATTGGTTGATTTTAGTTATTGGCCCTCTGATTGCCCAAGTCGTGTAATAATCAGGGGTTTCATTAAGGGCCGGGCACCGGGCAAATTGACCGGCTGTGAAGATGACATTGCTCGGCTGCTTTTAACATCTCAACCATAAGAAAAATGTAAAAGTTACTTTCCTATGTTTTCCTAATGTGTCTTCTAAAAAACATATATTTAAACTTATATAACATTAAGTGACTAAAAAGAAACACACATGGTTCACTGCAACTCTGAGTTTCGTGCGTTAAGCACTCATCAGGCAGATTTAAATCTGCTTGATGAGTGGGGAGGATCTCGAGCATTGCGTGACGAGACTAAAAACGACTGCGAGGGAGGCTAGGCATATCTTTGTCCTTCACAAATGAGATATTAATAGGGACTTTAAGCAAACCACGACGGCGACAGCAACGAGGACGTGGGAAAACAATAGATCTAATTGGCAGAACAATTGCCTAGCATGTGCGTTGTAAAACTTTGTACATTTCTTAGCCGTCCTTTAATTGCAAAACAACAACGTGAAATCACCAAAATTTGCATCGTCTGCGAAGCGAAACGGCAGCGGCAAATTATTCTAATTTACATTTGGAACTCAACGCTACTTTTATGCATTATGTTGAGTTTGACGTCTGGCGCCCTATGAGACAGTAAACACATCCAGCCATTTTCGAAATTCCAACTAAAAGTAGAAACTCATTTTTTAATCGACGTCTTCCGTGGCGTTGCCGTCCTGACTGCTTAAAGTCCCTATTGAGGTCTTCAGTGCTGTAAATTAAAATAAATTAGCACTTTGGATTCAGAAATCTCCGGTTCACGGTTTGTCGCGGTAAATGTCTTCAGTAAAGCCAAAACATAAAAAAGTAGCAGTACTTGGAATAAATTAGTTCTTCCGTTTTTTATCAAATACATGAAGTTTATTTTCTCTAGGATTGTTATCTTAGTCGGCTAGCTCTTTCAACTGGTTGCCTAGCACGTGACCAATTTCTTCCCTGCGGGCTCGAGTTTCAAGACGTATCATTACGCAAATGGTACAAGTGGTTCGCACTAAATTAAAGTTTGAGTTATATTCAGAAAGACATGCTGCTCCTATAGTGATTGAAAACTGTCCCGAAAGCTCCATTCTTTTCTGATTTACTTTTGAAATTTGAATCTTCTGCAAGCGACGGGAACTAAAAGTCAATTTGTTGTAGAAGCTGCCAACTTTCCTTCCTCTGTGTCTGTGGTGGAATACAAAAACTCTACTCATGTGGTAACAGAAATCTTTCGTTCACGGCAACTGGGAAGAAAAAAACTTTTTAACCCCGTGTGTTTGTTAGCAGATCCATCTTAGTAAGATTAGAAAATAGAAGAAATCTAACGCCAACACCTTTTCGTTTTTTATACTTTTATTGAAATCATATACCCTCTGAAACGAACAATTTAACAATCGTTTACACTTATATTCCACTCTATATTTGCACAGAAACGGTGTCATCTGAGATCCCAGCAAATGATAGCTGCACAGAAACAACGCCTTCCAAGAAATTGGCAAATCATGAAATACATGATATTACTAAAACAGCTTCTAGTGACCTTACCATGCAACCAAATTTTGCAAAAGCAAATCTACTAATTTGTCTGTTGACTGATGCATCAAATCGTAATTTAAAAAGAGCTGGTAACTTTGGGATGTTAGTTTGTGCTTCAAAATGGTGGAAAACACATCTCTGCAACTGTAGAATTTCAAAAATTTCAGGGGGAGCATACCCCCCGACCCCCCAAGAAGGCAAGGCCCTTAGGGCCTTGCAGACAGATGCACCCGCATGTGAAATCCAGACGCCCTCCTGCTCCAAATTTTAATGAAACCCGTGAATAATTATAGTTATTATATCCCTCAGTTAATACATGTTCTGTGATTGGTATTTCACTGGCCTGCTCAATTCACAAGTTTATTTGATTAGAAATCTTCCCTCTCTATTTGAACCCAGAGATTATATAGATATCTTACTTAAACCCAATGTTTTCTCAGTCCATACTGTCAGTTATGGAACCTTTCTTTTTCCAGCTCAGATTTATGGACCATGTGCTTTGCATTTGGGCCATAAATCACAATTTGGGCCAGGGAAAATGTCTGGCAAGTCTGTTTTCATGAAATTGAACCGCAACTCCCAAATGTCAATATTCAGTCAGAGTCAAATGGTTATAACAAGGTGTGCATTTTTGTGTGGAAGAATGGAGATTAAATGATGCCTTTGTAACATCTGCTGGCTAATTCTGCAGAGGAAGTTCAGCCCAAGGATGAAAAAGACATGACAGAGGAAGAATTGGTGCAGAAAAGAGTGGATGAGGAATATTTTCGTACAAACCGTGACAAAAACAAGGATGGTGTGATGGACAAGGTAAGTTATTTTAGATTAAGCAGATGTGCATGAAATTAAGATGCCATAATATACACCATGATTTTTGTAATTGTCCAGAAACAGGTTGTACTTCACTTTCTTCAGGGCCAGCAAGAGTCAGCATATATTAAAATCCAAGACGGTAGTTTCTAGATTTTGCATTTGAGTTCAAAATGCAGTGATCATGTTTTTAAATTTGTGCTTGTGCTTAGCTTGTTACTTAATGTTGCATGATTGATGCTACATCTCCCTTAAATGAGGGATGTTGTCTCAGATGGAGAGAAAATAATACTGAATGTTATTGTTTTCTTATTACACTATTGGATGAGAACCTGTGAAAAACACATGCACAACGTGTGAAATATCCTCTGACACAGAAACACGCTGTGAAAAGACCTGTGAAATTTGCTTGGGCTAAATTTTGGTGAAAAATCACAAAATTTAGGACCTGTGGAAAAACCTGTGAATTTTAAGAACTGTTAAAAAACATGACTTTGTGTAAAAGCTCTAGAACAAGATTCTTTTTCACAGGTTTTTTCACAGGTTTTATTTCAGTTTTTTTCACAGGTTTTTTACCCTGTGAAAAGTGCCCTGTTGACAGGTTTTCACACCCTGTGAAAAACTTGTGAAAAACCTTTGAAAAAACATGTGAAAAATAGTATTTCACAGGTTTTTTCACCGAAAAATTCTTAGGTTTTTCACAGGTTCTCATCCAATAGTGTTATCTCCTCCATTTTGTTTGTCACATATTTTAGGATGAAGTCAAGGAATGGATGTTTCCCTCAAATTATGATGCTATCAAATCTGAAGTGACTCATTTGATTTACCATGCTGATAATGATAAGGTGAGTCTGTTATGCTCATCGGTTCCAAAATATATGCAAGGCTGTGGTCTAGCAGTGCCTGGTGGCCCCTGGTGCCTTACTTTTGCTCTCGGGTGACTCAGGAATTTTAGTTTTTTCATACAAAGCATGTGTTGGGTACCCTGGATTTCACAGTTTTGGAGCACTGGGCTCCATTCAATTTTCCTTGGAGGAGAGCTGTGATATGTATATAAGTGATCCTGGTACAGAATAGAAACTGTAAATTGTGGGAAACAAGGTGGACCTTAAATACCAGCCTACCTGGATTTTTTTTTTTTTAAGTTTTCAAAAGTGTTCAACAGCTTGTTGTCAGTCTCATTAATGCATTTTTGACATCTTCAAGACTAATAAAGGGTGTTCTATGTGGTTATACTTCTGCTATAGTAACTTAATACAATCAACAYTGGTTTCAAAAGGTGTCCACCAACACTTCAACCCTTTCCCTTCCAAGATGTCGATATCAACCCTTAATTCTTGCTGTCTTTCATTCATTTCATATAATCTTAGCTGTTAGGTTTAGTTATCGAATCAGTAAATGTTCCTCATTTATTTTTTTTTCTTCCCATCACCTTTCTGGTGTTCATTGTATTGATATGAAGGGGAGAAATCATTAACCTTTTAACCCCTAAAAGTGACTAACGTCTAATTTCTTCTTACAATATCAGCCCTGAATCATACAAGCATTAAGGTCACCAGAATAAAGGAAATGATCACCAACTAAGGAAGCTCTTGATTGTTAAACAAATTCTTCTTGTCAGCACCTTACAAAATGTATAGAGAACAGTATGGAGAATATGCATACTGATGTCAGGGATTAAAGGGTGAAGTGCTCACATCTAGTTTTGAGAGGGTTTGGGCATGACTTTCCCATCAGGCATTTGAAGTAGTAGTATTTTTTCTGGGGGAGGAGGCAGGGGTGGGTCTAGGAATTTTTGATTGGGGAGGTCCACACTCTGGTTCAGAAAGGACTGTTGGACTCTTTTGAGGAAAATTACTTCTCCCCCACACCCCCTCCCGCCAGTCACAGTTGCACGTTATAATTCCTGAGCCACTTATTGTTCACTTGGATTCATTAAAAGAAAATCAGCCCGTTAAAAAGTAATATATGATCCTCTCGATATAAGAATTTCAGTCTCGAAGTTGTAAGCGTCAGGTCTGATAGGGGGGGGTCCGGACTCCCCCTGGATCTGCCTTTGAGGAAGGGCTTACTATTTAAATATGTTGGTTCTACACATTGATGTGTGATCTTTGACTTAATGTCAGTTTTGAATGTAAATTATACTTTGACTGGTTATTTTTTCTAGATTTTTATTTACTCTTTTCCCATCTGTTTGTTTTTCAGGATAAGTTGTTGACAAAGGAAGAAATTCTCAACAATCATAAGTATTTTGTTGGAAGCAAAGCAACAAATTATGGCAAAGATCTGACCAGACATGAAGAGTTTTAAACTTCTGGCAAAAGAGATTTTTATATACAGCTTACCTGTGCTAGCTTATTTGCCAAAGTCTATTTTTTAAAAGCTACAGGTTTCATTGCATGTTACAGGTTTAACTACTTTTTATGCTTGGTTTTATTTTACTGAATTTAATATATGAAAAGAGTTTTAAAAAAGATGCTATTTTTTCAAAAAACCATAACAAATGTTAGAAACAACTTCATTGATTGAATTGTGATTAAAATTATTTTATTTGTTGAGAGTAATGTTGACACTGATTGCTCGTTACATCTGAATGAAGTACAATGTTCCTTTGAATTGAAATGTCTTGATCCTTAAATGATTATATGTAATTCAATTATCTTTGTCCGAAGCAGGGTATACACCTGCACATTGGGCATTTTTTTGCTGTTGGCTCAAAGAACTTGAAGAAAACCACTACAACCTGTCATGCCCAACGAATGATCACACGCTTTCTTTTGCAAGAAAATTGTAGCGGTTCTTCTTGGAACCGCGTAGTTTTTCGTGACGTGAATTTCGCATGTTGCAATGCGGAGCTGGTGCACGGAAATGATCAGGGACGGATCCCGGAATTTTTGATGAGGAGATGTGGGTACACACTTTGATTCAGAAACAAGAACTTTTTTAATTTTTAGATGGGGGGCGGGGGAGAAGGGTGTATACTTTAATTCAGAAAACAATTTTTTGTTGCACTATATCCTAGTTAAGTTTGGAAATATCGCAAGGCAAATAGCCACCATATTCTTCATATTGAGTCAGTAGTAGTATGTCGTTGCATTTATTTGGTTTCAAGAAGTGGTTAAAGAAAAAAAACTACCGTTCGGGGGTAATGGCCTGTTTAGGCGCTCGATAAAGTAAACGCGATAGAGGCGCGAAAACGTGCAGGGTAGCCTGGAATGGAGAAAATTCTCTACTCCGTCCCAAGCCTTTCGCGGCTTGGCTGCTGACGAACCAGGCTAATGGTTTAAAGTGATTTTTTACACAATATACACTGATCAGACGGAGTGTAATTTATATTCTATTTTCTATTTTTATCTCCGTTGGTTCATGACATTGATAGGCTATCCTAATACAGTAAATCTTGTTTCCTTCAATGTTTTTTAAAAAGTTGTGTCAGGCTCTCTATGAACGATTTGTAGCCAGGAAAACCAGTATAATTTATTTTGAGTCATTGGTGACTTTTCGTGCGCAAAACGTTTTACAAGTTGAAAGCACTCGTGCAATAAATAGGAATGATAATACGATTATTTCTTAATTTAAACGTATCCAAGGTAAAGTCATGCCTCGTTCATCTCGAAAAATTATCTACCTTGCTTTTTGCCGATTGGCGGGTAGAGCTTCGATTTCTGATTGGCTCTCCCATTTTTTTCACCAGTTGCTATCGGAAAATTGGAATTGCGGTACCTTTGTCATGCTAGCGTACACACACGGCATATGCCCAAGATGTTGACAAAGTATAGTTCCTTTTCTCCTCGCTCTTTGAGGCTCTCATCCACGCAAGGAGTCTTCCTCTACATGCATGGTACCATTGCAATGCTAGCCCCTCTCTCCCCACCTAACACCAAACTGGTGTATAGTGATTGGCAACTATAGACGAAATCTTTCTACTTAAAAAAAAATCCCAATTAAATATATTGAAAGTTGTTCCATAAATGTCCTTTCCAGCAGAAAGGTGGTTTTAACCCCAACATATCCACCTTCCAGTCTCGTCATATTTTCAATTTCTCCGGTTTTCATGGTCTTTTCTTTTCTTGTCCTTTATTTCCTCGTTCCCAGCAGCATTTTTGTTCATACTGATGTTAACCTCTTCCTTGACGAAAGCCGGCGTCTCGTTCTTGTTGGCCTTGTTTTAGAGGCTGTTTGTTCTGTTTTGTTGATGTTCAACTGCTTTCTGCTTTGAGTATAAAAAAAAAAAAAAAAACAGACAGACGTGTTTCAACAGATGAACATATCTGGGGTAATTTGAAAGTGGATGCAGGTAGAATGCTAAATTGTATTGGCTTTGCTGCACTTCGCTTTGTGATTGCTCTGAGAAACTTTCGCCACGCTCTCGATTCAACCAATCAGATACAACACTAGATCAACTCGCTCGTCGCTAGTATTTTCCCGCGCTTCAAGCATTGGCTTTGCTGTACTTAGCTTTGTAATTGGTGCGAGACCCTTTTGCCATCCTCTCAACCAGTCTGATGCAGAATAAAACGACTTAATTGGTCAACGCTTTTGAATTCCTGCACTTCAAACAGTTTGCTTGTCCTTACTTTGAGATCTACTTTTATTTACCTTTGTTCACATCAAAATTTGTTTTTACAAAACTATACTTGTCTACCAACCCCGTCCCAAGAGAGCCAAATTTCAAGGGAGCTAAATTTCGTGGGAAAAGTGAACTGAGTAAAAGATTGCAACGTCACATCGCCTCACTCAATCGGTTTTGGTACAGTTTTCAAACAATTAATACCGACTGATACTACAGCGTCTAATAACTAGACAGCATCATGGAATGCACATCTAGTGCAAAAGAAAAATTTGCTTACAGTTGAGCGATGTCTTTGTCAGATGGACAGTATCCAAGTTTTCGTCTTCTATTTTGTAGATTTAAGCTGAGATTCATCACCATGGTTACAAGTTCTTCTTTCTGAGATAAGATGAACAGACATTATTTAAGCGCGCGTCAAAGTCTGCTGGTTGAAAGTCTTGTCAGTTCACTATTCTTAAATCTTCTTAAAACCTCCGTCACGCTTTTGCGATCAGGTTCTTCAGAATTCTATGATGGTCCTGTTGACTAATTTCGTTGTAGTCCGATTACATTTGTTGTTGGCCTACATAAAGTCGGTTCTGCGTTTACTTTCTACAACTCCCCTCTATTTCCCAGTTTTCTCGTCTATCGATCGACATTTTGCCTAGCTCCTGTAGGTATTTTCCCAATGAGCCCCTCACGGTCAGGTCCTTCGGTCAAATAGCCGAGTTATGACAGTTGGCTGGTGCTTGAAAACGAGGTAATTGCGACGAAACGAAGAATGTAATTTGTGGTAATCCTAGTTGGCATATTTTGCCGGCACGTATCGGCTTAGATTGGGGGTGGCTGCAAGGTACGCGGAGAGTTATGGGATCGTGGTTTGTAAGTAGAGGTCGTTAGTACGGCAAGGCATTCTACGGTCAGCCTTCACCGTAAGTAGCTATTCGTTTTTGCTTTCGTCTTTTGTATAAATTTAGAACGGTGCTTGCATAGTACCTTAACTAACTATGTAAAAATGTCATTCATAGGATACCCTAAAACCCCAAGGGTGGCGCCGCTGCCTTGGTCAGGGGTACACGTTCTCCGTTTTTTCCACCTGGTAGTTTTTAGGGGTTTTCGTGTCCGGCTTTGGTGCATTTAGTTTAATTGTAAAAGACTTCTGTTACCATATCGATTTGGCCTTAAATAAACGGTGGCTTGGCTGGCCAACCCGCCCAGATATTAACTCTTTGTGTGTCCGGTTGAGTAGTGAAGGCAAAATAGCCTTAGAGTTAAGTAAGGTTTACCATACGACCACACTTTCCAACCACTCTGATCAAAAAAATGTTACTATAGTTACCGATTTTTCCATAAGGGCGTCGTATTCTTCTGTTTGCTTAACGATGATTTGTTTACAGGTTGGACATGTTGGAGTCGCCATTTCAGAATCATCAACTCCTTTAAAACGCACTCTTTGTCTCTCCGTCTTTGCTTCAGGTTCATCTGTCGAGTCTTCGGACGGCTTGGATTTTTTCCTGATTGGACCAGACAAAGGATCATCGTTTTGTCTCTGGACATCTTTTCTTCCGCTTAAAAGATCATTGTATGCACATTTCCATTCTGTCTTTGGTTGCTGAGACAGTATACTCCTAAAAAAAAAAAATCAAGCAGAAACGAATGTTTCGTGACCTAGCTTTCAAAGAGCGAAACGAAAGTTTTTGGGGTTACTACAAATAAGTTGTGAAAAATATCAAAATCATGCAGAAATCATGCACTTTGTATTAACACTTTGTCGGGCATTGCGGTATATTTTGCGGGCTAACTTTTGTAGAGACTTTGGTATTAATTAATCACGGTGTTTTAATGATATTTTGTAGTTTCTCAATGCCCCCAAAGTGATAATAAGAGTAAAACAGAATGTTTTCTTGGGCTCGAATATGTTTTGGGCCCTTCTCAAAAGCATTTTAACCCTCGCCTAGTGGCTCAGGCTAAATTGACTCTGAGTCGCGCCAAACTACATTCATGCTTGCGAACGTCAACCCTTTTGTTTTAGTAAACGGTGTCTAGCTTGACAGAGCTGAATAATGAAATGCTACGTCAGCGGGTATGCGGTCAACAACGCGGGCTCAAGTTTCCTAGGTCTAAAATTTAGCGAAATTAGCGGAAAATAATAAGGGCTGACCTTTAAAACCGAGGAACTCTGTTTTCGTCGAAGGCACTTTCCTATTTCTAAAGGTTTAAAGGTGAAAATTAATTTTTGAAAATTTTTAGGGGGCGTACCAAATTTTTGGAGGTTGTTCTGTAAAAGAAAAGCGGCAAGGAAAACGACGCCTCAAAGCAACAGAATAGGAAATCAACCATGCGAACGACTCAAAATCCGTGTTTCCGCGGCAAAACCTGGCGCATGCGCATACGTTATTCCGCTGTCATCTAGCTTAGCAGTTGTTGCAATATTGCGCAACCTTTGCGGAAGCTATTCCCTTAAAAATCGCACCTTTTATTCCACTTGTTTCCCAAATTCTAATTAATTTCTGCATCTGTCCTTGAGCTACTTAATCCTTATTTATAACAAGCTATTGCAGTAGAAAATTAAACTTGTTCTCGTTGTTTTCGTTGGCTTATTCTAATGATGCTCAATTAAATTTTACCCTGACTACCTTTTGCCTAACCAGGTTCGGGATATAAAAGGTGGATTTTCACGCCCACGGCCGGGAATGTGGAGTACAAATTCGAGATGTATATGTAGGTACAGAATATCGTGATGATCGAGAATCCGTTGATTTTCGACTAGAGGTGAGTGGGAGATGAATTAAAATAACCCCGTTCCTCGCAATTGACCAGGCTAGATTTTGTTCCCTTAAACTATCCTAGTATCTTCCCGCATTCTTCCACGCATACCCCGTAACTAGTCCGGTGGGAGTTTCCTTTTTCTTGTCGAGGTACGCCTCTTTGTTATTACCTTGAGCATCTGAAAAGAAAGCAAAAATTTGCGTCAATGGGTGAAAAAGAGCGTTTAAGTTTGTCATGGTAAAGGTTATCAGCACAGGCGCACAGGGCATACACTGATTTTGTTTCGGTGTAATATTTGTCCAAACGGGCGTGCGCATGAGTGGTTTAAAAGTACGTACTTACAGGCATTCTAGGAAATAAAACGATTCTAGAGCGAAAATAACTCAGTCGCACGAATGGCTAAATTAAAAATTGAAATCTCATTACTAACTAATGCCAAGCAGACTAATGGCTTCTTAAAAACTGGAATAGGACGTCAACATCTGGGTATGATTTCATTATTGGAAACTTGAAAAGTTTCAAGATGGTGCTTCCCAAAAATTGCGGAGTTAAATTTAGTATCTTGTTTGAAATAGTTTTCTTTTTCTTTTGATTGATTTGACCCTCGAAAGCTACTAAGAGAAACCTTTGGTAGTCAACTTAGTTCGGAAGTGATTCTTTCGCTGAAATTAATTCACAGTTAAAATCGCAAATTGAAATTTGATTAGTGTAAAAGGAATGACGCAAGAGCTTCATTGCTAGTATTCTAAATAGGTATCATCAATTAATAGTAACTGAAGTTCGGGTCGTTTTATCGAGAAAGTTATTGCCCCAGGCAGTTGTCGCTTTTAAGCCTGGTGCTTCTGTCTCCTAAATACAGCAAGAAGCCGATATCTCCAAGTCGTGATCACTTATTTTGATAAAGCGATACGAGGAAATGAATATGTCATGTTTGAAATGTATACGTCGACAACTCGAACACATACGAAATCGAGTGGTAGAACAAATTTATTCTATGTCAAACGAAAAGATTGGCGGTCATATTGAAAGCGATGTAAAGAAAAACCTTTATCAGAAAAAAAATTAGTATTAGGGCATGCGAACGACAAAATGTGACGTATTTTTTTCCCTTAAAGTTAACAGAGTATTGAAGAAACCATTTTGCGTGCGTGTACACGGTATTCTCACAAATGAAAAAAAAGGTGTCGGACACAAGGCGGTGAGTTTACAAGAGATTGTTGAGTAATTTCAATTCGAATTGGGGTCAGCATGAAGAAGAAGGTTCTTCGTGACTGGTGTAAAGTTGAGAAACACTTGGATAAAATTATGCCCAAATTTTGCGTGAGAAATTGCGAAGCTTTGCAGCCGTTTTGGATAAACGTTCACCTGCATTACCGTACACCTTCTGTGAGTTGAATAATAAGAGAATATTGACCGGCAATAGAGCATTTTGATTGGTTGATTTTAGTTATTGGCCCTCTGACTTCCCGAGTCGTGTAATAATGTGTCTTATATCTACTGTCTCTTCGATTCCTTGCTTGAAGATAGGAATATAATAATATGATGTAGAGGAAAAAAAACCTCATACAAGTGTTTGAAAGGAATGGTTGATTTTCTTGCGCGTAATAGTGACAGAAAATTAGTCGCAAGTACTGGTAAATAATTAATCTTCTCTAACTTTGGGTTTTTATTGTATTTTTATATTTACTTTCCGGGTTTGCACTTTTCTATGGTTCTCATCTGTATTTATCTTTGCATAACATGGTTAAAAGCACGTATACATCATTTTCCTTGAAATTTTGGAGTAAGGTTTCCATTCCTAACAAGTTGTGTTACTTTCCAAACTCAAAACAATTTTTAAATTTAGATCTCTTTTTTTCTACTTAACAATAGGGAATACTTGCCCGGCGCATTAAAATTAATAACAAGAAATTGATTTCACGAGCCATTGCCCTATAAAAATTAAGTTTTGTACTAATTTCTGAGAAATTACCACCAAACACTCCCCCAAGAAATTCGTAAGAAAACTCGACAAAAATTCGAAGCCATTCGAGAATGCTCAAGATTGATGATTTGTTCATAGCTATACTTATTCGTCAGTTGAAGGAATTGACAGTGTTTTGGTTTTCATTATTTGCAACCTCCACCGATTCCCGATAAATTTCCTCAAGTTAAAATTGAGGCAACATGCCATCATGATTGCTTATATCTTCCTTTCGCTTTAGCGACGCAGAATGCCGCAGCATATGAAAATCAAAGATAAAAAGACATACAATGCATTTTAAAACTGTGTAGATATGATATGGGACTCCAAAGGCATATGCCTGAAGGTTACGTTTGATGTTTTGCCGCCGCAATATATGGGAAGGAAGAAATTAAAGGGATTAAAAAGCAAGCTAAACGCAAACATACCTTGGCTGAAAACTAAAGCATGAAATTTGTAAACTTTTCCATTCACTTTGTCCAAACGTACAGAACACGAATCTGCAACAGCTGAAATCATTCTTTGACACTGAAGATCAGCCCTGTCTCAGTTGCAGAATCAACACTTTATCTCGGTTAGAATCTCTGTCCCTTGAAATCCAGTTAGCGTTTCGACGCCGTGTTATCACTGTGACTCTGGAAAAAGAAAGCGATGTCGTAAAGAAAAGAAAGACATTTTATTGTTTGCGCACCCATAACAGCTGAGAAATTTCAAATCGCATTGGCCTAATTTTCGCTCACACAGAGCGCCGGTTTTCTGCTCTGTCAGAGTTGTACATAAATGTATGATGTTATCGTCCAAGGGGTAAGTATTAAAACGCGGTTTCCCCGGCAAAGCAAACGTATGATTTTGCTGGCCAACCAAATCCTCTTACACCAATAACTCTTGTCAGCTTCTGACAACCGCAGATCAAATAGCAAACATTGTACCTAACGTCAGTAGGCCTTTAGCATTGAACGCGCTAAAATAGGAAGTGTTTATAAACGTTAAGAAACCACAACAACAGATAGACGTTTCTTATCTACTCACTTCCTTCGTATTCAAATGGCGCAAATATGTTTCTCGGGCAAACTTGAAACGGCTTAAGCTCGGAGATAGTGCAATTTATCAGTCATAATCGCATTTTTGTGATGACCGAATTCTTTCAAAATAATTATTGGAAAGATAAATAACACCGAGTCATCATCGTTAAAATAGTTCTGTCAGAGCGATTCATATTTCGCCAAAGCACCTGCCAATACGTCTTGTGCAAAAGTAAATAAATGCAAGTGAAAATGGAAATTTAAAATGGAAATCAGTCACCAGTGGTTTATGACTAGTATGGCCATATTAAGTTTCGGATATCATTAAACTTGAAATGGTGTAACGAGATCAACTTTTGGGTCGACCGTAAGGTGCATGTTGCAATGCACTATGTCATTTTCGTAAATTCGTAAGCTTGCTCCATAGATCTCAGTTTTTACATGGCAATTTCTGCAATTCTGTGATTATTCATACGTTCCTAGCACAAACAGTTTCTTGTCATTAGCGGATAAAAAACCGCTAGGTTATATCTTGGAGAGCCACCTAGTCGCTTGATTCCGGATTCCAAGGACGCATTGGCAGCAGATCATTGTAAACTGACTACCATTTCTTGCGTGCAATGAATTTAGCATTGCGTTTACTGGTGTTTTGCTGACAGTTAATTTACTCGTTCAGTCAACAAGTAATGTGAGGCGTTGAACTGCTGTAACAAAACCTTATCAAGGCACTTAGCACAAGAACAAATAGAACGACGGGGAATTATTTCCCACAAGTAGCCTGTGGCCTGACCTCGCTATCTTATTCTAAAAAAGTATGAAGCAAGTTTTAAATATGTCAGTCAAGATGGCCATAATGACGTTACAACACCTAATATCAGAGGAAACGCGTTCAGAAAAGTTTAAACATTTCATAATATACACACGCGTCTCCGTCATTTCACTGTCTACATCTGGCTAGTTAAGCGGCCAAATATCCTGATAAACAGATCGACTGCAATAAAGCTGATGATATCTTTGATTTGGGGCAAGATTTATTTTTTCGTAAAGACGTGCACGATTTTAGTTCATTACAAATTCATAGCGAGCGTGATCGGTTTAAGAGGGCATCATTCCGGTTTCATTCAGTGATCGTAAGATACAATATCTCACGCGACTTGTTTGGGATCGATATCGTAATATTGCGCATTTTCTAATTGAACCTTGCATAATAAACGGGGGATTTCATGACTGAGTAGTCAACGTGTTTAAGAATTTCATTCGGAAAAGAAACAAAAAACAAAATAGCCAAACTGAGAAATTTAAACGTTAACAAAGTGCTAAATTGTTGTAGGAGTTTCAACGTCCCTTCTCGAAGGGATGAAGGGAGCCCTGCAATTCCGTCGTGGAGAAGTCGATGCATGATTGAATATTTCTCTTCTTGATGTGTAATAGCGTTGAAGAGTAATAAAGTAGATGTAGATTTCAGACGAAATTCAAGGGAGTAAAGCTTCAAAACCGATCTGGCGACTAGAGAACTTCGACTGATACATGACATCATCACCTGAAACTTAATGTAATTCAAGCGAGATCTTTCGACTAGCGTGAGCCAGAAAATTAATTTCATAATCCCGTCCTTTACATACCTTGGCTCCTTACGGGTCAACAAACAAGAAACGTATTCGAGCATATCGCTAGTCAGGAGAGAGCACGTCTTTCCCAATTACCTTTCTTTCTTACCTTAACTGTATTGTAATCAAGTCAGCCTTCAATCACGTACGGAATCGTGCCGGTGTGTTTTCTTTACGGATCGTAGGAAACAAAAACTCTCAAGGCTTTGCTATGATTGTTATTGAGAGCTTTTCCTTAATCAGACGTCATCTGCAAGCTAAGCTGACCATCCGGGAGTCAGACGTTTCACTTATTTACCGCAGAGAAAAGGGTATGCCCCTTACCTATTAATTTGGTAGCAGTTTTGTAATCAATTATTACCAAATGCAGCTATCAATTTTGATTCGAAAATGAGGGCGGCTCTGGAAGTTCACTGAGTTAGCCCCTCATCAAAATAATAAGTCAGACGGGTTTGCTGGTATGTTTTTGAAGGATTTAAGGTTTCTTTGTTGAAACGGAAGCGTGATGGTAACATCCGATTAACGTCATATTTGCTTTGTGCCCACTTTCTCTCACTGTGACTGAGAATGAGTCATCCACTCTAAGCTCAACAGTGACGTCATCATCCTTTCAGAAAGCCCACTCACGTTTTACTTTGACAGCTCACTACTTGAGTAATACAAAACAAAATAAAAGTAGATTTGTAGTGTAATATATGTATAACAGCATGGTTACAGCGTGTTCGCAGAAACACACCCATCTATTGTCTATGAATTATTTCAGTTTTGTTTTCTTTTAGTTAATTTTAGACAGATAAAAAAGAATTTTTTATCGAAAACCAGCGGATCGGAAACAATTGAGTCTATAATTGCCCCCGGATACAATACCACGAGAATCCGACACGGCAACATTTTCAATTTCTTCACATTTACAGGAGCCTTTGGGGGAATTCATACTGATATTTTAAAGGATTTTCCCGAGTCCGACAACGGAGTATAAAAGAAAACAACGCAAACTGATAGAGATGTTAGTAGCTATCCACAGGGAGCCCACACAAGCGCGTGTCTGGTCGTTTGTTCGAGTATAAAGAAATGTATGGGAGAATATTGAAGAGTCGTAATATCGTAACCATATATCAAGGAATGTCTATGTTAAGGCTCAAAATAAATATAAACCTACCTCAGTGATGTGTATTGTCGTTTCTGGGGTTCTAAATGGCGAATTTGAGCGATTTGGTAGATTTTGTGTTGACTGTTACTCTACTCATACAGTAAACACTCAACGCAAAATCTACCAAATCGCTCAAATTCGCCATTTAGAACCACAGAAACGACAATACACAGCAAGTGAGGTAGGTTTACATTTATTTTGAACCTTAACATAGACATTCCTTGACTCTTCAATATTTTCCCATACATTTCTATATATTTCGAACGAACGACCAGACACGCCGGTTGTGTGGGCCCCTTGTGAGCTATCCCGATGAACCACGTCACAACCAATCTCGTTTACGAGTTTGTCTTTGAATATTTTCCGTTTCTGTCCATAGCTAACTGCTCTGAGTCACTTGATGAGTAGATAATAGTCTGAACCAGTTTAGTCAGCGTGTCCCCCGGGGCCATGGAACTGAGACCCTCGCGAATCAAAAGCGTTTTGTAAATCTACTCTTTTTCTAATAACTTGGCCCTTACCCTCTTTAATGTCTCTTTTTCTCCATTTAACGAGGCAGAATTACTAGAATTTGAGCACTTTACCATTTATCTGAACTTCAGACAGAACTATCTAAAAACTTTGCCCTCCGCAGAAGACCGCCGTGAATATCCGCTAGCTTCCCTTACATTTACATATTTGGGCGTCCACCTGTTTTTGTGGTTGAGTCTAAAGTTTCTTGTTCCTGTTTACTTTACAAAAGTCAAGGAAGCGGGCAAACTGAAGGGAACAGAGACAAAAGAGCAATTTTATCAGCTAGGACCCTGCAGTTCATTATGGTATCAAGTTGTTTTTTTTCTTAATCTTCCGGTATCTTCTACTTTAAGTTGAAGTCGCGTATACATTCTCGTCCCCAGTCCCTCTTCAATTTTATTTACTGCTTTATCTCTTGCGCATGCTGTAACTGATAAACCGCTTACAAATAATGGATCTCCTCAAAGGAGAAAGGATCATTCATTTCAATATGGTTGTTTTTCTGGTATCGACCGTTGTTTTATCCATTTCCTGATAATTACTGAGTATATAAACGCACTTAATTTGTAGCAATGGGTCAACAGTATAGTTTCGCGCTCAAATTGTTGCATGATCATGCTGGTGTTTTGAAAGATCTTGCGATTCTCAACCACGACAGTCTTAAAAGTAAGCGGCAGTGAAGGTCTAATTCATATTTACACTTTTTAGTTTCGATAGTTTATGTTACTAAATTTTGCACGATTCTGTCATAACTTAAGCGTATGCTAATTCTCTTTTCCTTCTCTAGGTGCCGTAGTACATCTAAATGAAACGTAAGTACTCGAACGAATAGGAATAAATGGATTTTGTACAAAATATTTGTTTCTAGTGCGACGTTCAGATTTGTAATTTGCACAGAATATTTTTCGTGATAAAGTAACACTTTGGATGTCCCGTTTTGTGTTTATCAAGGTAATCATCAACAATTAAAGACTCTTTAAAGATAAAGAAGCTTCAACTTTTGTTTTTTTACTGTAGTTTGTGCTTGTGACAGAAAAGTGGTAGCTATTTATTGATATTTTTCCTTGCGTTTGACTGAGTCACGAGAGTGCTGTATTTGGAAGACAAAGCAAAGATTGACAATTCAGCTGACTGTGCTTTGTTATTATTTTTTTTTTCTACAGCTCACACTTATTGCAGACAATTTTAATTAAAATACATCGTGTAGCTCGTTTTCTTTTCATTAATTAATTAGAGTCAAGATACCCTGCAAGCAGAGCCTTTTCTTCTTTTCTTCTTCTTTTCTTCTTTTTAACCCTCCAAGGGGAAAGGCTCTGCTAACATCCTGTTGTTGCTTTGAAATGCCGAAAGCCCAAAACTTCAGGCTACTCAAGCCAGTTTAGCCTCTAGTCAAACCGGTTTTGGTGCACACGCCTTTGTTTTTCATGTAAACAGATTACCAAATCTGCGCACACAGTTCAAGGGGGCATGGAAAAGGAGCAGTGTCTAGGCAACCACCACGCATGTTCAAAGGAACCACAACGGGATGTCAGCAGAGCCTTTTTCCCTTTTCGATTCAAGGATGGGTTTAAAAGGCTCTGCTCGCAGGGCAGAGTCAAGAAACGCTAAATTCAAGTAATTACTCTTTTGCGCCTTAAAATATGTGTATGTTTGCAGTTAGTAGCATAAATATTAATACTGTATTAATATAGTATTAATACTATATTAATACTGTAAGAGTACTGTAATTACCATAACTGTCAGTACTGTAACATAATGTACGTAAGTGTCCTTGATGTACGTATTGTAAGTAGTGTTGTTTGTGTGATTAAAGTGAATTAAAAAAAAAAACGAAAAACAAAAATAAATGCTACATTTGGATCAAGTCATTTTAAGACACAGCAAAAGTCAGAAATTCAGCTAATCTTACTCTATTTCAGCTTGCTACTTCAATAAATCACAAGTCTGTTACAAAATATCTGCATGGTACTTTAACAACTTAAATTCTGGAACACATATAAGTAAACATTATTTATGGCAACCTTTTAGGTTGAAAGGACACTTAAATGATAAGCTGAATTATGCACAGGTTTTGCTTGGTTCTTACTCATCTAATGGTCCATCGGAGGACAGATGTATAGATTACGTGACCATTTCTTTGTTATATAAAACAAATAGATCCATGTTGCTGTGGGTCTAACAGATTGCAGATGACATCAATGTGGTTAGAACACCGCCTTGTGTGTCACTTTTTTTATATCTATACTAAGTTGAAATTGTAAATTGGCCTCTGTAAAGAGTGAAAAGCTGATGTTTCAATCATCAGCCATTCATCATTCACTCTGACGAAGGGCTAATGCTTGAAACGTCAGCTTTTTAACTATATGGTGGCTGTTTAACAATTTCAACCTAGTTGATATAACCATTAATTACCTTGTTACCCCCACCGACGCAGCACCACAGTTTCTTTAGAAACTTTCACCCATTATTAACTTTTTTTATAGTCTTGCGACACTTTGACATCATCTGTGATTGATTACTTTACAGATGCACAGCAACATGGAAACCATTTGTTAAGTAGAGCTTGCTTATAACACTGGTGGGTAATTATGCATACAAAGAACACAGGCAGTGAAAGCTTTATCAAACATGTAGTCTTAGCCTGGATCTCCTTAACAGAGTGTTTGTACCCAACGAGGGGGAGTGCTTTATGTGGGTTTCAATGTAATTTATTTGCTCTCGATATGCAGTCATCATTCGATAAATAATTATATATTTAATTTCTCGTCAGACTTAGAAAGTTTGCAGAGGGTAAAGGGCATTACATCATGTTTGCTATAAAGGAACCATCAGAAGAATATTCTCCATATCTATGGAAAGCTACAACAAGAATATATTGTTTTAAAGTGAGTGGTATCATTGCTACATGTATACTTAGGGCTGTGGCATAGCGGTGCCTGGTGGTCCCTGGCACTTTACTTTTGCTCTTGGGTGACTTAGGAACTTTAGTTTTTCCATATAAAAGCATGTGCTGGGCACCTTGTATGTCAAAGTTTCAGAGCAGTGGGCTCCCTTTCCTTTTTGTTAGAGCACAGCCCTGATACTAAGTATAAGCTGGCCTTTCACACAAAGTTAGGTCCTGTTAGTCAGCAGGTGACTGATAATAGAATTCTGGTTGCCATTAGGCATCTCAATGTTCTTCTTGTGAACTTGTTCTCAAGAAAAAAAAAAACTATAATAATTGCAATTTTTTTCCAGGTAATTGGGGGGGAGGGGGCTGTCTCTTTATGCTATAAGTAAAACTTTGAAATTTCTTAATTTGGCTGTTAGCCACAAATCCAAAGAATTTGACTTTTTGGAGAACACATCATTCCTGTTCACCAACAAGGCAAATATGTCTAATAGCTACTTTGCAGAGGAATAGAAAAGTTCATTTCGGTCTCCCCAAGGGAAACTTTGCAACTTTATGTTCTTTCAACATTAACCAATATTTCAGACCCATTCTCTGAAGAGCTATTGCAAAGTATTCTAATGGAATGTTAAATCCACCATATTTTATTTAGTTGGTAAGATCATGTAAAGCTTGCAGTGAGCAAAAAAAGGATACTGGGGAGGTGGTACCCCAATACTGTAGCATCAACACTGTCAGAATATGTGGCACTAAGCTGGCAAGAACACATACTGGTACATCTGTCAGCTGTGCAGGGCTAAATTCTAAGTGGATTCAGGCATTTATTATATCAAAATTCAACCTTCCTTGTACAAGACTGAAATAAAAATCATTAATATGATTTTGTCCAATCTTTAGATCAATTCTGCTAGTACAAATGTTGACAGTGAGAGAATTATGGACCTTCGACAGTTTTGTAAGTTGTATAGAGATATCACAAAGCAACTGCGGCACATGCATAGTGTAGTGGATGAAGACTGGCAGAAAATTGATCCTGTTGGGGATGAGGTATGCTTAGCTTTGATTGTTTAAAGCAGTCAGCCAAGTATGACATAATATGGTTAACTCTCTAGCAAGCAACAGAACTGTCCATCCATGGGAATCATTACCATAAGTGGACACCAAAGAAAAATAGGGCTTATCAGAGAGTTTATGTCTGACTCTTGGTAATGTCAAATGAACAGATAGATAGATAGATAGATAGATAGATAGGTAGATAGATAGATATAATCTTTATTGACTTGGAAAAAATAAAAGAAACACGTCCAGAGACAAAATGTCTGGACTTACAATTTCCTACATATATCAATTCATTATGTATATACAAGAGTAAGTGGCTACACAAATTCGAAAAGACATCTTGCTTTCCCATGGACAAACCGAGATTGAAAAAAGAATTGAAAAAAATGTTTGTTCATTTGGTAGAACTGTCTGCTCACAAGACTTTCTGTTAGTAGAGGGTTAAATGTAAATAGTGGCAAATTTTGAGTTTTTTCAGCTACTGACAAGTTTAATGTGATTGTTCAAACCAAAGGTGTCCATTTGGGCAGGAAATCATTTGGATATATCAACAAAGTTGAAATGGTAAATTGGCCACCGTAACGATTTCAAAAGCTGACGTTTCAAGCGGTAGCCCTTCGTCGGAGCGAAGATTTGGGCATGACATTATTCCAATCGAGCAAGCAATTGTTTTAATCCTTTCTCTCCCAAGATCTCATTAGTAATTCTCCTTACTGTCTGCCATACAATTCTTGTGATGTAAGTTTGGAGAATTTGGTATTGAATCAACTAATAATCCCCTAATTGATATTTTTCTTTATTCTCATCACTAGTTAGCTCAATATTGTTTTGATGTTGCCTGTAGAAATTCTGTCTTCAGTGAGTAAAAGAGTTGAAAATATTGGTTTCAATTTCAATATGATTTCTGTGTGATATTCATGTACCTTACTACCTTGCAGGCATATGAAACATGTCCAGTAAAATTAGAAGAAATTCATGAATCTCTTTGTGCATCAGTGATTTTTACTAGGTATGACACATGTCCAGAAATTTTTAAATGTACATGAAACATTCATTCTGCTAATTTCACTACTAAGTGAACTTTTAGCGACACAGCATTACAATACAACTGGTAGGCTTTTTCTGAAAGAAGAGTATTCACAACACTGTCAAGAAATTCACAGAGCACACCAACATTCCCTAAAGTGCAGGATTCAATTATTTTTTTCATATTAATTAGCTGTGGAGAGTAGCATACAACTTTATGAAAATGGAAGTGGCTGTGCAAATCTTAAAATAATATCATAAATGATTATTAACAGACAACTTCAGAGTCCTCATAAGGCCACATAGCAGTGGTGGTTGGCTGTCAACTGGTCATTTTTGTAACCTTTACTTTTAATGATTTTCTAATGATTCAAGACTCAATATTTAAGGACATGAATTTCCTAAATGACGTGTGGATTGAAATCAAAGAAAGCCATGGTCCTCACATTTGAGCTAAAAATTTTGACAATAATAGGCCTTTTGCAGCTGGGATCACGTGATCAATTTTAGATATACATTATGGGATACAACTTGAAGAATACCAGAGATGGAAAGAGCATATCAAAAATACCAAAACGGCCAAGTTTGGGCCCCGGGAATTACAGAGCACTGTTTTTACAGCGGTTTGAACTTTCAGAAAATTTAGAAGATTTGTATGGAAAATGTTGCTGGAGAGCAAGGCCTTGCTCTCCAGCAACTTTTTCCACATAAACCTTCTTATTTATTAAAAAATTCAGAGTGTCATCAAATCTCATTTTTGAATAATGGAGGCCTCAAACTTGGCCATTTTGTTATTTTCGAAGTGCTTTTTCCTTTTCTGAATTCGGCTAAGTTATAGCCCATAATTTCATGAAAAGTAGGTCACGTGATGGCTTAGCTGCAAAAGGGCTGTTGCAGTGAGAAAAGAAGCCTGAAAAAAATTCAGCCCAATCATCCTGTACCTCACAGTTACTAGTTGGTTGCTACTACCAAGTAGACCACTTTCATAAATGGCTGCCGGATTAATATTCTTTTGTTTCAATTTAAATTAGCCCTTCTGGCCTTGCTTGAGATAATGTATTCTTTTGAATTTTGTACTGGAGAATGAGGCCAGAAGGGCTAATTTAAATTTAAACAAAAGAATATTAATCTGGCAGCCATTTATGAAAGTGGTCTATGAGCTGCAAAGCCATGCATTGGGAGTGTGGCAAACCTTAGAGGGTTCTTCTGTTTTAGGATTCAGTGTATTTAAAGCAAAAGAAAATTTAATTTACACATTGCAAGGTAACCCATGGGAAATTGCCTTCTTTTCATGGTTGTCACCTCTTTCTGTAGTATTTTCTCAACAGTAAGCAATCCCCAAAACATGTCATTATAATACATATAATTATCTTATTAACCAAGCGCAAGGGCCGTACTAGGAGAATATTGGCCCGAGGTCTTGACAGTACGGACCGAGCGCAGCGAGGTCCGTACAAAAAAGACCGAGGGCCGATTTCTTCCAGTACGGTCCCGAGCAAGCTTGGTTAATAAGAGATTTATTATACGACTGAAGTTCAAAGGGACACAAGTGCGGTATCATTCGGGACCATTCGGGACAGTGCCTGGTCCAATACTTAGAGAATATTGGACCGGCAATAGAGCGTTTTGATTGGTTGATTTTAGTTATTGGCCCTCTGACTGCGGGAGTCGTGTAATAATTTAAAATTAATTACCTTTATTCATCTCTTTTGTCCTCAGGGTTGATGAAGTAGCCTCAGAGGATTCTAACAGTGAGGAGTGCTGTATATGTATGGATCAAAAAGCAGAAGTTATTCTGGCCTGTGTCCATAGCTTTTGCAAGACTTGTATTGAAAGATGGTAAGAAATGTAATAGTTTCAGGTATGATGTGATTGTAAATAAGCTTGGATTTTATCAGGAAGAACATGGTGGCCAATGAGTTAACCCTCTAACTCCTAGAAGTGATTAACATGTAACTTCTCTTTAATATTATATGGCTGTGTCTCACAAGTACTGGGAACTACCGAATTCACGAATTTGATTGGCTGAAATCAATATTGAAAGCGGTCTAGATTTTCCCATTTAGACCGGCATATAGACCAGTCTGGAAAAAAAAGGTACAAAGAATATAAAAAATTGGCATATAAGACACGGCCATATAATTAACATCTTATTAACCAAGCTAGGTCAGTCACTGGTACAGACCGATACCACGGAAATACGTTTTGGTGACGTCACAGTGGTCAGTGGTCATCAACATTAGGCTGCCAAGTGCTTCCATATGTTTGTGGACTGAGTTCGATGAAAACATCGGCCTTTTGCATGGTTTTAAGTTGGAAAATATCCATGATACTTCTCCTTGTTTATTATGGTTGAATGGGTTTTTAATACTAAAACCACGCCTTAACAAATAGCAGTACAGGGGAGTCATTTTGTTTGGAGTTTTGTGCTGTTCGCTGACTTTAGCTGGCCGTCGTTACAAAGTGCGATCATGGTACTTCAGTCGCCCTCGCCTTCAGAATTGTCAAAAACAGCGATAATTATCCAGACAAAGCAAGAGATTAGTTCTGTAAGATAATTTTCCAGTGAGTCTGAAGACTGGTTGGATTTTTAAGTGTTATTAGCATGAAGCGATACTCGTATTTATTGAGTTGTGAAAATATTCACACTCACTTTGCGCCGACGTGCGGTGCCTTTTCATTTTGGAAATCATTCGCTTGGTTGAGAATTTTACTCTTCTAGACTGATTTTTTGCCATTCCACCTTTCTGATTTTCTTTGCCTAAGAACAGGTGTCCATAGTGCTCGAAATGTCAGCTTTTGTAATGGTTACGGTTGCCAATTTACCATTTCAACTTGTTGATATATCCATGAAGTTAAAATATGAAAACATTTGTTCATTTCATATACTTGCAGTTTTATCAACAAGCTATCTCTCATGAACAGAATAACGCCTGACTTAAGCTCATATAATTGTGATGTTTACAAAGGAGTGGAAATCGAAGAAATTGTGATTTGTTTGTATTTGAGACCATCCAACATGATTGGTTCATTTACAATTTATCTTGAATTAAGTCTTTATTGATATTAATCGATTGTAGATCTCCATTACTTGTCTTTGGTACATTTGCTTGTACCTGTTCCAACAACTGCTACTTTAATTTCCCAAACAGCTCTATTTGTTTTACACGAAAGCATTTTCAATGAAACCCACTTTTTTATTATGATTATTAATTATTATTATTATTATTATATTTTTATGACTCAGTCTTTTGAAACTTTTACAGGCACATGTATGTTTACCTGAAGTAGTATATTCCACTATCTTGCATGTGCATTGCATTAATTTATGCAAATAATCAACTACTCTTCTTCTTCAATTCATTTTTTTTAGATTAGCTTTGCATAGCTTCACATAGTTTCCATGTGCTTAAGGAATCATATACATCACATGCTCTGAAGCACTGTAAGGATAATTATGATCCCCATCAGTAATATTATATCATATCCCCACACTGAGAACATCATTATGAAACATTCCTGTTTGACTTGTAACCATTTTTTTTTTCAAGGTGGCAAAATATATGTATATTGCTGAAACTCGTTGAGAATTTCTTATTGACTACAACTAGTAAGTTAGTAAAGAAAGAAAAGAAAAAGCAAAAATAAATAAAATAAAATGATTAGTGAGGGAAAAGCAGCTTAAAAAAAAGACATACTACAAATTATTCATAATTGTAATGAGAAATACTTGTTGGGAAAGTAAAACTATTGCTCAGAAATAAAATTACAGCTTCTCAGAAAAAAAATTACAAACTAAGTTGGAAAGTGAAAACTTCTTTATCATCATTATAATGGACATTTTGTACTTAAAGCATACCTTGGTTTATTCTTCCTCTAGTTGAGCCAGTCTTTGTACTTTTGGGGGCTTCAGTCCTATGCATGTTACAGTCGTAGGTTTTTTGGCTAACTATGATACATATAGTAACTAGTGGGGATAGGGTGGCCGTGCTACATGGGCATGTTTTGTCTTCTTTTTGGCAAATCTGACTGAGGTGCCGTTGACATGCCGATTTATACGGTTCAAGCCACTGCTTTACAAACCTGATAGTGCAGCGTCCTCGGATCACCGGTTCAACCATTCAAAAATTGTCTCATTTTTAGCCTTGGTGCATAAGCTCTTTTATAAACAAAACTTAGTTGCCACGGAGCCGCCAGCGAAAAACAACAATTTCATATCATGTGCAGCTTCAGTTCAGCTTTGGCAAATTATATAATTGAGCTTAAGAACTATCCAAAAGGTGAGCCAAGTTTCAAAGCTAAGTTTACAATATTCTTTCTAAGTTTTGACTTTTTACGCTGTCAATTTGACTCATGGCGAAAAACATTGTAAAAGTTATCGGCATTTCATGGTTTCGTTGAGGTGTTTGCTGACCAGTAAAATACTGTAACATGCCCTAAAAAACGTATTTCTGCGGTGTCGTACAGACCTCACTGTGTTCGGTCTGTACTGGCGACCTCGGTCAAGATTCTCCCATACAGACCTCCCGCTCGGTTAATAAGAACTAAGTATAATATCTATACATTATCCAGCCAACATGTAATGAGAATACTCAAAGTAATCCAGTAGAAGTTGGTAGTCTTGATCTAACACCAAATTCTTATGACTTTTTTACAAGGAAAGTGTAGCAGCTAGAGGGGAGAATTAACAATCAAATAATGGGAGTTAAAGAGTTGCTGCACTGGACTCAGTGTTAAGAGGTCCTGGTTTAAAACCTCACTGTGTGATTGTGTTGTGTTTTAGGGCAGGAGACGTCTTCTCTTAGACTTCCCCAAACCCTTTCCCTCCCAGATCTCATAAGTAATTCTCCTTACTGTTTGCCATTCAATTCTTATGATATTAGTGTTGAGAATTTGGTATTGGATCAACCAATAATCCTTAAGCTGATGTTTTTCTTAATTTATGTCACTTGTCTGCTCAATATTCTACTGATATTGTTAGGAGAAGTTCTGTCTTGGTCACTCATGGGAGTTAGAGGGTTAGAATGTGATTGTGATATTTGCTAAAGGAGGTCCATCAGGTAAAAGCTCTGCAGTTTTTCATTGGCTTCCTCATCACCTTAAGTTTTTTTTTTTTTAACACTTTTAACTTGATAGTTAAATCTATGGCAAAATGCAGTTATCAAGTTTATCAAATAACACCCAAGACGAGAACAAATATCACGTGGTATTTGTACTCCAGAGAACCGGTTAGACAGGTTTTCTCGCATAGCGCAAGCTATGAATTGGATTGAAGTTCCAAAAAGAAATGATAAACAATTTAAATAATTTTTCTGACGATGAAGAGTCGGAATGGCTGCCGAATATTGATCCAAGTTTATTAGATAAATCAAACAACGAAAAGCAGTGAGATGACAATGAAATTTCATCATATATTGAAGAAATAGAAACAGCAACTTGACAAGGCACCAATTCTGATCTGCTTCACATTCTTCTGTCACGCACTCCTCATAAATAAATAAATTATCCACAAAATTTACCCACACTGAAATAACAATAATTTGGCATGTTGGATAATAAATAACTTATTAGATGTTTTGGTGTGTGGTATCACTGATTATTTTATACTCATAAAAATACTCAGGGACACTACACAACAAAACATCTAATAAGATATATGTATGCTCTCACAGTGACTCCCTCCACCCTTGGCCAGGCTGTTCAAAGCTGGGTTAAGAGGGCAGACTTTATATTTGTGATTTTATGCAATCTAGGATGCTGAAGACTTTTAACTTTAAAAAATTACACTGATTAATTTTTTTATGTTTTGTCCAAACAGGAGTGATGTAAATAAGACCTGTCCAATCTGTCGCAACGAGATTCATGGAAAAAAAGATTACTGGGAAATGCCTGAGAGACCTAGTGACAAAGAGATTGGACAGTTTGTTATGGGACTGGCAGAGGGGGCAGGTGCCCCCACTTGAATAAGATAGTTGTGTTCTAGTCAGGTTGACAAAAAACAAGCAAACAAAAAAACTAATCAAATAACAAAAAAGAAAAAAGAGAGTTTCTTAGGTCAGGATACAATACCCCTTCAAGTGGTTCCAACAAACTGTAGGGACAGGTGTTATAATTAGCAACAATTTATTTCTTGTGAATTGCAAAAAATTGTGAAAGGTCATTGTGCCTGCTTCAGAATCTTGTTTCTGAGGTATATCATTTACACATTTAGACTGCATGGTTTTAATTTTGACATTTGATTGCTGACTGAGATGACATGCTTCGAAAGTATTTAATTAATCAAGTGAATGTATCAGGAGTGGACCTCTCTTACAGGTGATATTATGAGTCACCAGTTTATTTTTCCAGTCTTTATTTTTTTCTGTCTTTCATAAATTAATAATTTGAAATGAAGTACAAAGCCTTTGCCTTATTCATACTAAGATATTGGCAAGGCTATTATTATCATTATTATTGTTATTATCATTATTATTATTATTATTATTATTACTACATTATGTTGTACAGAGAGGTACAGTGGCTTTGCCTTATTCATACTAAAATATTGTTCAGGTTATTATTATTATCTTAATTATTAAAATCAAAACTCTAACAAAATTCTGGAATGTGATTGGTCATCCACCTGATATGAGCAATGATGGGACAGTGCATGTGTTAGGCATGTAATTTGGCAGTGTAATAGGACAGTTAAAGGGACATTAACACACCGTTCCTGTGTAAGTGGACAGAATGCATCATGTGTGTGCTCTGTTGTCACACATTTTGCCAGTCCAACCACTGTTGTTGTTTTTTTTTTCTTTATGAAAATGGATCACCAAAAGTCTCATTTCTTTCTCAAATTTTGTCATAGTTTTGATAAATTGGGACTCCATGTCATCCAATTCTGTATGTATTCATACTATGATAAACAAATTGGACTTCTGCTTTGCAGTTGTCCAATTTTGTTAATCACTCCTATGATTACAGACTGAGTTGGACTCCACTTGGTCCTATTACCTTTATTTATTATTATTGGTATAGTATATATATAATTTGTAAGAAAATCATTTTGCTAAGCAGTGGCAGATCCAGGGGGAGGGTCTGGGGGGGTCTGGACCCCCCCTATCAGACCTGACGCTTACAAATTTGAGACTGAAATTCTTACATCGACAGGATCATATATCACTTTTTAACTGGCTGATTTTTTTAATGAATCCAAGTAAACGGTAAGCGGCCAAGGAATATATCGTGCAACCGCGACTGGTGGAAGGGGGTGTGGGGGAGAAGTAATTTGCCCTGGTCCAACAGTCCTTTCTGAACCAAAGTTTGGACCCCCCCAATCAAAAATTCCTGGATCTGCCACTGCTAAGCTTGCAAGATATGCAGCTCAGCCTTAGCAGTTCTACAGCAGGTCAAGTGTTGACCTTACTTGCTTGTGATCAAACCCTCGTTTCAGTGCAGCAGGATGCCCACTTCTACACCCACAGGAATAATTTGAGACAAGTCAGGAAATGTTTGTTGGGGGTCAGGTACTAAAAGTAAAATGCTGGTACGCATTGCTCAACCCCTTAAATCTTGTGTCAAAGCACAAATAATGAAATCCTGCTTGCAGGTTAAGACCTTACCAACTGATCACTGACAACTGAATTTGAGAAAATTTACACAACTTCTTTAACTCTACTACAATCTACACAAGAGAAATCAATTATTTTGTCTCTGTTACAGAGTAACATCTTTCTTGATTGATTTTCAGAATGCAATTTGTTCTATGAACATTCAGGTTTCTTTTATTTATTTTATTGTGCATGTTAGTGATTTTACTTATCAGGCATCAGGTGTTTCTAGGTACAAAGTATTGAAATTTTCTTCCCAATCTTGCAATCCAAGTCTAATTATTTCTAATGAAGTTTAAGGTGAAGATTCAAACAGAGATGTTTTTTGCAAAAATGTATGCTGAAATAGTGCAGTCTATCCTACTCAATTTATCTGAAATATTTTCAGTGGCAGTTAATTTTTAACAAATATAATTCATGTTGTGGTCCCTCTGTTTAGCAATATAATAGATCACAGATGAAATCAAAATGTGGAAAGAACAACAGTTAAACACAGGCACAGCTGAGTATGTCACTGATATTTTTACCACATTTTGAGGTCTTCTGTGATCTATTACTGTACAGACATGCAACAATATGGAATATTTTTGTTTTATATGATAAAAATGCAAGATGTGGTTAATGGTGATGTCATCTAGTATGCGTGTACCCTCAATATACTATAAGCAAGAACCAATCAAAATGCGTAGACAATTCAGTTTATCACAGAATTTGAGGATACTGGGATCTGGTTTGTGTAGGACTCCTTTTAAAAAAAATTATAATTTCTAGGAAACAAGAGCATAACGATGTAAATAATTTAAGATAAATGGTAAATTTTTAACTTGGCCTTGAAATAAAGAAAGATTTTATTCATGAACTTTGGAAACAGGAAAGCTGTGACTCCATTCCAATCTGTGATCCTTCAAACCTTAATAAGCCTCCTACAGCATTACCTCTAAACCCAACAGTAAGGTCATAAGAATAAAAGAAATGATCGGCACCTGATTCAGAAGACGGTTTTGATTGGTAACAAAATTCTCGTCGTCAGTGCTACTGAAAATGCTTGGAGAACAGTATGGAGAAAATGTATACTCATGCCATGGGAGGGGAGCATTGGGATGTATTAGAAACCGCAAAATCGTAGAAAAAAATGATCCAAAACCGCAAAAAATTAGATCAAACCCGAAAACCCCAGGCAAAGCCGCCTAAATCGATGAATTTTCACATTCCAGTTAACAAAACCCTTAAAAATCTGCTAACTGCAATGAACGCCAAAACCGAAAACCGAAGTTTTCTTAGCACAAAAACCGAAAAATTGATACCAATGCCCCCCTCCTATAGGGTCCAGAGAGTTTTAACAAAGGATACGAACATCGAATCCGAAGGTGATCTTGTCTGTCCAGTGGAAGAAAACTAAATGATAGATGCACCCTCGTAAAGGGAGGATGCAGATTGTGTTCCCTACAATTTCCGAATGTCACTGGAGAGTAGTCTGAAAAGACATGTTTCTCACCCACTGCCACGTCCCTCAAGGCTCTGACCGCTCCCTAACTCCGGCTTGTCGCCCACTTACCGGGGCAAATTACTTACTACGCCCGAATAAGGAAATGTCATTAGTAGTCCCGGAATCGTTTCATTTTTTTTTTCATTGAGCGCATATATTTGTACTATTGATACTGATTTTTACCGTTCAGTGTGGGAACAAGATGCACCGTTAGGTATTTAGGCTGCTTTGCAGCTATTTCCGGAGTAGTAGCTTAGGACAATCCCTGAATAAAGCACTGGGGAGCACTGGGTACTAACTTGACGAAACCTCGTACTTCTTGGCCAGCAGAGTTCTTTAGTACCCAGGTCATCGTCGTTCAGCAGTGGGTGGGAAGTTTGAACGTTAAAATGTTCGTTGTTGTTTCTCTTGAAATTTTTACAATTTTTGGTTCCTAGAAACTTCTCTCTTTTCACTGTGCAAAAGGTGTTAGTAGTCGACGTTTTCGTCGTTCTTATCTGTCAAATAGGTGCTGGAAAAAAAGAGTATTGCAAAAATCATGGCCTCTGTTAATGGAAATGCAAGTCCGTTTCGTCCAAAGTGTGAGTTTTTGAAGTTATATTGACCTTTCTTATGATTTCTTTCAACGTTTACTATTCGACCGATCTTTTAGGGATTTTAAGGGAGTTTTTTGGCCATAAACTGTAGTGCTTACATGTGCAAAGCACTAAAAGTTGATCGAAACTTGGAAACATTTTGAAATACAGTTTGATACACGATTGTTTCCATCAGAAATTTCCTCAGAGAAGCGTGCACCACTCGTCAGTTTCAAAGTAAATAGATCTTAGGATTATTCCCGGGTGATTACTTTCAAATTGTATCATTGTATGCACTCGTATTATGCATGGATAACAGCTCTGAGCCGCTATACATAGACAAACACCTTGCATCTTTAGGAACACCTCATATACGTGTACGTGTGTCGGTATGCTTGGAAGAGCGAATTCCACTAGGACAGTAAATGGTTTGAATCCAGAGGTAATGGATGATCGCGTAGTCTGATCGCACAGGTGAAAGTCGTCCAAACACTGCTGTCTTGTTCGCTATGACAACCTTAGCGGAAACTCGATTCTGACGTACATGATCATAAAATTTTTACTATATTAGTGTCACTCGGCGAGATGCAATAATTATTAGGTAGCAGTGTATTGTAGAGCTTGTCATGTTATAAGCTTTTCTTTTGCTGGTGTATATACAAAATGTGTAGACACAAGAAGAGAATTTATGTTACCATTGGAGCTGACAAGAGTTCATCTTTTTCCACATAACAGTTAACAATGCCAAGAAGTTTCTGTCTCTACAACTGTCACAAACAAGTCAGGCAATTTCTGCTGAATTCAACCACATGCTTCGTAATCAGACGCTAGCCAGAAAGAGGAAAAAGGTCATCAATGAGATTTTTTCCACAGAAAAGACTTATCAGGATCACCTGCATGCTATAACATCTGTAAGTTTAGGATGAAATCTAAAGCTATTCTCTTTGAGTAAACCTTTGAGGAGACCCTCATTATCAGGGCTCGACACTAAATTCAGTTTTGGCTAGTGGTTGTCAATTTCCACTAGCCAGTTTGGCAAGTAAACAAACTGAAATTGTCGTAACATCTAAAAACATCTAAGATGTCACTAGCCACTTGGCTAGCTCTAAAGTAAGTTGAAAAGTTAGTGTCGAGCCCTGATTATTATATTTATCAAGGCTCAAGGACACGAATGTTTCTTCACCTGCAAGTAAGTTTGAGGCCTTGATAATGAGTGTCAGATCCCTATCAGACATCTGACCAGCTTGCTTTGCTCAAGGCCCTAACCCTTTAATTCCCGAGATCTGATTGTCAATTCTCCCCTGAGATGGTTGCTACACACTTCCTTGTTAATTAGTCACAAGAATTTGGTGTTTTATCGACTCGGAGATAACAACCCCTGCCTGATAAGTTGAGTATTCTCATTACCTATTTGCTGGATAATGTATGGATGTTTTAGGGAGAAGTTACATATTCATCACTTTTAGGAATTAAAGGGTTAAACTTCCTTGCACCAAACAAACATTTGTGCCATAATGTTTCCAGAGGAATCAGTGTGTTCCTTATGGCTCTTTCCATAGAAATTCTGGATGCAGAACTCTTGTTGTGTAGTATTGCTGAGAATTTTTACGAGTTGTGCCGTATTTCGACTCGCTCATAGGGCGAGTCAAAATACAAACAACGGATAAAAATACTTACTACTCAACAAAACGACTAATAAGAGATTTATTATCCAGTGTGCCAAATTGTTATTTCAGTGTGGGCGAATTTCGCGGATATTTCTGGAGTACAAATATCGTATGATATTTGTACTCACATTATTTGTATGATATTTGTAGAAGTGAATATCATATGATATTTGTACTCATCTCATGCGTTATTTGTACTCTAGGAAGTACAGTTGGATAATAAACATATTTTTTTTTCGGAATGGATTCTCGGTTCTCAAAGTGTTTTTTTCTATCTATGTGTATAAATGGTTATTGTCAAAGTGTACCTTGCATTTGCCTGCTAATCTTGTAGCAGGGTAAATTTCTGGAGGGATACCAATGGGACCATAAGGCTTACTTTACTCTATCTTACTTCATGTACTTCTTTTTAATCAATTAGACACACCTTGTATTATTGGCAAGTGTTCAAACTTTTCGTGTCATAATTTGAAATTCCAGCAATTTCTTGCACCTCTGCAAGTTGCAAGCATCTTGCCACAGAATGTAATTACCACGATCTTCTCCAATGTGGAGGCAATTCAAGCAGTGAACAGGGAGCTTTTGAGTCACATGGAAACAATAGGCCTTGGAGATGCCTTTTTAGCCTTGGCACCCTTCATTAAACTTTACAGCACCTATGCCAACAACTTTGCTACAGCACAGGCTACCTTGCAGGTAAATAAAAAGCAGAAGCAGACTAGTATATACGTTTTGTTGCTTTGATCCCTAAGAATGACCAGCATCCCTTTATTACATCCATTTTGAAATCACTGGTGGTCCCTGTAATCTAATTGGCTCTAATTGGTGTGATTTATAAGTGAATCGCACCATTTTTTGCTCTACATCTCATAATTTTATGCTTGACTGAGTTTTTGACACATGATGTCAAAGTCTTTCTGTTTTGCATACAAAATAAGATGTAAAAGTGTTTCCAGTTCCACTTTTTGTTTAAAAACCGGCTCAGTACTACATCAGTAAAAAATGTTTGAATTGACCAAGTCCTGCATTTGGGCGATTTCAAAATGGATGTAATAAAGTGGTAATTGAACCTCGTGTCGTGCAATTTTGGTCTGAAATCACGCGTGTGATTTCAGCCCAAATTGCACTCCACTCAGTTCAATAACCATTATGAATCATATCTTAAAGGGTCACGATTCATTCTTGTGTGTTTTTGTATTTTTTTTTAGGAGTGGGAAAAGAAGAGTGTGGAATTTGCAAATTTTAAGAAAGGGCAAGAAATGCATGAGGAATGCAAAGGACTGAATCTAGGAGCATTGCTGATAACTCCAGTACAACGAGTTCCAAGGTAAAAAATATACAAAAAATTGCAAAGATACTTTTGTCACAAGTTTCCAACTCCCATGTGGACCATAGCAACTTGCAGTATAGGTTGTTTATTTTTTTTAGGGAGCAGTGGCAATCATAAAGGGTGGCTTGTGAACTTCAAGTGATTTATTTGTGCTGCATAAAGTGAATCCAGTTTCCCAATGCACAAATTCCATGTTTCTATATTTTTAGATAATTTGGTTTTTATATATAATCTAAATTAGTCATCATTAAGGGTTTTCCAAGCTGAGGTTTCTATTAAGTGTTTTGAAAGCTTTTAATTAAGAATTCTTTATGGTGGCCAATCTACATTTATTTATCAAAATATACATCTTGCAATTCCCCTCCCCCAACCCTTCACCGATGCAGCACCACAGTTTCTCAAGAAACTTACCCCCTTAATTCAATTCTGTATTTGAATTTCAATTTTGTTCTTTCAGGTACAAACTATTACTTGAGAGTCTTCTGAACAAAACTCCGAAAGACCATCCTGATTTTGAGAAACTGCAAGGTATGATATACATTTATGATGCTGGCCTTCAGTGCAGGCATGTTGTCGAGGGAGTACAAAATAGCATTAATATTGAATAAAGATGGATTTTTGACTCTTAAGAAAGTTCTATTTTGATCATGTGTTTCAGAAGCTACAGTTGAAATCAACAAGGTCGCACACCACATCAACGAGAACATTCGACAAAGGGAAAACTTCCAGAAAATGCTCTCCATTCAGAACTCGCTTACGGGAGAAGGGGCTCCGAAAATTCTTGCTCCAGGTAACAAATGAATCACTGTTACAAAAATTATGATGTGATATGAACTTTTTGACGCAGGGATTGAAAGTGATTTTGTCAGGGTTAAATTGCTTTCAATTGATTCATTTTCGTCTTCAATTATTTTTGTTTTCTAAGGGCGGCTTTTTATCAAAGAAGGACCACTTTTGAAGGTAATTAAAAGTTTTTGATTGCTGTTCAAAATGTAGCTTTTCGTTGCTGTGTGCAAAGAAGTGTTTTAGATGGGCGTGATTCGTTGTTTTTTCCACATCAAATTTCATGCTTCTTTTGGTTTTCTNTATGAGGGCCGATACCCAAAATTCACTTTGATGACTTAATAATTTTCAAAGATGTTTTTACGACTTATGAAGTCAGGTTTGTCCACAAACGCTATACTTTTTCATACACGTAATTAGAAAAGCAAGTGCAGAGCAAGGGCACGAAAACAAGCGTGTCACCTCTTTCCCATTTCGTTTCCCTTCCTTAAATCCCTTATCAGTAACAGGTGGCTTTTATTTTGATCGCGCTTTGGACAATTTTCTACTGTTAAGGCTTCTCACTAAACTTGCGGTTACGTTAATATCTTATACATGACGGGATAGATATCGAGTAGTGTAACCAATCAGCATTTGTGATGGAAAGCTAGTAGATTTAAACTCGATGAAAATAGAAGGTTTGTAAATAGATTACCAAATTTTTGCCGATGAGTGTTTTTTTTCTCTTTTGTATGGACAGGTATGCAGCCGAGGGTCTCAAGAGAGAATGTTTTTTCTTTTTTCCGACATCCTCCTCTATGCCAAGAAAGGTGGCTCACTGGAGAAAGACCAAAGGTATAGAATAATGCACGCGAAAGTGTATGATTTATTGGTTAAAAAAAGAATTCGCTCGTGCAGCAAAGAGAACGGAAAGAGATTCCTGGAATGGCGAAAAGGATTTGTTTAACTGTTCTCAGTTGATAATTCAGTGCCATGAAATTGAAACATTTCAAACAAAACTCTCATAAGTAGAGGGAAACCTGTGGAGAACTTTGATCGGCCAAAGTAGCGCACAAACCTTGAAAGTTTGTCACGTTTTATCCACAACTTGAGTAGCAAGTCTAAGAAGTTTGTCACGTGTGGTCTACAACCTGAATAGCAGGTCTTGCAAGTTTGTCACGTGTGGTCTACAACCTTAATAGCAGGTCTTACAAGTTTGTCGCGTGTTGTTCATAGCTCGTACTTATGCCGTCGCGTTTTACCATTGGTCGACTGCGAACTGGAACAAGTGTTAGGTGGAACGGCTGAAAACGACGAAAACGCTGGTGCAGGAGCCCTGTTTAAGGTACGTTGTAAAGATAGCACTCGGAACTTCCTTTATTCGTTGAATTGTTGACGGTAAAGAGCCATTTTGGTTTCAAATAACCCTCATTTTAATCGCAGATAACTTGTAAGGATAAATCCCTGCTGTTGTACTCCAAGTCAAGAACAGAAGCACTGACGTGGTTTAGATCAATCCGCGATGCTAGAAGGTAAGACGGAAAGATTACAATGGGCGTTACCACGAAGACCAAACACCTTGCCAATACCCTCTTCATATGTCCATCTATGAGTAATTGTTCTTGGGAATTGCAGTGCTTCTTGATTGGTTGTCGTAAAACCAAAACGAAGGTAATTGCAAGAGCCAACCAGAAGGAAGAATACTTCATGGAGTCAATTGGAGAGGACGAAAGACCAAGTCGCATTTGATTGGTTGAGAAAATGGCGCGAGTATTTTGGACCAATCAAAGAGCGACGAAAGAAAACATAAAGCAATCGAGGATTACTTTTGACTCTCAGTTGAAAATGTCTTTATTTTGGAAATGGTATAATTAGTTACTCTTTTTCTGCAGTGACCTGAGAAGTTGCCCGGCCTCCTTACGAAAGCCGAATAGAGAAGATTACGAACTTCCCAAGCAATCGACCCCTTTGACTCGATCCGCAGTGAGGAAGGCGCGTTTGGGATTAGGCATCATCCGACAGGTGACGTAGCCTTATGATTTCGTTTGGCTTGAGGTAACTCCCGCGATAAGATTAGTGTCATATTTAAGTGCAGTCGAAAAGCAAGCGAAGGGCAGTGATGAAAGTGCCAACTATGAATTTCAGGGGTATGGAAGGGGTGAGAAGTGCATTCGAAAAGCAAGCGAAGGGCAGTGATGAAATGGCCAAACCTGTATTTCAGGGGGAGGGGGAGGGGGAAAGCTGCCGGAAGAAAGGAGTGGATGATGCGGGATAAAAGTTGTTAAAGTGTGGTTGCAATAGGTAGATTTAAAATAGTTCTGTTATGTTGAAATAAGGAAATAAAACCGAATAAGAAAATTGCGGATACAAATTACACTTTTTGATTGTTTAATCGTACAATAAAGCAAAACGATGAATGAAAAAAGAAAAGCTTTCTGTCGGGTTCTATTAAGATTTATTTGACCCATACAATTTATCGCTAATGATTTTCGCACATTTGTGCAGGATTCGGCCGCTGACTGTGCCAGTCCTGCGGTATGCATCAAAGACAGCCTTTACCCCCTGAGGAAAGAGCTGCTAAACAAGCCAACGCCTGTTCGGACGACAAAACAAGTGGCTCGAAAAACGCCTAAGAACGGGAAAACGCCGAGCAGCGCACTAATAACACGAGCTCGCAGCAAAGAAACTGTAATAAACTCTCCGTGGCTAATTACTGAGGGCGCAGCATATGAAAAGAATACGAATGACAATTGTACAAGCACAGATGAGGTTCAAACAAGATATTGCGGGGAAACCGGAGGGATGAAAGAATCTGATGGCGGTGCAAGCGCTAGGCAGAGCTGCATAACGACGCGTGGAAGAAAGAGGAAATTTCCTTTAAAAGAGAATCTAGAAGTCGATGTAAGTTCGTTTGTTCTGTCTCTAAGTTTTGTGGTCCTTTGTGGAGTTACATACGGAAGCCGAAAAGGGACAATCGAAAAATATTTTTCAAATCCCGAAAAATATTTCAAATCGCAATATTTATTTTAAACTCACTGTCGAAAAGTTTGACAAATCCAAAGATATTTTGCAAATCCAAAAAAAATATTTAGAAATCCAAAAAATTTTTTTCAAAATCCGCTTCCTAGCATTTGTACAACTTGAACAACTAGGCCCAAATTTTATAAGTTTTCTGTGCTGAAATAATTGTCTCTGAATAGTTCTTTTGGATTTTGGTTTTGTTTTGTTTTGTCTTTGTTTCTTAGCTCTTTTCTCCAAATGAAGTGGTCAAGAAGCGTTGCCTCCGACCCAAACTGACCGAAATGTCTTGTGCCCGTGCAGCTGGGTCTCCACTTAGGAGGTGAGGACTCCTTGGGTTTACCTATAGCAGCTCTTGTTATACCGCCTCCCGGTTAGCTCAATGGATAGACCGCTGGACTGTTGTGCGGGAGGTCGAGGGTTCGAGCTCAGGCCGGACCAACACTCAGGGTCTTAAAATAATTGAGAAGAATTTGCTACCTTTCAATAACATCAAGAAATGGTTAGATATTCTAGTCTTCTCGGATAGGTACGAATAAATGGAGGTCCCCTCTCCTGCAGGGTTGGGGTAGGAGACGTTAATTTCCCACACACGAGATTACTGTGTGATGGATGTCCTCCCCTGGTGTGGGTTGGGTGGGTTTATTCGAGGGCCATGTGTTAGAAAACTCTTTACTGGGTTAATCATGTTTCTACCCTCTCGAAATAAAGAACATTGTATTGTATTGTATCTCGATCTTGTAATAGAGCGCTTTCGATTGCGTGTTGTAAAACCCAAACTAGACTTATTTCGACGACCAATCAAAACAAAGGAAAATACCCTGAAGAGCCAATAGGCACTCAAAATAAAAACAAGCAAAGCGCGAGAAAACGCGGATGACCAAAACGTGATTGGTGCAAGTTTTGCATCTGATTGGTCGAGAGAGTGGCGCTACTTTTCTTGACTAATCAAAGAGAAAAGTAAAGCAAATTAATACAATCCAGATTACTTTCCTCACTGAAAATTGCTCTACACTGAACTAAAGACACTAATTCACAAAGCTGTTCTTTCAGTTCTTGTTTCATGGTGTTATTCTCTCTTTACATATAGCGCCTTTGACCAAGTGAAGCGAACACCAGCTAAACTCAGAACAACAAAGTACGTGATGGAAGATGGGGGTCTCGTGCATTCTACGGCTTGTGCTGTCATGTGAAGCAAGCTTAATTTGAAGCTATTTAGGACGGTCTTTGATGTTTCCAGAACGACACGGTTATTGGCGTGTAGCAATGAAAGCACTCGTACCGTTTGTACGGTAAAAGTTTTCATTTTCCTTTGGGGTTAGAATATAGTCTGTCGGAATGGCTTGCTTAGGGGAATATTTATTAAAATCAGTTGTAAAATGACATCTTGATCAGATTTGTTGTAAAACTGATAGTCTTCTTTTAAGAATTGGGGCCTCGCGATTGTAAAATGTGAGATTATGCGATCAGTTTTGGTTATTTACATCTAGGTAAAAATTACTTGGGCGCTTACGTGCGCGTACTAGATGGAGCAATTTTCAATTGAGCGTTAAAAGTAATGCGGGATGGCCCATTTCCGAATTACCCTTACCCTCTTTTTCAAAGGAAGTTCTGGTGCTGATCCTTTCATATGATGATAAGTTTCATTTATGTGCAAATTAAACTTATTTTCACAAGAATGGTTGAGCACCAGGCCTCGTTTTCAAAAAGAGTCTACCAATGAAAAGAATAGAGGCTGATAGTTTCGAAAGAATGAAAAGAGTCTAGCAATGAAAAAAGAGTCTAGCAATGAAATTCGAAAATGGCCTATCGCTTTGGCTTTACTTAACTTTGCTCTGTGATTGGTCTAGAAAGTGTCGCGCCATCCTCTCAACCAATCAGATGCAAAACTTAAAACAATCGCGACCTGGCAATCGCGTTTTCCCGCGCTCCAAGCAGTTTGCTTGTTTTCAGTTCGAGTTCGAATCCTCATGGGCTAATGATAATGTGAACCTCTGTTCTGATTGGTCACTGTGATTATTATGGGTTTTTCGACACTCAGTTGAAAACTGCTCTAACGGACAGAACTAATCACGAAACAGTTTTCTTTTGTGGAATGTTCTGAATTTGAACCACTAAGAGATCAAACACTTAAATCCAGCGAAAGTACCATTTAGTAAATTATGAACGTAGTTGCACCAATAAATCCATATTTTTGTAAAGAGTTGCTGTCTCACTTTTGTTGGACTACTCCGCTCTGACGAAGGGCTAACACTCGAAACGTCAGCTTTAGTAACTTTTTACGGAGGCCAACTTGAATTAATTATCTTGTTTATTATACATTATAGTCACCATCTGTCTTCTCATTGGCTAAACGCCCACAGTTAATTCTGGGAAACAGCGCAACCTACAGATTATTCACTAATCTATACCTACAGATTAGTGAATAATCTGTAGGTTGCGCGCGCAATGCATGATTTCCGGTGGAGCAATGTCAAGTCACAGGTTTACCATCTTAAATATCTGTGAAATCGGGTTTCTATGGTAATGGTTCCTGTGGCATTTATATAGCCGTTACGAATGTAGTTCAAATATATTGCCTCTAGAATCTATCCCTAGTAGTCAGTCTTCAAAAAATCAGCTCCAAATAAAGATTAATAATTCATTACTTGTTTGGAAGTGTTTTTTTCTGCCAGGAGGCCTCAAGATCGCTCGTTTAGGGCTTTCAAAGTTCAGCGGTTAATTCGGCTCGCACGCACTCCCCGTAAATAAATATCCGCGAAATATTCGCCCGCACTAAAATGACAGTTTGGCGTGTAAATAAATAACTTATTAGACGTTTTGTTGTGTAGTATCGCTGAGTATTTTTACTCGTTATTTGTATTTTGACTCGTCCTACGGGCTCGTCAAAATACGGCACAACTCATAAAAATACTCAGCGATACTTCCCAACAAAACGTCTAATAAGATATATTTATTATTGTTTGTCGTTTGTTTACTTGCTGCAAGACTTTTAACAACACAGCTCAACCTTCTTGCCATTAGGCGCCACCATTTTGAATACCGAGAAGCTACTGGGAACGAAGTTGAAGATAAGCTACACCTTAGCACAATTTTCCTGATGCCTCTCTCCCCCAGTCTCCACCCGGTAACGACTCGCTAACACCTTTTGCTTTTCCTGGTACTCCCTTTGTTCGAGGACAATTTGTGAGCCGTTTGGATGAGAATAGTACAGCATTTTAACAACACTCATCGCTGGCTCTGTGATCTCGTTAAAGAAATCTCAAACGTTAATTATTTTTGTAGCGAGGTCTTCTCTGAAGGGAAACACTTACTCTCTCATTACAAAGGTAAACAGATCTTTTTTGTCAGCCTTTGTATCTGTGAAGTTTTCTCTCAGCTGTCACCATCTGATCTGGTTACAAATCGTCACTTTTCAGCTTCAAACCAGCATGTAATTTTAATATTTTTCTTTTTTTTTTTTTAAGATGAGTGGGTTTTATACTTTTCATTTATTAGCGGTTTTGTTTTGAAAAAAAAATATATATATATATATATATTTATATATAAAGCTGAGGATAGTATTTGTCGTAAAAATAATGTATCTATGCTGGAATACTATTTGAGAGACAATATAACCTTCACATTCGGTTGAGGTAAAAAAAAAATGGCATGCGTGGGGAAGAAAGAATCACAAGCGAAATCCAGCGTGAAATAACTTGCTTATGGCCCGGCAGGGAGGTTTTATCGTTGATGCCCAAATGTAATTTCTAAATGGCAGTGGTAAGCTTTTAACTGCCGCATTTCACTGCAATGTAAGTATTTTATCAGGCGGTCGAATCTGTGCATGTTAATTGACAATTGTAACTATATTTTTGCTGTCGATCTTACGGTTTAAGATCTGGATCTCTTTGTAAGACATCGATAACTGATTTTGCTCATTTATATTCGTGCTCCCTCCTTATAGGGTAGCAACTGATCATATTCTTCGAAACAATTTCCGTTGCATTTCAACAAAACGAAGAATGTGTCAAAGAAGAGTTTGCCGTCATTCGATTAATTGATTTCGACGTTTATGTTACAAATATCGCAATTATTTTCGCTCTGTTTGCGGTAAGTACATTGGTGTAGATGCGCTTATCTGCTGGATATCCCCACACGAAGGAAAATAACTGTCACAGACGAATTGATCCTTGATAAAGTTTTTGAAAACAAAATCTTCATTTGGCCGAATGAATCGAAATGGGGCCGACTCACGCAGCGAAAAAAACCAAGGTTTTGGGGTGTTTTGGGGGCATATGTTAAAACAAAAACTCGATGTGCAGCATAAATCCGTGTTAATATAATCGCATTTCTGTCACTTCACATTTGAAGTTTCCTCTCTGGACCGATCACATTTCTTGTGGTGTTTACAGCAAACTCAGCTAGTTAATTATGATGGACTGAAAAGTAGATTCATATGCTTAGTGAAAATTAAATTTTTGGCCTAAAGCTTCGGCGTTCGTTGAGAACAGTGTTCTAAATGTTCGCAATAAACGAAATAATAGACTTCCTTGAAGTTCAAGTTGGATTCTGCGATAACAAAGAAGGAGATTACGGGCGTCGCAACATATCTTTCTAATTTTGAATGCCAGGTGCTAATGTGTTACAACTCTACTCAGGTGTATATTGTTTTGGAGGGTAACAATACAACGGAGGATTTGTGGCGAAAAAATCGACAAAATGTTAAGATACTGTAAAACATCTTTTTGGCGGTTGGGTAAGCAGTGTGAGAGATTTGTCTGTCTTACCTAGCGGCTAAGATTTCACTTCGAAGCAAAAGAGATATTTCAAAGTTGTGCAAAGACAGGTTGTTTTCTTTCTTAACGTGCTTTTGTTAGCTTTCTTACTTAGAGTTCACAATCACCCTTTTCCTTTTATGGTACTGACCACGTCGAACGTAGTATGGAATCATGGGTAATCTGCACTTAAATGGCGCGAAATGCAGTATCTTAAATGTCAAACCGAACACACAATTTACCTAAAATTTAACATTTTTTAATCCAAAATTAGAAAAGGTCTACATCTTTCAAAGAATTTTGTGAAACGGCAGTTGCTTGCTCCGCTGTAAATAGGTCCTATGCTATTTCACGAACTACAATAACACAGAATACCAGTTAAAGAAAAACAAACATTTGCCATATATCTTATGCGTTACAAACGAAAAAACGTTTAGAGAGGCCATTACTTGTTTGCACTAAGATGACAACCAAACGAAATTTTAAAGTTGAGATCGGAATTTTCTTTTTTTTTTTTGTAAGATCATGTGTCACTTTGTGCGCGAGAAGAATACGTTAACTTTTTTTTTTTTTTTTTTTTCAGCATCCCCTTAGTTAGGGATACGAAAAAGCATCAGGACCCGTGCGATTTGTTCAACTCATCACAAATGTAATAGCAAATAACGAGAAAAGTTCTGTCCAGTTTTCCTTTAATTTCTTCTCTGTCAGTTTTTTGTCCTTTGGGCCTCAGAACGTTTTCCCTTTTCCCTGGTTTACACCGCTATACAAGGTCTGCGATAACTAAACAACGGCTTTTTCATTTAAAAAACCTACCGCACAGAGTTTGTCCCTGTAAAGACTCTGTTAAGAGCACTTTGCTCTGCTTATTTGATATTTTTTGAGGAAATGTAGTCTCAGACAGTGTGTATTTTTATTTCGCTTTTATTAGATTGTTTTTCTTTGAGAAGTTTGTCCAATCGTCCATAGTTCCTGAATTTTGGTCGGTGATGAGTTATCGCTTTTCAGCCTTAGAGACACTTCTTATCATAACTCTTTAACTCGGACTTGGAAAGCCTTGTTTTTTCTTTTTTTTATTACAGGCGTATGTGAAAGTCACTCAGTAAATAACGAGTCACGTCGAGTTAAAGCTCGTTTTTGTGTCACTGACCCTTCTTGGAATCACGTGACACTGCACACGACAGAGTAGAAGACGCGCTTGATCCTGGCGTGTCACTCATTCAAACCACATGTGCTCAGATCTCTTGAGGAACCTAAAGGCCCGATCGAGACGTTGTCGTACTTTTCTCTTACTAATTTCTTAGGAAGTAGATAAATTTACCCCTGATTCAAGTTTACTTGGCCAACAGACGTGTAACATGCCGATGTTAAAAAGTGATTGAAGGAATACTTCTCAATAAGCCCTTTATATGATAAGCTGAGTAATCAACTCGGAGTAATCAGATGGATAGTGGCAAATGGATTACTTTGGTTTTGCTTTACTTTACTTTACTTCGCTCTGTGATTGGCGCTGTGATGTTCTCCGATCGAATGTTCTTTTA